CTGTTCTACTTCAGTGATAACTTGCAAACTCTGGTTTTGTTTCATTGCTTACAACGAGGCTTAGATGAGAGTAAAACACTTAACAAAAAAAAAAAAAAAGTCCTGCCCTTTCCACATCCCCAGTTCTCATTTCTTTGTGAGCTCCTCCTCGTTTTGGCACTGTGGTTTGTGCTGCACTGGGGATTGCCTGGATGGAAGGTACAATTAATGCTTGTCAGGGTCACCAGAATTTTAGGACCTGTCTTGCAGACCCTGGGAGGCAAGTGTGATAAAAGTGTAGGTTTGGTTTGGTTTTTTGAGGAGACAGACAGAGCAGCTGAAGAAGAGATGGAGCCTCTTCCCCCTGTCAGGAGTTTGAGCTTCCTGTGCTGGTTGACCTGTAGACCTTGGTTGTAGATTCTGGTTGACATTTGGGAACGCTGATTATCTGTTAACTGTTTTCATAGGCAATCTTTAGTTTAATAGCTACTAAGTTGTTATATCAGGTTTCCAATTTATGCTCACTGGTGCTTTTTCTTTAAGGTTACCACAGACTTTGACGCTTTTCAAGTCCTATTTAAAGGTCTGATTTTCATGTTGACTTCTCAAAGTCCACGCTGTGAAATGCAGAAGCACTTTTTCTTTATTACTTGTCAAAAGTAAAGTAACAAAAGTAATAAAAAAAAGTCACTAAGTTGCGGCAGCAGCAGCCTTCTAATTCACCCTGTAAAAAAAGCCCCAATGATCTTTGCAGTTTGTTGCTCAGTTTCAATTTTGACACCTTCAGAGCTCAAAATGCAATTTGGTGTGACTTTAATGACTAATCATTAAGGTCATGTTACTTTTGCTTAGCTGTACCTTGCTGTTGAAGTGCAGTTGTGCAGGGGTGTTGTTGTATGAAGGCATTTTTAACTTTCTGAGTTTCCTACCAAATCTGTGGATTTCTGCTTGTTGCTCCTTACTTCCTTCATAAATTGCTTAGGTAATTTTGGCAAGACTAAAAGTGTTATTCTGCACTCTATCCTTAAATTCACAATATATTTAGATATAGAAAAGTTGTTTATTTGTTTTTGAGATGTCTGTTCGTTTTTACCGTGTTCTTATGCTTGCTTTAGATGTATTAGCATGTAATTCATACATAGGAAGTGCTTTGCTTAACGTGACAGCTCGTTTTGCAAGTTAAACGCAAAGCAAATTACGCTTTTTTTGTTAAAGTCGTTTTTCTGTGAAACCATTCAAATTATTTCTTCTGCAGGAAAAGCTTTGAACTAGACAGATTTATTTATTTTTTTGTTTTATGTTTGCTTGGTTTCTCCCTGCTTAACACCTCTAATGTTTCATTCTTCTGAATTGTGCCATGGGTTGGGCTGATGCAGGAGAGAGGTGGGAAGGTGGCAGCCTTGAGCTGCAGGGCCTCTGGCAAAAGCAACTGCCAACAGATGGATCAATTTTATAGGTGAAGTGTTTACTGTGCAGGAAAGAAACGTTATCTAGATAGGCAAAATATTGCTGAAATCTCACTTTCTGTTTCTGTCAACATCAAAGTTGCACACTAAGAAAAATGTTTGGTGTTTTTTTTTTTTTTTGCTGACTTTAAAAATCTCTGATTTTAAATAAGCCGTGCAGTTTTTAGAGGCTGCCTATGCATGCAATAGTTCCCTGCATTGTTGTTTAATAAATGTAGGCTGCCCTTTCCCAAAATGTTTCAGCGTACCCTTGTATCATTTCTGGAGTGCACATTCCCCACTTGCCCTCCCAAGCAGCAGCTGAGTTTCAAAAAAGGTGGCTTTTTATCCAGTTAAACTGTACAAAATTACACTGTGTCCCTTCATTTCTGCTCTTTTTATCCTCTATAGAGAAATATCTCCTTCTTCCCTGCACCCCTCCCTTTTTTGTTGTTGTTTGTTTTGTAGCTTTGGGGTTAAAAATAAGGCCTTGTTTTCTGTAATTTTGCAGTGTGAAAAGACTAATTGGTGTGTGTGCTGCTTTCTTACAGGAGAGTAAGTGATTTAGTGAGTCTAGTGGATGAGCAAAGTATAAAAGAATAAAAACCAGCCAAGGCAAATGAAACTGTCTCAGGAAAGCAGAAATGAATTCATTGCTTGCCTGCATGTCCCTTACTGAGGGCGTCAAGTTGGTTTCTGTATCAGTAAACTGATAAACAAATCACAAGAACTGCCTGAAAATGTACTGAACTCCCAGATGAAACGAATTAATTTAATTTTAAAAAAAAGCCTGAGGAGTGATGGTTACATGTAAGCAAAGCTGGATCTACATCCCAAACAATGGGATGAAAACTATGAAAAAAGAATTAGCAGAGTGCTGGAATGTGATAGGAAGGGTGAGAGTTAGCTTGGTTTGGCAGAACATTAAAGTTCCTTGGGGTCTCTTGCAGGAGTCAGGAATTAAGAACGTAAAAAATGATCCAGTTGGTGGTGGTGTACTGAGAGAGGGGCTGAATGAATAACAAGGGGATGTTTTACTGATGAAAGACTTGGGATGATTAAAAAAAAAATCTCACAGAGGAAAAATTGCAGACAGATCTAAATTCTCATTTATATACTAAATATTTATAGTGCAAATGTTTGTATTTTTAGTGCAAGTCCCTGTAAAGAAACCCATTTTTTCACTGTACGAAGAACGTAAATTTTATCTGAGAAAGACGATGCTTTCCCCCACTTGTTTTAACGGAGCTAAACAGTTTGTTCAGTTCACAGGTGTGTAGATCTGCACCTTCTAGCAGGATTTTGAGGAACTATTTGAAAAGCGTGTTTCTGTGTGCAGGGACTCCTCCAGGGCCCTGCTGAGCAGCTCCAGCTCGAGGCACTGCCAGAGCAGAGCTCTGGGGGACTCCTTAGCCCTGCGGAGTCCTGGCTTCTTGAGAGGCTGGGCCACAGTTACTGCTCTTGTGCTGCTTTTGTTTGTTTGTGTGTTCATGTTCTGAAAGGCTGTCACAGCTGCCAGCTGGTTTGCTTTCCTCTCTTTTCTTGGTAGATTTGAAGAACCAAGATAGGTTGGAAGGCGAGAATTTTTCTTTTCGTATTTTGTCTATTTTGTCCCTCTCCTGTTACATTAACCTAAATGTTAGTTTTCTTTTGGCTTCCCTGCCACTAAAAGGCTGTCTGAACGTGGCTGGGTCTGGAGTGTTATATCTGGAGTGATTCCTGTGCAAAGGGCTGGCAGAGCTCTTCCAAAACACATCACCATCTTCCTTCTGCCTTGCAGTCAGCAAGGGCCTGGGGATGGTGTTAATCAGTGACAGAGAGGGGAAATTCTCTCTTTTTCTCTACTCCTTGGGCTTAAACTGGGAAAATTGTCATTTCAAATATTGTTTTTTGAGTGCTGCTGAGTTTTGTCGAGCCTTATTTCCTGCTTGCTCTGGGAGTAAGGAGAAAATGGCTTTTGTTTCCTAACTGTGGAAGGGGTGTCATCCCACCTTGTGTGTCCAGAGACACAAAATGTTTTTTAATGAGCCACTTTCTCTTTCGGCTAAGTCAAACCTTATTTCCTAGAGACTTTTGGAAATACCTGGATGAAAATGAAAACCAACCTCTCCTCTGTGTTTTGTGCACGTTCTTTAAACCAGGATGCTTGAAAACAGAGGGCATCACAGATAGCTTGAATACTGCCTTTGTTTCTTTCTGGTCATGAAATGAGAGTGTAGGTTTGTTCTTCCCTTTTGATTTCTCACCAGTGACTTTCAGTGGTTTTGCTGAGGTGTTCCTTTCAGGGCTCCTGAAAGCCATCTCCAGAATCTTATTCTAGTTTTATACTTAGAAATTATCATAAAGCAGCTCTGAAAATTACTCTCAACCAATGTCCGTGGTTACTTACAGAGACAAGTTATTGTAAAAGAGCAGAGCTCTCAGCTGGCTGAAAACATCTTCTCTCTCACGTTTATCTTGACTGTATCCCCAAAAGATGTTTCTTCCTCTGTTTTATGAAGAATTATTTCTGTATTTAATTTGCTAGGTTCATTTTTTGGCAGGTTTGTTTTCCTGTGGCAAAACCTCCTGTTTGAAGCAGATCAAAACTGGGAAGTTGCAACCGTGCAGTGCAAGTGCTTTCTGATGCCTTTTTAGGGGGAGTTTTATTGCCTGGATTCACCTCATGCACTGGGATGCAAAAATGAAAAAAAATGCTAGATTTAAAGATGCATAGAAACAAGTTGATAGGAACAAAACATCAAAACCTTTCCTCTATTTGTTCCTAATTTTTAATGGTGATATAATCTTTTATGATAAACCAACATGCTGGGCCACAGTCAAACAAAGTACCAACTAATTTTATTTTTTTTTTTACTTCAGTCTAAGAACCTTCTTCTCTTCTATAAGTGTACATTCTCTTAATATTTTGCTGTATCCTGTGGGCTTTGATGGTGGCTTTTTTTTTTTTTTTTTAATTGAAATAACTGTGCTTGAAAAGGATGGGGAGGAGAGAGAATGGCCCTTACCTTGTCTGCGTGGCTGTCACCATCAGCTGGAGTAGGGCTGCCTCAAAACATTTTTAATGGAGACATTAAAACCCCCAGGGGGAGGAAAACAGCAGCTTTCTTATAGTATAGTTTGACCAGGTGGCTTGCTACTGTGCTGCCTTATCTGGAAATTATTTGGGGTTTGTCCTTCTTCCTGATGAAAAAAAAACAGTTTATCTGAGGCGCTTGTTTCTGTCCAGAGAAGCCTCACACGTTCTTTTCAGCTCTTTTTGCACTCCGTGTTTAAGCTGAGCATATTGCTCAATGAGGAATGACTCACTTTGGGATCAAAGAGGGCAAGATTGGTGTTAATCAGCTGCATTTCTCTCTGCAGATATTGCTGCACATGAAACCAAAAATGCTGTTGATGTGAATTAAGGGGGAAGATATGACACGGAATTTCTTGACTCTTAAAAAATGTTTCAAATGTTCTTAAAAATGCTTTACAACTTGCTTGTCCGGTTTTAAAAGATTTTTACAGAGCGTTTTGTAGATTTCTACGTGATTGCTTCCTTTTTTTTTTGGTCTCATTTTCCTGTAATTACAGGTTCATGTACTGGACAGACTGGGGGGAGGTGCCAAAGATCGAGCGTGCTGGGATGGACGGCTCGAGCCGCTCCGTTATCGTGAACACGGACATTTACTGGCCAAACGGACTGACCTTGGATTACGAGGAACAGAAGCTTTACTGGGCAGACGCTAAACTGAATTTCATCCACAAATCCAATCTGGATGGCAGTCACAGGTAAGAATTTCTTAAAGAATGCTGCTGAGGTGATAGCGTGTGCTGTGCTGCAGTGAATCGTGGTGTCGGCGCTCACGAGATTTGAAGCAAACTAGTGCTGTCAGAAACTTCTATCCTGCCCCATCCTCTGCTTTCCAGCTCTGTGAAGTGGAATGTGTGCTCCTCTTCATGTAACTCTGCTGAAGAGGTTTCTTAGAACCAGTTCCATAAGAAATCCTAGAATCCTGTTCTTAATTATGTATTTAGCAAAATTGTCCCTTTTCAGCTGGTCTTCTGTACAGTGTTGCTGTGGCATTCAGAAGTGCAGGAAATAATCTGAATAAACAGATTGTCATGTACTAGTATTTCAGTGTCATTAATCCTAGGGGCTGGGAAATCAGTGGAAAACGGTCCTTAAAAGAGAACTGTGTTAAAATTACTGTTTTTCTCCAATGGTTTCATAGTGATGATGTCAATCTTTTTGATCCACTCATGGGCTGTGTCTTAATTAAGGGTATAACTGTTACTTTGCATTTATCCCTACTTTGAGCTTTGACAGGTGCTGTTTGCAGACACAGATGAATCACAGTTAGCTTGTGCCCAGGGTATCACACAGAGAGATGATGTTCTGGAGGTTGTTCTTTGCACATGTTTTGGATGCTTCAGCTGGTTTATCTGGGCATGAAACAGCCTTTCTTGTGCTCTTTGTTCTGGCCTCTTAGGGGCTTGTCCCATCTTTCACCCCAAATACCAATTTGACAGAAAGAAATCAGTTATATTGATAGGGTAGTTGTTTTGTGTGGGCTGGTGAGTGGCAGCATAGGCAGCCTGCCTGAAACGTGTCCTCCGCCGTCCTGTGGTGTTTGTTTGGAACTCCACAATATCATTTTAACCCTGGTTTGAAAGGTCATGGCACTTCCTTCTCAGTTTCTGCCTTTGAAGAGATCAGAAGTTCATGCACTGTTTTTATGATGGTGTTTGTTCATAGGAAGTAACAGGAGTTGGATGCAGTTCTGAATTCGGGCCTTTGGGTATAAATATTATCAATAACTTTGTTAATTCAAAACATGAGGGTATGGGTATCTGTTCTGAAGGAGCCCTTCATTTGCTGTTTGCTTCACAAGAAAGAAAACTTAACACCAAGACAGAGAGAAATATTTCCTAGTGACACTTCCTTTAAAAAAAGATGACTGTCATTTCGATTTTTAGATCTACTAATCCTTTCTTACGTAGCCATAAAAAGCAAAGCAGTCTTAATGCTTCAAGTTGTTGGGTTTACTGTTTTAAATCGAGACAGTTCAGCAGCAGAAATATTTTGTGGCAGGATGCTAACACATCACCATTTGAGGGGGGGAAGAAGGGAAGTCATCTCTGGAAAGGAAAGCACATATGATCTCCCTGAAGCACAGAGTGATTCTAACAGCACCTGTTTTTCCCTAGGCATGTGAGAAGGTTCTGAAGATTCAGAATATAATCACAACATCTGTTTGCAGGCATTTTCGTTTCATTTTTTTATTCTTTGCAATTATATTATCAGGAGGGGGGAAAAAAAGGAGAGAACTGTAGAAGTTAGGCTGTACTACAATGTTTTTTTTTTTTATTATTATTATTATTTTTATTTTTTTTTGCTGTGACGTCTTAGCCTCTGCCTGTCTGGAGAAAGAAAATGATCTTTGGGGTTATCTAAAGTTCTGAAGTGATTCTTTTTTTGTTAGATACTGTCTTTCAAAATTCAGCTTGCTCAAATGATATTTTGCAGCTGTAATTCTGTATTTTGTGCCTCAATTATTTTGTTCATTTTTTTAATAACTGATTTTCTAATACTAAAAAAAAAGACAATTTCTAATTCTGCAGACAAAACAAAATCGTTTTAGATCTTCTTTTAAAGTGGAAAAAATCACCCCACCAAACTACCCAAAACTCACAAAGCCTTCAGTCTTCTCTCCTGGTCATCTCCAACCTCGTGATAAAAAAAACCCCCAACCAACAAAAAACCCACCACCACCAAAAAAACCTCAACAACAAACTCCCTCTCCTCCAGAAATGCTCAAAACCCAAAAAGCCCCAGATTTTTCTGTGAGGCAGCTTGACAAAGTGTTCCTTATTGCAGCTGTTGTCTTGTGTCTTCCCAGCTATCCCATTTGTCAAGGAAAACTTATAACAAGTCAAAATAAAAATCTTTTTTTTTTATGACAGGAGGTGGGAAGGAGTCTGTAACAGGTAAATGATTGTTAAAGCTTCATGTAAGGTGGAATAAAGAGGAAGAGCACAGAAATTTATAACTAATGCCCTTGGTCTGCCAACAAGAGAAAGAAATGAACAGTTTTTTCGTGTCAGAACGCAATAATTAAAAAATAAAATCGATGCATAGAAGAGATGGGTTTGTGGGGTTTTTTTTTTTTTGCAACTCTTGCCCCTGCCCTTAGCAGTTGCTTTTTTTGTGGGAGTCATTAAACAAAACTGAATTGCAGACAGCTCTCCCTGTGAGTAGAGCACCCAAGATAGGTTTGCCTGCTAAGGCAGTCCTTGAATTAATTTCCCCTTCCTCTGCCCTGCAGCAGCGGTTCTAATTAACGAGTTAACGCATTGCTGGCTGAAGGGAAATGCACTTACAAGGTCCCTCAGGAAGTGTTTGTGCTAATGAGATGGTTTTTGAGGCCACTGCAAGAAAACATAACTTTCAGCAACTGTCAGAGGGCTGGGAAGCTCTTGCAGGGAGGTGAATGCTTTAAGTTTGCACTTGAGCATTGATTTTTCTTGTTTCTGTTTTCAAGCATCAGTTCGTGCCTGCCTGCCAGATGATTAGCTGGAGATTTGTTGAAGCACCAAAAATACTGTCACTGCATTTAAAAGAGGTTTTTTTCAGTATTTGCCTCTAATGTTTAAAATACATGACGTTATGCATAAAACACCGTGTTCTGTTTATATATTTTTGTATATTTCTGTGAGATAAAATAGCAAAGGAAAGCAAAGGAAGAGCAGCTTCAGTTTGGAAGCACACAGACCACTCTCTGATTAGTGATCTACCGGTGCACTTTCCCCACAAGTCCCTCATCTCTTCCCCTTGTGCCAGGGGCCTTTCACCCATCCTGCTGCTTGCCTGAGAAAGGACCCGCAGGATGACTTCATTTCCCAGTCATGGTTTGATTTCTGATTGACTTTTTTCAGACTTAACCCTTGCAGGTGAGGTTTGAAATGGCATTGCCAGACCTGCTATTTTTTTTTTTTTACATATACTTTCTGGAAACACGTGGCAATCGTGGCTTAAAGAAGTGGCAAAAGACAAACCTCCTGTCCCACAAATGATGCTTCCTGCTTACTTTCTTAGGGAATTAGAAGCAGGCTTGTCTTCTGATAGGAATATTTGAGCAAGCATTCATGGTAAAAAATCCAGTTGAGTTTTTTTGAGTTTGTTTTGCGGATGTTTTTGCGAAGTTGGCAGGAGCTTTTGAGGGGACCAGAGCTCCCTGCCCTCCTTGCGGCATCCTTATGGCATGCTGGGGTGTTGGCTCAGTCTTTCATCCTTCTTCATCTGATGGCATGTGGGGTTCATGCTGGGAGTGCTTTGGCCACTTGCTAATATTTCCAGCTGTCACAAGTCAAATATGTCTAATTCTTCAAATTTTGTAAATGCTCAAGGCATTGGGCAATCCGTAGATGGAGAGATTTTGCTTAAAATATTATAATTTGTTTCATGCAAGCCTGTTTATATGCTTTCTATAACATGATCAGCACTCAAAGGAGATTTTTTTTTTCTTTTGGTCTTTCTGACAGCCTGGGAGATGGCAATTGGTATGGGATCCCCCCCAGGGACACTGGAGAAATGTGGCTTCTCTCGTGCATGGGAATGCTGTCTTTGGTGTAGGTTTGGTTATAGTGAGAGCTTTGGACTTTTGTTTTTTCTTTTTCATATGGAAAATGTCATAAATTTGTCATAAAGACTTAACTCTTCAAGCCTGGTCTAAACTAATTATTCAAATCTGTAGACATTTAGTCTTCGAGGGTGGGGTTCATAAAATTTTTTGCAGAGTTAGAATTATAAAGATACTTGGTATGGTACAGGAGTGTGTTGTGTTATTCTGGCTTCACTGTTTCACTGGTAGGTTTCAGCTGTAAATTATATCACAATAGTCTTTTGTGTGATGCTGAGTTGGTACATTTAATTAGAAGCAAATATGTACCTGACTCCAGACAGAGATAAGAAATAAAAGGTAAGATGTCCTACTTTTGAATCCAAAATACCAAAAACTAGAACATTTTGTTTGGTGTAGAATTGGAACACTAGAGTGACAAGTAAGGTAAAGGAGATCTTTTTCTTGTAAACAGAAAAAAAAAAAAAAAAGCTGGAAAGATAATGCACCTTTTTCCAGAGGTGAAACAGCAGCAGTGACTGTAGTCTCTTTGAACTCAGAGTCATCAGCAGAAGACACCTTCAAGTTTCTTGCTTTAATATACCCTTCTGGTATATTTTAGCAGAAAATATTTGGAAAATAAAAGTTTTTATGTCGTCTGCAACCACTTCAGTTAGACTTACTTGCAAAAGCGATGCCTGTGGTGTTGGGGGTGTTTTCTCTAGTAAATATATAGATAATTCCTCTCTTCCCTGCAAGAAGAAAATCAGGAGGCTGGTGTTCACAGTGTGCCTTATTCTGAAGGGGTAGCAGGGCTGTGTGTCAATCCCTTGTGCTTCTGTCTGGGAAATGGATGGTGATCCTGGATGGTGATCCCTGTGGTTCCTCAGGAACTTGGGTATGTGGGAATACATGACTGCCTGTGCAGTGAAGAAAGGAGATGGGAAGAAGTGCTTGTGTAAACAGTGCTTGTGTGGCCCTGTGCTGAGCAGGGTGTTGGTCCTCTCCAGACTAGAGTTTTTCTATGATTCTGAATAAAGTAACCATAGGAATCGAGCTACTTAATTCCAGTTCTGAGGAACTTGGGTACAGATAATTAGATTCTACATCAGGAGAGCCTGCAAAAACTGTCTTCAGGAATGTTGGCGCTGCATTTTTGTGCTTGCTGATGAGCATGTGTTTGTATATATCTATAAAATATATGGGTATTGTCTTGAATTTTGTTCATGAACCTGGAGAGAGGCAGTGACCCAGCTTGCTCAGAAGCGATACCATTCCCATGGCAGATCATCACCTGAACTCTTTTAAATGACGGTGCTTATAATAAAAACAATAGCTTAATAATGATCATCATAACGAATCGTGAAAATCTTGAAAAGTAACTGCAAGTGACTTTCTTCCCTGTGCTCCATCAGGCAAGCAGTGGTGAAAGGCTCCCTTCCCCATCCCTTTGCTCTGACGCTGTTTGGGGACATGCTGTACTGGACCGACTGGAACACGCATTCCATCCTGGCCTGCAGCAAGCACTCCGGGGAGGACCTGCGGGAAATACATTCCAACATCTTCTCCCCCATGGATATCCACGCCTTCAGCCAGAAGAGGCAGCCAAATGGTAAGCTGTCTTGCTTGCTTTTTTTAACTGCAAGTTGGAACTGATTTGCAGGAACGACTCTTTCTGTACGGTGGTGGGTGGCTTCACCAGCATCGTGATGCAGTTTTTCCAATGCAGAGATTGGGAAAGGCCCCAGAGGGAAACCAGATATTCTCCTCATTGTTTTTTGGGTGGTTTTAAGTGCAAGGAAGAAACCCCATCTCTTACTTTTTTTTTTTCTGCCTGACACATTTATTATCCCGTTGTCATACTGCTTTTTGTTTTCTGTGCCATATATTCAGGCAACACCGTGTCTTTATTTTTTTGAGGTAATAGTTCCTGAGTGGAAAGGAGTGTTAATTTGGCAGATGACATTAAGCAGGACTAGCTCTGCATAATAACCATTGTGTTAATTTACTGTGGTTGCTTTTGTTTTTACATACACAGCCTAGTGTACATTCAGCACCAGTGTGCTGAAGTTTGTAAAAGTGAGAAGAGCAGAGCTGAAACACAATTCTTGTTCAGAGCTAAGTGCTACTTTCCCAAGAAAGGAAACATTCAACATCTGTGCATTTTGGTACCATAAATACCCCACTACTCAACACTTGGAAGTAATTTTTCCTTGTTCTGTGTTTATCATTTCCTCCTTTAATCTGTGTTGCTGCCACCGATTCTACCACTCCAATGCCGACTGCCATGTGTGTCTTAACACATGAGATGAGGTCACTCGTTGTCAGAAGCATTAATCTGTGTGATTTATGTTTAACAGCTACAAATCCATGTGGAATTAATAATGGTGGCTGCTCCCACTTGTGTTTGATGTCTCCTGCCAAGCCCTCTTATCAATGTGCGTGTCCCACTGGTGTGAAACTTCTGGAAAATGGAAAGACCTGCAAAGATGGTAGGCTTTGTTTTTTAAAAAATCCTTTGGATTAAGCCCAAAAGAGCCTTTGGAGGGAAAGGGATTCTTTCCAGCTTCGTGATATAATGCACTGGAGTGAGGGCTGAAATGGTGCATGCTTTGGCAATACAGGTAAAAGTGATTGGAAAATGCCCTCTGCATTTAAAAAAAATAAAGATACTCATGGCCAAAGGGCAGGTTACCACCAGTTACAAAATTTAAGGTGCAGTTCTCCCTCTGTACTAACTCCCTGCAAGTTTTTGGGGAGCTCTGTTGTTCCATTTTCTTAGAGAAAAAGATAACTTCCTCCTCTGTTGTCTCTAAAATGTTTCTGACATCATTGATCATGGATTAGTATTTGGCTAATAGGATTGCACCATTTTTTTTTTTCAATAAAATCTGTTGTCTATGTGTAACACACACATGTACCTGGAATGTCTTTTCAGTTCCTAGACACAGACACCTACATTTGTAGAGAAGAAGTGAAAGTAATGACATGTTCTTAGGGGTGTTGAAAGTGTTTCAGCCTTAAAACTCCAGATGTGATCAAGATTCACCGCTGCAAGCACTCATCCGAAACTGCTTTTAGTGTCTCGTTGTGAACTAATGGATGTGATTTTAAATTGCGACTTTTTTTTAAGTATAGGCCTTGTGACGTTGTGCTGTGATTGCTGTAGTACATTAGCAATCAAAATTAACACTGGGAGATAATTATACAGCTCATAATTAACCATCTTTTATGCAGGTCACCTCTCTATGTCAAAGGTAAATGGAGGAAGAAATGATGCAGCAGAACTGAGTGTGAATAGCTTAGTTTAAATATATACAGAAATAATTTTTTTAATTGGAGTTTTGTATTTTAAAAATTCTTCTAGGTTTGTCAGCTGCTGTTCAGCGTTTTCTTTAATTTCATGCTCTCTGCTGATTATTTTTGAGCGTCTGTGTGAACCTTGTTAAAATAAATTGCTGCTTTTATGTGGAAAAAACAGCTCCCAGTTTAGCCTGGCTGGATTGCTTGCGTATTGGTAAATTCTTGCAAACAAAATGGGTTTTTCTTCCATTTCCATTGGTATAAGGGACAAGCTTTAATAATGCTCTCAGGCACGTGGTGTGTTCCTTGGGGTGTCCTGTGCAGGGCCAGCAGTTGGACTTGTTGAGAGTCCTGGCCTGGACCGGAAAGGTTTTGATGGGTGAATTTTGAGAGTGTGTTTGTGGTGTTTTTGCAGCGCTTTGGCGTTGACAGATGATCCTGACAGCCAAAGGTGAGGCTGGCTGACCTCCCCGAGCAGTTTCCATGACAACCCAGCGTTTCTGAATAATCTTGGTTTGTAGGAAATCTTTTCCTGCCTTGTCTTTCTCGCAGTGTTACTTTCTCTGGTTTTTGTTGGGTTTATCATTGCACCCTAGAGGAGTTTTATTATTTCTTGTGACTACAGTAACACACACACTGACACCCCAATTTTGAAACAATTTTCCACAGTGTTTCAGGAAAGGGTGATAGCTTAGAATAAAATAATCTCTTTTTCTAATAAATTATAATACGAATCAAACCAGTTAAGTAACTGAGGTGTGGGCTCGTAGCAAGGTTTAGATCCCCCACTGGCTTAGGTGAAAGTTTGTAAATCCCTGTACCTCAAAGAAAAATGAGGCAGGATAAGTTTTTTCATGTCCAGGTATTCCTCCATCAATAATGTCTGAAGCAAAGAGTCCTTTCTGAGCACCCAGGCACTTCTGCCAGGGAATTTTTACCTCCTCTTGTCATATTCTTGGTTATTTATTGTCCTTCTGCAGCACATACTGGGGATTTCTCCTTTTTCCAGGATTATGTGCACTGCTGTTCTGAGTTTGGCAGCGCTACATTTAAATGGTTGTAAAACAAACCTAAATTCTCTTACAGAAATTAGTTTGTCATTGGGGTTACGTTCTTATTTGTGCTTAAAGATCTCTCCATCCACGTGCTCTGTCTTTGCCAGTAAGGAGTGTACTTGTGTCTTGAATTTGCTCCTGCCAGTACAAATATGTGGTTTGTACTGAGAGAACCGATGGTGACGTCAGCTGAGCAAGGAGGTGGGAGTTTCCTCAGGAAGAAAAAGCACTGCTTCAGGCTTAGATTTCAGCCTTGCTTTGGCCATTCTGTTCTCTTCCAGGAGAGAAGTCTTTATTCTGACAAAGGATTCTGATCACTCACAAGAGTGACTTTACAACTGGGGAAAGACATTTGGGAATTAAATGTTTTGGACCGGATGTGAAGTAATTCTGTGTAAATAATCTTGATTTCTCAGATACAGAAAAGGCATTAGACATGTTCTTGGGTCTAGCCCTTCTTCTGTATGAATTCCTGAGCATGTGTCTGTGTAGCTCAGCAACCACTGATGTTTTGCATTTCAGCAACTTACAAATGACTGAGGCCTGTGTATCATTAAGGAAAAGTAACTAATTGCGAAGGATTAGAAGGGCATTGGACTTTAAACTATGCCACTGCATCTATCTGCATGCTTCCCCTTTGCTCCCCCTTCCCTTGACTTCAGCTAGCACAGAGATTTAAATTATTTAGAGTTTTAATGGGGAATTTCTGAGGAAAGTGTTCGTTCCAGGATTTATGTAACGTACCATCTGTAAGCTTGTAATCCCAGCTTTCAGAGTGCTTAGTAAAAGCAGGCTAAAGCTCTCCAAACACAGGATGATCTTTCCCTCAGCCTTCCTTGAGGGGAGATGCTTCTCTGCTGCTGGGTTTCCTTCCTCTGAACAGAGTGACTGTTGGTATAACGAGGCAGCTGAACTGTTCATTTGCAAATTGGGTGATGGCTCTAAAGTAAGCTTTCAACTTTTTGTTGCTTGATTGGAGGGGTAAGGAGTGGTGTTTGGTCAGGGATTGGAATGCTGAGTCTTTAGGGAGACCTGGCATTGGTTCTTTAAAATAATTGTCAACTTCAGCTAGAGCACTTAATTTTTTTTTTTTAAATTATGCCTTATACTTTTTCTGTGTATGGTAGACAATATATGGCTTTTTAACTGTTTCAGACTCTGAGGTTAGTGCATTTCCTAAACCTTAGTTTTACTTGATAATGCAAAAAAATTATTATTGTTTGGGGTTTTTACTGTGACTGGAATCGTTTTGGTTAAAACGTAACTTGGACAAATGACCAGGAAGTTGGTAAGAAAAAGTACTAGGGGTTTGTTCCTTACTTGAACCTAAATTGTTGGGGTTAGTTAGGAACTAATACTTCATATGACCACATTTCTGAACACAAGGGGTTTTAGAGCAGAAGATCCCAAACCTGATCTTAATCCACGATAGGTTACTAATCAGAAACACTTGTAATAATATTCTGAACTTCAGCTGTTGAAAGGTGCTGTTTCTTGCAGGACTGTGAAAGTGTCTTGGATGTTTTTAACACAATAAACCTGCTGTAAATGAAGCAGTGGCTGCTTTGGCACCTCTCCAAAGTCTGGCACGCAATGAGGTTTCAACTAGCACCAACATCAATTACTGTCTTTTTAAAAAATAAATTTAACATCAGACTCCAAACTGATAAGCCAGTTTTAATCAGAACGGAGTGTGGTGGTTGTTTATCCTTCATTACACTGAAATCTAGTGGCAGAATAGAAAATGAAAGTTAATTAGATTAGACAGTAAGTGTCGTTGATAGCACCATTAAACCTGCTGTGTTGTCCGTGTGAAAACATCTTCTGCAGTGCAAGCTGACCTTAGTTATTTATTGTGATTCTGCCTTTGACTCAAAAACCAGCTCAAAATTACTTTGTAAGACACTGTTATTTATCTTAATCTCTTCAATAAGCTTGTTCTCAACAAATGTGGAAGAATTTGATAGCCCACCTGCTCTGTGGTGGGCTGTCATTGGACAGTTGTCTGCTCCCAAATCTGATTGCTCTGGTAAGAGTTTCTCAAAAGAGATTTACCTGTGGTGTTCTGTGTTACATTTTTTCTGCTTCTAAGACACTGTTGAAACATGTAGCTTGTTAGTCGAGATTGTCCCTTAACCAACAACAGCAAACAGTAAGTGAATTATTTATGTAATTGATATTTCATTGAGGAAGTTGCAGGCTGTCTGTTGATTTGCATAAAATAGCAGCATTGTCAGGGCGTATCTGTTTCAGTATCTTTGGAGGGAAGGATGTGGATATAGAAAACATGTTCAGCATGATAAATTCTGGGCAAGGAAATGACCACTGAATTTTCTCTATAAACACGCCTGGCTTGTTCTGCAGAAGAACAGCCTCACATTTGAAGTGGCATTCCCTGCCGGTTGGGTTAGGTGCTGTGAAATCGAGGTAGCTGGCCTAGCTTGTTCCAAGCAGCCCAGCATCAGGTGCGCTGTCTGCAGTGTCTGTGAGGTGGCTGTGTTTGTCTCCTTCCCGCAGGTGCCACCGCCCTGCTGCTTCTAGCCCGCCGCACAGACCTGAGGCGAATCTCCTTGGACACCCCGGACTTCACGGACATCGTCCTGCCGCTGGAGGACATCCGCCACGCCATCGCCATCGACTTCGACCCCCTGGAGGGGTACATCTACTGGACCGACGACGAGGTCCGCGCCATCCGCCGCTCGCTGATCGACGGCTCGGGCAGCCAGTTCGTGGTCACGGCGCAGATCGCGCACCCCGACGGCATCGCCGTGGACTGGGTGGCCAGGAACCTGTACTGGACGGACACGGGCACGGATCGCATCGAGGTCACGAGGCTCAACGGGACCATGAGGAAAATACTGATCTCGGAAGAGCTGGAAGAGCCCAGAGCGATTGTGCTGGATCCCATGGCTGGGTGAGGAGCTGCTTGCGAGCAGTTTGTAAAATACTAATCATGAAAAGAAAGATACTCTGTCCACTTGTATGTAAATAAACTTCTGAGCCTTCAAAATGAAAATCCTGGGATTCTTTGAAAGCAAAAAAGGACTGCTGCTTTATTTTGACCATCTTATGTGTCTTCATGTATTCTTTTTAAAAATATTTTTGGACACTGGGTGGATCTGCTTAGTTATAGTAGATAATAGCTGTGATTATGTTGCCTTGCTGAGCAGACTGATATAGGGGTTTTGTTTAATGTGTACATGCCAGTTCTTTCTGAATGGTTTGGGCACCCTTACCTCGGTAAAGAAATAGATTCATTTTAGAAATGTACTTTTTTCTGCATGCTATGTGATTTGGGGGAGAGTATTCCGGAAGAAGCTATGCGAATATTGGAAGTTGGGATTCATAAATTGAAAGTTGGGATTAAGAAGGGTTCTTAAGACTTTGTTTCCTTTGCAGGTACATGTACTGGACTGACTGGGGAGAACTCCCAAAGATCGAAAGGTCAGCATTAGATGGCTCAGACAGAATTGTGCTGGTGAACACCTCGCTCGGCTGGCCAAATGGACTGGCACTGGATTATGCAGAAAGCAAAATATACTGGGGAGATGCCAAAACAGACAAAATAGAGGTTTGTAATTGTATATAATTGTGTATAATTGTATATTTTTGATTCTGTGAAGCTCCATGAATGTAGTTACTCTTCTCTTTCAGGTGGTCATATTCTGATTTAACCCGCACGGGCAGTGGGAGGGTGGTTGAGTTTTGCTTTAAGAAACACCTCCATTTCTGCTCTGTCTTTGGGCAAGTTACTCACTATTCTTTCCTCATTTTAATATGTGTAAAATAGAAATTACATCCATGTAGTAGAGCTCTCTTTGCAAAAATGTGCGAGAGGGATTAGTTAAATAAGTCAATTCTTAGGTCATCATGGGGAAAAAGCTTTTTCAATGGGATTAATGTTTTTAGGTTAAAAAAAAATCCATCTTTCATTCTTTGCGCTGCTCAGCTTAGATGCTACTAAAACATATTTTAAAGAAATAAATCTCATGTCACATAGAGTTGCTTGTACTCACTGAAATCCTCTATACTGTGCTTCTCCCTTGGTTTATTAGAGTTTCAGCAAGGGGATAGATTTTCCTTTCTCTCTGACATGCCCTGTTGAAACTCACAATTAAAAAAAAAAAAAGGCACTTTTTCTTCTCTCCCGCATTGAAAATCTTACTTTTATTTTGTTGTGTAACATTAATGAAACAAATCTGACACTTATTATTTGTCAGTCTTGGGGAAAATAGTGTTGTTTAGTATTGCATCAGTTTACTGTCAAGAACTCCTCTTGGAAGCCGAAGACTTGAGTGCTGCCTGGTGCATCGTAACACCACAGCTACCTTTGCCGTGTCCTGGTATATTTGTCTTTCTTTTGATGAATTACAGCTTTCCTTATCGATTCTTTCCTATGGCAAATAATTTTTAGCACTTACGTTAGGCACAGCGTCTTTTGTGACCTTACAAAATTGTTTTTACTTCTTTCTAACTGCAAATCAGTCAAGGTGAAGTCACAGTCACGTGCTGGAAGGTCACATAATTGTTTGTTCTTCCTCAGAGCCAAAGTAACTCCAGTCCTGCAAGGTGAGTTGCTTTGAGGAAGTCCTTGGCAAAGCCTCAGGGAGCAGAGATTTCTTTGTCCTGAAAGCAAGATTTGTAGTCTGTAATGCACCCAACACTACACCAGCTCTGAGGAAAGAGGGGGAAAAGAGTCTTAGCTGTGCTTAGAGATTTATTTATAACAGATTGAGCACTTCAGCCCTTATACTTTCTTGGACTTGGATGTGTTTTGCAAAAGGAAAGTTAGGCATTCTTTGCTGTCGTGTTTGCCAAGACACTGAGATTCCTTATTCGTTAATAATGGTTTTGTTCAACGCTGGATCAGCTTGTGTAGAAATTTTCATCTAGCTCAGGCGTGAGCTCACTGCTGCACTGCAGTCAGAGTGGCTAGAACACACCATAGAATGTTTGTGCCTGTCTGTGGCAGGACAGAAGGTACTGGATTTGGCACAAAGTCTTGTGGGACCATTTCCATTTCATTGTCCTTCAGTCAGAGTGAGCCAGCAGAACGAGCCTGCTCCAGGTTGCCATGTGACATCTGTGCAGAGCATCAGAGAAGCTTTATCATCCTAAGGTTTCAGAATTACTTGTGTTGTTTTTTTTTTTTCCCTAAGGGTCTCCAAGTGTTAGAGTTATGATATTATTTAGGCATAGATGGCAGAGATCTGTAAAATTACGTGTAAGGTGACCAACATTTCCACACACACACCTTTTTTTGACAGAAGAAATTGGCCCTTGTAACTAATGTGAGGTGATGGGTGCAGAACAAACAGAAGCAGATGGTTCTTCAAACGTGTGGTAAGTTGTGGAAATAGCTAGAGATGTTAAAAGCTTACATGTGTTCCTGGGAAGACCGAGTAAGTCTGTGAAAGGGAATTCCACTGCAGTTTACTGGCATCCAGAATTGCCTTCTGAACCACAAATTACTGAAGTTGTAAATTGTTGTAGAAGGTAGAGTCTTCTTGAAAAGTATGGTATGCATTTGATGTATTGTGGTGTTCAGTAAGTGTAAACTCTGTTTGTTCTCTGAGAAGGGGTGCTGGGATGGCTGGACCCTTGGACTGAACCCATGCAGAGTCTCTTTTCCTGTGTTTAAGGCGATTCTATTCCTTGAAGGTTTGGGGAGTCTTGATTTTGTTAGCCTGTTATGTTAGATTTAGGAAAAACTACATGCCCTTCCTTAGGTGCAGAATTGCTGCTTGCTAACTGCACTTCAGAGGGGCAAAAATGGCCTGAAAATCGATGACCCCTGGTAGTGATGAGCACACACGTTCAGTATGGCTTCTGCAATCAGTGAAAATCTCTTTTGTAACTCCGAACGAGGTGTGGACTGCACTGAGGAGACCTGGGAGACCTAGCAACAAAAACATGCTTTCCTTAACATCCAGTGGAAATTCAGAATCCTCCAAAGCTGTTACAACAGGCCTGAGGGGAAAAAGAGAGGGGGAAAGTCATTCTCTCCTGTTCCCCTCACAGGCTGGGGACAATCATTAATGGACACACCAGGGTAGGGCCCAGGGTAAGGGTAGGGGAGCAGCACATCCCAACTGACCCTCACTGCCCTCGGTGTTAACAATGTCATAAACTGATATCCCACAGAACAGCAACAAAGCAATCCTGATCCTTCTCCCTGCTCTGGAAAAGAGCACTGGGATGGGCACGTATGGGAATATGTGCAGGGTCAGGTACCACACCCACAGGAACGGGCCAAGCAACACCGTCACCAGCGGTTCTGCACTTAATACAGCAAATGCTTAGATAAATTTGTTCACAACCTGCTCTGGGCGGATCTGTTGTTCCCTCAACCCTTGGAGGGAACTCACATGGGGTGCCAAATAAGGCTGTTGTGGTTTAGGAATGGTGCTCCCCAATTTAGCGCTCCCACTGAGACTTTCCAAACCATGCTGCTGCTCACTTGCTCCCTTCTTCCCTTTCCCTCTGCAGCAGGGATGGAGGAAAGAATTGGAGGCACGAAAGGTAAAGATCACGGGTTCTTGAGATAAGAGCAATTTACTGGGGACAGTAATGACATAAACCCAGCAGTAACAGCAACAACAGTAATGACAGAGGGCACAAGAAAAGAAATTATTCACCCAGAACGTACCTCCCCTCCTCCACCCAGCAGACAATATTGAGGGCTCCTTCTACCATATTTATTCCTCTCCTGGGATGAGACTCCCTTCCCCTGGCAATGACATGAGGGGGGACAGAAAAACCTCCAGGTCCTGGCTGTGACCCCTTCTGGCTCCTGCAGAAATGAACCCTCTCCTGCTCGGAACTGAGGCACTGCCCTATATGTAAATAATGCAAATGTGGTTGGTTTCTTTATTGAGGAATCTCAGTGAATTTCCCCCTGGATCTTATGTGGCGTCTTTTATGAGAGATTGACTTTGTTGTGGCAGGCTATAGAAATGTATCTCAGGCTGCAGTGACTCTGTCAAGATCTCTGATCGCTAAAATGTTACTAAGATTTCGAGTGTTCCTGTTTGTTCACCCTGCCTCCCGTCCTGTGGCAGCCACGAACCCTGAGGAGAGTTATTGCGCTTTCCATGCCCTTGCCATCCGTTTTTTGTATCAGTGTAACAGAAGATGCTTTGGCCTTCTGTAGATGTTTTAAACTTACATTTGGGGAAAGGACACTGGCGTAGGGGCAAGAAAGAAAGGTACTTGTGACAAGTTCCAAAAGTGATATTTGGAATTGGACGTGACATCAGAATATATATGCCTGGTCCCTGCTTTGCTTTGTGTGTTTGTGTATGTTTGGCAAGGGGGGTAAAAGCAGGAGAATCACATTTTTACTTGACTCTCCTGCCTTTAAGTAGTTTTTCATGCATAATTTTACATACTTTTTGCTTTTTTCCTTTTTTTTTTTCCCCCCTTGCACGTAGAATTCATCACAGTGCTACCAAAGAGCACGCTTCTTGCGAGCCGTGTTTCTGGTTTATTAGTGCTGCATATGAGCATTTATTATTTGTTATGTGCTTATTTATTTATTTATTTTAACCCGCTGATGAACGCTGTGCTGTTCTGGAGCCCCCCCAGATGATAATGCAGCATCAGCAGGGGTTAATGGAGGCCGGCAGGGGGTCCAGCAGGGAGCTTTTGTTGCTGTTTTATCTGGCAGCCTGCAGCAGGCTGGGGCTCAACAGCTCCCTCATTCATCTCGCCCAGGTTCCACTGCTGATAAACTCCTACTGAAATGGATGGCTGCTATTGTGCCTACCGGTAGGGAAGGTTTCCTATTGACTTGCCACAGGTTGAAAGCGTTTTTTCCTGCCGTGCTGTGAGGTTAAAAATGGATGATCTGCTCTGTTGAGGTCTTAACGTTTTCCTCCTCGAGTGAGTGTTTGTTGTCTTTGCACACACCCTACCTGTTTTATTTGGATCTTAAATGGCAAGCAAGGCTCATATTAATAAAGCAATTAAATGGCTGCAAGCATGTGTTGCTGTGTGCATTAAGAGGAAGTCATGATGATAGGGCTGATTTCTCTCAGTTTTTCAGTCTCTGCTTCATTTTTCTTTATTTATCCTCTTTTCTATTCTTCGTTTTTAGAGCCAGAAACGACACTCAGTAACACCTACTAGTGGCTACTGTAAAGAAAGGCCTCCTCTAGGTATTCAGCCGTTATCTAGAGATTTTTGAGTGCAGCTCCACCTTGAAGTATTTGTGCATTCCCAAATCTATTAGCTGTGCCTGGAATCACCAGCTCTAATCCTCGTGATTAACATGGAAAGTATCACGTCCTGCTGTTTCTCAGCTTAAACACACAAAAGTCTTCAGAACCCAGCCTTGCTGGACAACAGAAAGCAGATGCTGCTACAGCTTTTTAGAGCACAAAAATCTTGAGCAGAAGTTCCTCAAATTGAAACAACTGGAGCCATCAGATAACCTCCCTGAGTCTGACTCAGCTTTCTTAGTTTCTGGGGCAAGGTGCTGGAACAAAAGTACCTTGGGAAAGAAGAAGAGAACAGAGGCTTTCACCAATATTTAAGAGAATTAGGAGTTGTTTTACCAAAATCAGTCTTGTAAAACTATCCCCAAAACCCACTGTGAGGATTCAGGTTGGTCTTGGTTAGTCCTATTTGCTTTCTGCAAAGCATTGTGTGTTTCTGCTCATAGGTCTTAGTTTGCTAAATAATACATTGCAAAATGCAGTTACTAGTTTCCTTTGTTACCCCTACCTGGCAAAGCATTTTTATTCACTTGTTTTACCACTGAATCTTCTCAGAGGAGCTGCTTTTTCCCACCCTGAAAATCTTTCTTCTTATCTTGTTCATTGATTTGGCTCATTTTTTTTTTTCCTTAGCCTGTTCTTTCCAAATCCAGGGGTTTTTTTTGTAAAGGATGAGGTTGCCTAGATGTCATATGTGATTGTCACAATGGTTCTAAAATCCTTTTCTTGCCTACTTGTCCCTTTACCTGACTTAAGTAATTTCATTAAAAACTGAACCTATTGTTTCTAAAATTAAATTCCATCACTGAGTAAACATTTCTGTTGACAGTGAACTAAGAAAGTTGTCCTGCTGTTAAAGAAATGAGCATTGAACAGTGTCTGTAGCATGACAGAAAGGGTATTTATGAAGTTAATCTCTATTCTGTTCTTACATATTTATCTTCACTGCAGTCCTATTAGGAATATTATCCATGCTCAGAAAAAATATATTTTGAATTCTTCAGGAAAACTGTGAGAGCTCAAGAGGAAATTGAGGGTACTGGTGAACTGTTAAATTAGAAATTGTTAATGGCTGTTATAAAACAATTAACAGTAGGAAACTGTAGAGTTGGCTGGAGGCATTTGGGTTTTGAAGGGTTCCAGGGGTTTCTTCTGCCAATTCCTCAGGATTTTACTGCAATGAAGAGATGACTTCCTATTTAATATCTAAAACATTCCATAACATTTTAGAATTGTGGGGAAAATGCTGTTAACAGTAAGTTAACGACCCTGACAGAATAATTCCCTCCAACTGATTTGAAAGTTTCAGTTGCTCAGCCAAAGAGAGTTGATCAAGACTCTTTTTAGAGTGGAAGACTAATAAAACTGGAAATTTAGAGGTGTTAATCGTATGAAACTACTGCATTCATAACAGTACAATCATTCCAATCTGGTTTGTTTACGTTGCTTAAAGAAGCAAGTTGAAAATTTATCACTCTCAAACCCAGTTTGAAAAAATGCTAATGTGATGATTGGAAGGCACTCTAGCTGTCTTTTAGAGTTATTTTTAAGAGAGATGTTGCCCCAGTTTCCTTTTTTTTTCCTTAACCAAATAAATTTAATGAGTGGTAAAGTAAGATTCGTGTATATTTAGATAGACAATGAACAGTCATATCCCTGATTAGCAGTGCCATGAACTGAGTCATTATTCGTTTCATCAAACAGCATGTGTAAGTATTTACCACTGGATAATCAGGGCTGAAGGAACGAAGCCTGCCCTGTGAGCATTCCTAAATTATTTCAGGTGAAATGCAAGCCTTGCTCGGTATCTTTTCTGACTGTACATTGGAATATCGGGCTATTTGTATTGAATTCAGCATTTCACAGCTGTTCCACAGTAATACTTCTCTGCAGTCATCTTAAGCAGAGCAGTGTTCCCAGGTGTTGTTGATAAATTTTCACTGTGTATTGACTTCCTTTGCTCCCGTCATTCTGAGAAAGAACTCAATGCTTGTTGTTATTTTGTTGTTCCTGCTGATCATTAAGTACAGCATCTTTAAAATGTGACTACATTTTCAGCAGTAATTAATTGACTTTGAATAAGCTGTATTTTCTTTGCATTCATCATTATTCTAGGATAAACAAAGCCCTTATTCTACAAGCAGGATATCTGTGGTTTTTTTTTTTCTGAGACCATTTAATTTTGGGGCTTTGTTTTATCTTGACTTTCATGGAACTATTTGCTCCTTCAGTCGAGGTGGTGTTTATGGTTGCACCACATCTGTTTCCTCGAGCAGCCTGTATTCCCAGTGTGGTTTGTAGTGTTGGAATGGCCTCAGAATGTCAAACTCACACCACATTGTGGTTAAAAGCAGCATAAACCTTGATTCTGCTCGATGCTGTAGCCTGTGGATGAACCATCATCCATACTCAAATCACCTAAAATGCAGCCAAAGTAAGTGCAGACAATGTAGTGCCATGGGAAAAAATTAAATATATATATATATATGAGGATATTTATATATATATATATGATGGTACTTGGCTGCTGGTGGGCAGATGTTTATATTAAGTAAGATTGCACAGATGTGCTCAGGTATAAAGTTGCAGTGAGAGCAGGGTGGCAGGTGTGTGTAGGTGCTTTCAGACAGGTGCATGTTTTGTGCAGGTGACATAAAAGTGTCTTTCAAAATAGCTTGTGTGAGTCAATGCAAAAATTCATTAAAAGCAGATACTTAATCCTTAAGTCCTCCCTTCTCTTTTCCTGACTTTCCTCAGTACAGGGGGGAGCTTATTTGAACAGCTCTTGTTTTAATGTTTGCCAAAGAAAGTTCATCTCACATCCCACTCCTTCTCTTTGCCAGTAGTTAAGCACTCCCTTAAACAGAGGATTTTCTTTCTTTTATAAGTACAAGGCAAAAAAAAAAAATGTAATTTTTAAAGTTACTTATTTGTGATGGTGATGTTTTATTGCTTATTACTTTGTGGTTTTAGTTGATACACGGAATGGAAGGATGTTGTGAAGTGAATCTTTTCAGTCTGCTTAGCAAGCACTAATTGCCATGTATTAATTAGTTGCAAACAAATGGCTTGTCTCTGCAGTCTGAAGGGGAGGGGGAAACAAGTAATCCCAGGCAAGTCATCTGTTTTTGAGATACACATGCATTTGTGGAAGCATACTATATACACTGCTACACTGAAGATTTTGGGGAAGCCAATCCCATAAAGTAATTATGAGCAGAATAATTTTGAAACTTCTCTTAAAACACATGACTCTTCATTCGTGCCAGGATGGTACTTTTTGTAATAATATTTGGCATTCATAAGGCACTTGATCACTTGAAGATGCATATGTTAATTAATCCTTTCAGTGCCTCTTTGAGGAAGTTAGGTATTAGTCCTTTTTAGCAGTAGAGAAAAATGGCACAGTAAATTCAAGTGTCTTGATCAAAGGCATGCAATTATTTACAGATTATTACTGTTCCTTGTTGTGAAAAAAATCATGTACTTAATTTCGAAGAATGTAAGACTGGTTTCTTATTCAGACTTGGGAATATAAATATACTCTGTAGATTGTCTTGACTGTTTGACTCCCAGTATTTATGTGGGGCCTCCTCTTATTGCTCTCTGTAACCTGGGCAAAGCTCACTCGGGAGGGACTGTGGAATACAAAAAGCTGAGCCAGAATTCCTTGACCATTGTAGGCTTCTCTTCATTCCTGTAAAACAGTGTCTCCCATTTAAAACTAACCCAAAACTCATGTCAGAAAGCAAAAAAGAGGCGTTAACAGGTGTAAATACTGCTACATAATAATAGTTCCTAAAGCAAATGTAAGGAGTATTGTGTCATAATTTCATATTATGATCTGCTTATGAGACTAGCCTTATAAATAAGGGATCCTCCATGGCTTTTAGAGTAAGTGCCTGTTAATATAGAGTCTTTTATTTTATTAGGAGGCTGTATAACATTGATAGCATTATAATGGGTAGGAAATTATTTCCTAATTTGAGATCTAAGTGTGGAGCAGCTGTTCTATTAATCTGACAAATAGTGGCAGATTTATTCTATATGCCTAATAAGTTTGTGCTCGCATATATTCATAGGTCATGAACACTGATGGAAGTGGTAGAAGAGTTCTGGTGGAGGACAAGCTACCTCACATATTTGGGTTCACGTTGTTGGGAGATTACATCTACTGGACAGACTGGCAGAGGCGCAGCATCGAGCGCGTGCACAAACGCACGGCGGAGAGGGAGATCATCATCGACCAGCTGCCTGACCTGATGGGCCTCAAAGCTACCAATGTGCGCCAGATAATCGGTGAGTTGGGCTTCTGATGAGGCCAGTGAAAAGGAAATAGGAAATGTCAGCAGTGTGCTGTTCTGCCGATTTTTTTAGAAACGGACAGAGTGCAGTTCCATCGCGCGGTAACTGCTGGCAGCAGTTTGATGGGATGGGTTTGGTCTTGTGTGAGGTGCTTCAGTTCTCCTGCTTGTGAAGAATATCAAGCTGGAAAACAACCAGACACACCCCAAAACTGGTAATTTGCTGCTTCTTAGGGAATTGGAACAGCCCTGGATCCAGTAAGGGGAAAAGAAGGATCATAGGAAATGGAACTTCTTTCTGTAACAGCTAGCTATTTATGAACCTGCAACTGTAGCAGCTTCTCATCTTGCAATCTGAGCATGTGCTCCCAGTATGCAAAAGCTGAGAATGAGCCAGTCTGAGTCTGTTAAGTACTTTTCACATTAATCCTGGAAAATCATCTTTAAAAATAATTAGAAGTACTTCCTGTCCTGTAGTGTCTGTGGTGTAAAAAAAGAAGGATCTAGCTTTAAACTGGCTATCACAGGCTATTCAGACACTGGTAGCAGTGTAACTGTAGCACCACAGAACTCATCACCTTACCTGAATATTGTGCTGTGTGGATAAGGCTTGCAGCTTCTTGGTGCCACGTGTGGATTGTACTGCAGGAAATCAGTCAAATGCAGTTGAGCTATATCTTTACATGACTGCTGCCACATTATCAAGATGCCCCAAGGTCTATGTGCTTTGATTGCAGCCCTCCTTCCAACTGTTTGGTTAATTGAACTCCTTGAGTGCTAAAAATCTTAGTAGGTCAGTCCCAGCACGTGCAGGTACACAAAGTGAGTATTGCAAAGAGCTGCTTCACTTGCATCCTAGAGAGAAGAGGCCATTGAATGGATGTGAAAATAGAGCTGCAAATTTTTCACCTCTAGGAATGCACCTGGGTTGTAGGAATGTACCTGGACCAGTGTGCTGTAAAAAGCAGCAGAACATCCACTTGCTTGCTTACTTACCGTGCATCAGTGCTTGTGCTGTGAATTGGAATTGGCAGTAAGCTGTAGAAGTCCGGATCCTTTTTCCTGATGCTGGGTTTGTTTCATGGGGCAAGGAGAACAAGCCCTGGCTTTCTGGCCAAGTAGAGCAACATCTGTCCAGAGTGTTACAGGAAATGAAGTCGGGTTGCAATGGTTGCCCTTTGCTTTTGGTGCCCGCTCAGGTACCAACCCCTGCGCAGAGGAGAACGGCGGCTGCAGCCACCTGTGCCTGTACCGACCGCAGGGCCCTCGCTGCGCCTGCCCCATCGGCCTGGAGCTCATCAGCGACATGAAGACCTGCATCGTCCCAGAGGCCTTCCTGCTGTTCTCCCGGAGAGCGGACATCAGGAGGATCTCCCTGGAAACCAACAACAACAACGTGGCCATTCCGCTCACCGGGGTCAAGGAGGCTTCCGCCCTGGATTTTGACGTGACGGACAATCGCATTTACTGGACTGACATTTCACTGAAGGTAAGGGATTTATTCCATATTGGCTGGTCAGCTATTTACAGGCTTCTTGAGGTACTTTAGAAGGGATTGACAAATGCAGTTCACAAAATTTAAGAGCATTTTCCAACTAAGAATGGCGCACATTCTCTGGGGAAGTAAACAAAAAAACAAAAAAAAAAAAAAACAAAAAAACAAAAAAAAAACACCCACAGTTTCTGGTGGGTTATGAGTGAGGAGTGTGTGCAGATAGGAATATTAAGGACATAGAAAGGTGGCCTGTGTTTGCCAAAAGAATTTTGTACCATCCTAACATTAATCCTTTACTTCCAGGTTTATCAGGAGCTGCCTAGACTCTAATACATTTTTCAAATATAATTCTGGCTGTATCTGCTGTCACAGGCTGATCCTGATGGCAAAGAGTTAAAAAAAAAAATCCTTTGTATAAAAGTCCAAGAAGCAATTCTGCTTAGTGAAATTAAATTTAGCCATCAGTACTGTGACACTTCTTCTACTGAGCTCATTGGGAGTTTTGTTCTTTTCTTGCGTTTGCTGTTCTGTCCTAAACTTTTCCGTCAGGTGCGTTAAATAGTGTTCCACTGATGCTTTTATACAGTCCTGGGAGAGCCAAAGTATTTCCCCCTCAAAGCTGGCACTGTGCTGTTAAGGTCACTTTGGCATTGTAGACTGCTTAATTCAACCAGACTGGTCATGCCATTGATTTCCCCCGTGAAATGCCATTGTAATTGACACAGAAAACATCCATGGAGCACAGTAAATCATCATTTCTGAACGGCAGCATTGTTTGCTTTGCAAATAAGCAGCGTGCTGTAAGATCCTCTTTCCTAGGAGATGTCTGAAATCTGAGAGCGTTTTAAAATGCAACAAAGAAAAAAAACAACCAGCCCAGCGACAGACTGGTGACATTCCTAGTTTGCCCGTGTATCTTTGTGTCCCCGCAGACCATCAGCAGAGCGTTCATGAACGGCAGTGCCCTGGAGCACGTGGTGGAGTTCGGCCTGGATTACCCGGAGGGCATGGCCGTGGATTGGCTGGGGAAGAACCTGTACTGGGCTGACACCGGGACAAACCGGATTGAAGTGTCCAAGCTGGATGGGCAGCATCGCCAGGTGCTGGTGTGGAAAGATCTAGACAGTCCCCGGGCATTGGCATTGGACCCTGCTGAGGGGTAACGTGCTGATTTCATTTCATGTTTATGACCAGTGAAAAACAGCATTGTAGTGCTTACTCTGGGGCATGTTAGCGAGGCACTGTGTGGGGATAAGAATATTAAAAAAACCCAAACAAACAAAAAAAATCAGAGCAACCCCGCCCTCCCCCCCCCAATAAAAAAGGGATTTATATTTAGGTTTTAAATTAACCACAGAATCAAAGTAGTTTTAGGTTTGTGGAATTTGTTCATTAGAAAAGGACTATAGTATTGGAATGAATGTATTTATCGTTTTAAAAATTAGGATTCTTTTTATCACAAGTTAAGAGTCCATAAAGGTATTAATTGATTTAATTTGAGAGTGGGGAAGGGAAGGTTATAGTCTGAGAAAAAGGAAGGTGTTTGTCTCTTCAGACAAGGGATCCTTTTTAGTTGGCATGGACAAGGGAAGCGGGGATAGAGGAGGAGAGGAAACAATTATATCCACCTATCCCCAAAATTAAAGACTTCCTGAGAAGAAACTTCTCAGTTGGATTCAAGTGCATTACAAAAAGCAGAAGCGGGGCAATAAGCAGAGAGGAAAGAAGGAGTGGGGCAAGGCAAGGTAAACTAGTCACCTTCTAAAACAGCTCTAAAATAGCTCATGAAATGCTCATTTAACATTAACTAATTACTGCAAAAGCTTTTTGAAGTTATACAGTGTCTATTCTTTAGACTCCCCCTTGATCATCAGTTTTTGAAGCAACTTTTCTCCCTGTGCAGTTGGTTGGAATTGAAAGGCTTCACAGGTGTTTGCTATGAGAGGTATTAAAGCAGAAGGGTGTAAACACTGCGTGTGAGCTGCATTCCACTTGCTTTTAGAAGGATATCAGCTTTACCTTTTGGAAGAAGTGACTCACTAGTCATCAAGTATACAGCTTACTCTACTGTACAGTGCCTAAAGAAAATGTAAATATGGACAAGTCTGTCCTGCCAAACGAGGTGTAAACGGGCGTGTGAGTGTGTAATAGTTTGTACTTTTGTTCTAAATGCCATAAAATTTTGGGTTATTCTGCTCTTGACCGATATGTAACACACTTGTTACATGGCTGATTGACTTAATTGTGTGGAGATGAGCAGTGGCATCTGTTAACAGAAGTACCCTGGATACCTACCCTTTTGTACTCCTTTAATAGACAGCTGACTAGAAACAAGAAGGTAAGTGCCATGCCAAAACATCCTGCTAAATAACTGGGTGTAAATGAAGGTGAAAATCCAGGTCCAAGCAGTAAAAATACTGTTAGAAGCATTTTGAGGAAACCTGACTCACTTCCTTGCTTGTATTTTGAAAAAACAAAAACATTTTGCATAATGGGACTTAATAAATGCTCAAATTTACAGCTGTTGTTTTTCTCTCGGTCTTTCCGAGGATTTTCGTTTTGTTTCTCCCCCTGAGTTCTCCTGGGTGGAATGTGATTCCTTTCTCCCTTCTGTTCTTTCGACCAGGTTTATGTACTGGACTGAGTGGGGTGGCAAGCCAAAGATTGACAGGGCTGCGATGGACGGCACCGAGCGGACCACTCTGGTGCCGAACGTGGGCCGCGCCAACGGCCTGACCATCGATTACGCCAAGAGACGCCTCTACTGGACCGACCTGGATACCAACCTGATAGAATCCTCCAACATGCTGGGTGAGGATGCAGCTGCTTCTTCCGTGTTCCTCGTGGCAAACTGTCGCTTAAATAACGCAAAGACACTCAAAAACCTTCCGAACTCGCGAGGCTTCAACATTTGCTTCTGTAATCCCTGTTCACTTAACCCAACATATAGCAGTTTTCTTGCAGCTGATAGAGTTGCTCAGAAGGTTAAAATTATCCGAGCTGTACGTATTTCCAGTTATATGTGGGACAAAGCTGTCAGCTTTCGGTGTTTTGGAGGGTCTTGTTTTGCTGCTCTGAAGAGCACTGACAAATGCATGACAAAGGCGGGGAGAAAGCGAAGATAACAACAGCTCATTCAGTATTTTTCACAATGTAATTTAATGCAGTTTGATTTTAAATCTTTATTGGTATCCCCAGGCATTTCCCTCCCCCCCCCATTATTCTGCATGCTAAGGACCTTTTCCTGGCTAGTACTTGTCAGCAGGGGAGTTGTCTTGTACTGGGGTGTTTTGTGATGGTTTTTATAAACTGGTCATTGCAGCTAAATGGAGGTGGAATATTTTATTCTTTCACTGTCCCAGGGTACTGCATTGAGGACCCAGGCTCTCTCAGATTTGCACAGTATCTTTATTTAATTTCTCTTTACCCACGGGAGTGGACTGCCCTGTTGTGTGCCAAACTATTCAGATCAGCATTAACACTAGCCAGTATTTAAGGATAAAGGAGTTAGTCTGCTTTAAACAGTATGCCTGCAACAGTGGAACGAAACTAGAAAAAGATCAAACCAGGAAAATGCAATATGGGAACTAACTATATGTGATATGAAAGCTTCTCTTCTTCTTACTTACTTTGGTGTGCTGTGGATGCTGACTCTGTGTTCCCTTGTGTAACGTGGAACTGGACATGGCATTTGAGTTTCCTTTTCCCTGTGCCCGTGGCTAGTGATGGTGGGGGGTGTTGTGCACTCCTGATTTCTCTGTGCAAAGAGGGAATGACTTCTGGCTTCATAATCTCCCATTCATTTTGTGTGACCAGACAGCAGGAGGTGCTGTGGGAATGAAGCGATTGACATAACATGGTATAAATAAATTCTCCCCCCCCATGTCCTTCACCTTGAGGTCTCTTAACATTTCCACAGTATACACAATTAACTGTTTCCTCTCCTGGCTTTCTGATTGCTTGTTCCTGTTGTGACATTGCAGAGACAAGTTAGTTTAACCTCGTGCATTTAATTTGTGTCTTGATGCAGTGGAGAATTTCATTAAGCTTGTAACAGTTTTAATTTTGTAAGCAGGTGGGCAGAGACCCAAATGTGGTGCCAAGAGATGCAGTGTCAGGATCCTGCATCAAACTGAGAGGGACCCTGTCTGTTTTGGGGAGGAGGGAAAGGACAGAATCTTTCTTTTCAGTTTGTCCACATATAACTCTGCTTTTCCTCTCTGTTCCTTCTTGGAACCAGGCCTTGACCGTGAGATCATAGCTGATGACTTGCCTCACCCCTTCGGCTTGACCCAGTACCAGGACTACATTTACTGGACAGACTGGAGCCGGCGCAGCATCGAACGGGCCAACAAGACCAGTGGCCAGAACAGAACCATCATCCAGGGGCACCTGGATTACGTGATGGACATCTTGGTGTTCCACTCCTCCAGGCAGGCGGGCTGGAACGAGTGTGCCTCGAGCAACGGGCACTGCTCTCACCTGTGCTTGGCAGTGCCCGTGGGTGGCTTCGTCTGTGGCTGCCCAGCTCACTATTCCCTCAACTCTGACAACAGGACCTGCAGTGGTAAGCCATGCTGGATGAAAAATGAAATGGGGAAGCACATGTGTTTAGTAACAGATGCAAGCATTATACTTATTATCTATTTAAACAGGAAGGCTAAAAATGCTTTTGGTTTTGTATGTCTGTCCTGCCCTCCTCGAGTGATTGCTTGCTTGTTTATTTATCTGCTACTTTATTTCAAGTCTTGTCTGGCATCAAGGAAATGTGATAGTTTGGTGTGGATTACAGATTTTGTGCAGGCTTTAGGTGGTCAGGATTTCATTCTGTGGTTGCTGTGTTGTCTGGCTGATGGGATGCTGAGGTGGGCTGCTGCCACACCTCAAAGTGTTTCTTCCTCAGAGAAGTTGGTTTGGCTCCACAGCCTCCCAGCAGTCTGATTTCTGATCTCAGTGCAGCCAAGCCCCTTTTTTTTTTTTTTTATTGTTGTGCAGAATTTGAACCACAAGGCCCCTCAGGCTGTGTGTAATTAGCTTCTAACCAAATAATTTATCCATCTCTCAATAGCGGGCTGCCAGTGGAGCTGTCATAATTTTGGCAACCACGCTGGGTGGCTGATTTCCACTGGTGTCATTCAGATTAGTCAGTGGGTGAAGAGACTCATGGTACAGAGAGGCAGATTGTATCTTGTCCACATTATGCATGAGTAGAGAGCTCCAACTGACATTCTCACACGGTCATGCGAGTTAAAGGCATGGCTGGCACCTCTCTGGTGATGATTTTGGAGGTGGAGGAGTTTGACTTCCAGCAGGGAATAAGTAGCAAGATGATCAGAGGTCTTGTTTGCTTGTGAAAATGCTCTTGGAAACAAAGGAAGGAGTAAAATACAGGGAATACACTGGGAGCAAATAGAACCATTCCCCCACGGTACAGTTCTAGGCTCTTTGGAGGGAAAGTACAGGTTTTCCAGAAAGCAGAAGTGCCTTGCAATTAGGCCTGATTGTTGTAGGATGTTTAGGATGTTAGGTCTGTGTGTTAGTTACCAAGGAAACTCCTCTCTGCCTTTTTTTTCCCCAGCAGTCAGAAGAGATGTTCAAAGCTTATTCTAAAATAACAAAGCAAGGTGATGATGTTCTCCAGGAGGCTTTTGCTGCCTTACCTGTTTTACAGGCTTGTAAATAAGTGCAAAACTGCCAAACTCTGAACTCCTACTGCTAAACTCTCTCCAGGCCTGTGCTATGAGAGAATTGATTGTACAAACTTCAGGGAGGCTTCAAACTGCATTTCTGGCTGCTGGTTCTCGTGACATCTTGCACAGCAGTGGCTGCAGGTGGGGAAGAAGCCCTTCTTGAAAAGAACCCTCTGAAAAGGGAAAATGCTTTAACCATCTCCTCTGATTTCTGACCCAGTTATGTAATGGAGAGATAATTTTTTTTTCAACAATGCATGAAGTGCTTTGTGCTCTTACTGTAATGCACAGCTGGTAAACTACAGCAAAATGGCATTTCCAAGGGAAAAAAAAAACATCTGTCCAGGAAATTTTTGCTGGGCATGTGGAGCAGAGTGTCAGATTTTATTTTCTTTTTTCTGATTGCAGGCTATTATTCCCAGATAAGCAACTAGAAATAAGAAAGATACATAGATTTGAGAAGAGCAAATACATTTTTCTCCAAAAAACACAACCTCACACACAGTTAAGAGATTTTCCTGTGAATTAGTTTTTGTTTCATTCCAGTGCAGGCAAAAAGAGGGTTTGTGGGAACAGGACTGAACCGCTGTCAATCTCTTTTTTCCGTGAAACCTCTAAATAAAGGAACCAGTGCTGGCTTTTTCTCACCTTCCTCTGCAAGTAGTAGTGTTTCTGGCAGAGGGTTCAACCTCCTAAGACCCCTTTAGAAAGAAAATGGACAGTTCTTTGAGAGGCATGATTGACCATTCTTCTTTGAGGTGATTTTGACAGGAGTCTTTGCATTCGTTAGTCTGTCCACTTAGAAAATTTAGCTTTGCCTGTCACATACACGTACAGACATTTATAGTAAAAAGAGATCATTCAGAAGGCTTTTCAAATTCATCAAAGGTTAGGATTTTTATGTATTATTTCGGGGTTTTTTGCTTGTTTTTGGCAAAGGAAGAGGGAGAAGGGGAATGAAATAACAGGTACTGTCTGGTTATGTCTAATAGTGGTCATTCTTAAGCATAAAAGTGTCCAGGTTTATCGCTGTGTGTAACCCTTCCACCCCCCTCTCTGCCTCTAACCCCGTCAAGCTCCTACGACGTTTCTGTTGTTCAGTCAGAAGAACGCGATTAATCGCATGGTGATCGACGAGCAGCAGAGCCCAGACATCATCCTCCCCATCCACAGCCTCAGGAACGTCCGAGCCATCGACTACGACCCCCTGGACAAGCAGCTGTACTGGATCGACTCCCGGCAGAACATCATCCGCAAGGCGCAGGAAGACGGCAGCCAGGTATGGGGGTGGCACTGCTGAACATTGTGCCAAATATGGACTGATTGTATGGGAATAATTCGGGTGCACGGCTTTCCTGTAGGGTTAACGTCAGCTTGGCAAAACAAGTGGCACCTGGAGTTTTCGGGAGCCCTCCGTCGGTAAATCTGGGAGGTTGCAGCGAGAAGTAAATCATGGAAAGCCAAGGCCAGCTCCAGGGTGCTGTTGTTAACGGTGCATTGTTTGCTCAGCGCTGTCTTTTGTCTGGAAGCTGTTTGAAGCCCTTACTTGAGATATGAAACGTGGAAGGGGAAGTTCTTGGGAGAAATGGGGTGTGTGTGAGCAAGAAGGGTGCAGGGCAGTGACTCTCAAATGGAGAAGGGGGCGCTTGATGAGCACACAGCTGTGTGTGGAGCCTCCCAGGCTCTGCTGCAGATTGGAGGAGTTTTGTAAAAACACTGAGTGAGGAGCTTGAAGCTAGTGACCTGTAAGAGATGGAGCAAGCTTGGGAAAATGGATTTGACAGGGGAATGCAAAAAAGGTAGAGTAGGGTAGAAGGCAAAAGGTAATACAGGTTGTGGTGGTTTGACCCTGGCTGGATGGCAGGTGCCCTCTGAAGATGCTCTGTCACTCCCCTCCTCAGTGAGACAGGACAGAGAAAATACAACAAAAGGCCTGTGGGTTGAGATAAGGGCAGAGAGAAGTCATTCACCAGTTTCCATCACAGGCAAAACAGGCTCAACCTGGAGAAATTAATTGAATTTATTACCAATCAAAATCAGAGTAAGATAATGAGGCCTAAAATCTCAAAAACACCTTCCCCTACCCCTCCCTCCTTCCCAGGCTTAACTCCTTCCTCACTGACCTTGGTGTCTGCAGGGCTGCCTCTCTTACATATTTCTCACTCCTGTCTTCTCTGGCCACATTTACTTCTGCCCAGTAACTTTTTTCCCTTCTTAAATAAGCTATCACATTTATCACTCCCACCATCCCTGCTGGGCTTGGCCTTGGCCACAGCAGGTGCATTCTGGAGCCACGGGGGAAGCTTCCAGCAGCTTCTCGCAGGAGTCACCCCCACAGCCTTCTCCCCCCACCAGAACCTTGCCACACAAACCCCATACACAGGTTTAGTGAGGGTAATTGTGAGTAGTGACTACTTATTTATTTATTCACATTTTATAATAGATTTTTTTCCCTTCCTGATTTTTTTCAATATGGGAGGAGTGGGAGATGAAGGTGAGTAACACAGATTGTGCTATAGTCAGTTTAATTTTAAAAGTGTGGTTTCTGGTGGTGGATGGGGTGATAGCTGGATTCTGCTGAACACCCCTCAGCCATAACTCTTCATTTAGCAATGCTTAAATTAGCAGTGCTTTTAATATGGTAGTATTTTGGTTGCCTCCTTTTTCTGAACAGTAGTTTGACGTGGTACAGCCACAGGAAATAAAATAATCCGTGTTCTATTAAGATTAAATGTCCTTCTGTGTGTTACCCACCTTTTCTTTGCAGAGCCTCACTGTTGTGACCAGCCCAGTGCCCAACCAGAACTTAGACATGCAGCCCTACGACCTGAGCATCGACATCTACAGCCGTTACATCTACTGGACCTGCGAAGCCACGAACGTCATCAACGTGACACGCCTGGACGGCAGAGCCATGGGGGTGGTGCTCAAGGGGGATCAGGACAGGCCCAGAGCCATTGTGGTGAATCCAGAGAAAGGGTAGGGAGCTGAAATAATAATCAGGGGGGGAAATTCAGGCTGAAGGGATTGAGAATCAGGTTGGTTTGTTTTTTTTTTGCTGCGGCTTGGTTTCTGTTTGTCAGAATGAAACCAACTTTGGCGTTTGCGAAGATGTCCTGGATTTATAGCAAAAATGTGTAAAGATGAAATAAACTTTTTTCCTCTAATCCTTCCTGTTCCAGGTACATGTATTTCACCAACCTGCAGGAAAGGTCTCCTAAAATTGAGAGAGCAGCACTGGATGGAACTGAACGAGAAGTGCTTTTTTTCAGTGGTCTGAGCAAGCCCGTAGCCTTAGCTATCGACAGCCAGCTGGGCAAGCTCTTCTGGGCTGATTCAGATCTGCGGAGAATCGAAAGCAGTGACCTGTCAGGTAGAGCAGCACTTTAACTCAGTGATTCATTTGGGTGCTGTGGGTGTGGGGGAATGCAGAGAGAGGTGTCATCTTTTTCTTCCATTATAAACAGTCTATACTGTGATTGTAATCACTCTAAATTCCCAGCCAAGGAATGGGCATGATTCATGCAGTGTGCCTTTACAGTTTCGTGCCTCTATCTGTGATTTGCATTATTAATTGCTACACATGCTATTTACTTCAGTTTCTCCCTGCAAGGCAATTCGTGTGGTTTCCCAAAGTTAGTTCACAAATAAACTGCAGCAGTTTTGGAGAGGGTTGTTTTTAAAGGCATTGGTTTTGGTGCAGTAATTTGTCAGTCAGAGGAAAGTTCCCTGTTAGTGGGAAAATCTGTCCAGCAGAGTTAAAGCAACAGGTGTCCAGGTTACTTATGCACTTATCATTTAGGGTGAAAAGATGTGAGAAGAACTGAGCAGATCTAACATCTGTTCTCAAAAGACAAAAAAACTCCCTCCTCCAGCTATGGAATTGCCTTTGCCTGCTCCCTGAGGTTGGTTGTGGTGCTTGTCTGAGCTCCTCTGTGAGCGACTCAGCTCACTTAACCACCCAAGCAAAATAATAACAATACAAAGAAAAGGAGTTTCAGTTTTTCTAGATGGTTGGAACTGAGGCTCAGAAAAACAGTAATTTTTTTTCAGTGGTGTGTGTCATTGGAAGGTGCAGGGTCACTGGAATCGCAGTATCCTGACTGTTTACTGCTTTAAAACAGTAAGGCATAACCTGAGTTTGTGAATTGCTTTTGAAGAGAAAAATTTGGAGTGGTGTAGCTCAAGTGTGTTGTAAGCTGTCCCACACCCAGAGTTTGCATGAGTAGGGTGACAGGTGGCAGAATATCACACCATGTTTAATTTCTCTCTTTGTTTGTTATCTGCCCAGAATTAAAACACCGGAGGAGATGGGTCTAAATTCCAGTTTAGTCTGGTTTTAATGATCCTGCTTTTCTTTTTTTCTTTAAGATGTGTTTATTTTTGTCACCAGTGTTGTATTTTGAAGAACACAAGCTAAAGTCATTCGAAAACCTCTCTTGCTTTTTGGCATTTGCAACACCAATAGAGTGCTGTAATCACCAGGATAAATTGCTAACTGCCGAGATGCATTCCTGTGCTTAGGAATGCTGATTAATAGGCTCTTTTGACCAGCAGAGTAATTTTTCTGCACGTTAGCTTATTAAAAACATTCACAGTCTCTTGCTCTGTCGACTCTGTAGATGGCAGGACTCACAAAGACCAGGACAGTTAGAATGCCTTTCATGTGATGCAGTCTGCCTTTTCCTCCCTGTCCTTCAGGCATTCACTTAGGACTTAGTATTCCTCCCAAATGGGATATCCTGCTGAAGTTACCCAGAGCCTTCACTTGATTTATGAAAAGATGACTGGAATGAGCTCCCTGCCATGGAAACTATTTGGAAATTAGTCCTTCTCTTCCAGAAAATCTACTGTGATTTGGAAATGTCTGATGGTTCTGGAATTAAGTAATTTTTCTTGGGAAATAGAAGGAGCTATGGGTGTGTCCTGATCTTTGCATTTATTTGGTTGGTTTTAAGTCTTTTGGTAGAAGGTATTGCTGGAGAGAGGATGGTGATGCCAGGAGACAAAAGCTCCTCTTAATCATGTCTCCCTTTCATCTGACATTCCCAATAAAGGAAACCAGCTCTCTAATGAATCAGCTTCAGATTTTATCGTTGGTTTATGGAAGAAGGGGTTTTAGGGTCTTGTTTTAGTCGCAAACAGTCAGTTACACTTGGTCATGAATATTAAAAAGAAAGATTAAAACGTTAAGGAAGGGAAAATTTTAAGCTTCTGAGCTTTAGGTGCATTCTGCAAAATGATTGCCGTGGTCATGGCAGAGCAGAGCATGTACAGACTCCATTTGGGTAGGTCAAGGTCCTAATTTTTGTATTTCTTACTGTCATCTTGGCATTTTGCCCTGTTCCCAGCTTATCTCTTCTTCTCATGATTCAGGTTTCTGTTTCTCACCTTTTCCCAATTAGTCACGTTCACGCATGTTAATAGATGGTTGCAGTTATTTAAATTGACTTACATCACTCAGTCTGGTAATTTCCCCATCAGTCAGGGTATAACCTCCTTCAGAATCCATCAACGTCTTTTCTTAATCAGATGTTGTTCCAGAGTGGTGGGTGAGACTCCAGTCCAGCTGATTTGAATTTCCGTGTTCTGCTTTAGATTCTAACTCTTAGTAAATGTTTGGAAGGTTGCTTAATTTCTGAACTCTGTGTGCATTTAGCAAAAAGGAGGTAAATACATTTTCCACCATCAAATTTGTTTGGTAGTCATCATCGCCGACCTACTGGTCATAAAATTCTCAACAAGCTAAAAAAAAACCTCTTCTTGCTACCAAACAAAGCAGAGGGATAGAATTTACTCCAAGTATAAAATCATGAAATGCATGTGTCTTCTGTCCTGTTACATTATCTTGTGTGGGTATGGTAGATTGTACTAGTTAGCTCAAGCTAATTATCCATCTTCTCATTCCCTGTTGTATGGCAAGACAAAGAAATTGATCTCTCCAAAAAGGGAAAGAAGAATGAAAAGAACTACCAATTTCCATCTTATTGAGAAAAGACTGGAAAGACCAATGAGAGCTGAGCCCCCAGTTCCAGGTGCCTCTTAAGTACAGTAGATGTTTTAGAAGCACAGAAACTGTTTTCTTGATGAAAGCAGAAAAAAAATTTAATCATCTGTCTGCCAAATGCATTAGTGGTGCATCAGAGGACCATGAATTGCTTGAGTTTTTTACAGTAGGCTTACCTGGTAGCATAGGAGGAGTGAAAACCAGCGGTGTGAGCAGTGCAGAAAATGTTTCTGATAGTAATTCAGTTTATTCTGGTTCAACTACACCGCTCTTTCCCTTCTCCAGGTGCCAACCGGATTGTTTTGGAAGACTCCAATATCCTGCAGCCCGTGGGACTAACTGTGTTCGAAAACTGGCTCTACTGGATCGACAGACAACAGCAGATGATTGAGAAGATTGACATGACCGGCCGAGAAGGACGTACGAAGGTCCAGGCTCGGATTGCACAGCTCAGTGACATCCACGCTGTGAGAGAGCTCAACATTCAGGAATACAGTAAGTGCAGCCCCTGTCTGCAGGTGCAAACAGTGCCTGTGGGACTCGAGACAAGGAGTGGCCACAGAGACTGAAGCTTCCTTTGCCTTTTTGCTGACCAACATCCGTGCAGATGGCAGGGACCAGAAGTTGGTATCAGTTAGCTGTCAGGGTGCTCTTAGGATTGTTTCCTTCAGGCAGTTGGCAATGGATTGGAAATCTATCACAACCCCAGCATGATATTTTGTTGCTGATGACAGCTTTATTGTAGTGTCACACAGGCACCTGGCACTTGAGTGTCTCTAGGCACAGTGGAAACATCCTGGTATCCCCGGGAGAGGATTTTCTGGATCGTGCTAGTGAACTGCTATGAGGTGTTTGCTCTGTTTAGGCAAGCACAACTCTCAGGGCTTTTACTGGCACCGAATGTTTCAATGGACTTGTGGGCCTTGAAGGCAGAGTGAGCAATTTTTGATAGGGGGAATTCATATTGAAAGTGAATGACAGAGAACAATGTTGCACTAGAAAAAGGAAGTATGTATTAAATAACAATTTGTGTTGAACGTGGCTGCGCTTTGAAAAGTTTTCTGTTCCCTACACACAATACTCTTGAAATCATGGGAGGTAGATGGTTAAAGCAGTGGAGTTGCTGTCATCCTGGAGGAAATATGCCTGGTTAGTAGGCTGTGGTGCATGCCTGGGAGAAATATGTAGAAAAACGTCTGGGGATGCTTAATTAAAACATCGATGCAGACTACTACTAGTTTTGTGTGCTATTAATCTCAGTAAATCTGTCAGGAGTTCCAAGAGAAGTATGTTGTCCTCATTAAACATTAAAATGAAGAGACATATTTATCTAGAGCATGTTAATTTGAGTTTTGGAGACTGGAAGCTTTAGAATTCATAAATTAGGAAAAGTTTACTTTTTTTTAATGGTCTTTGATAGAGAAAATGAAGTATGGAATCCAAGACATTTTTTTAGTAGTGCTCTTCCCTAAAGGAAGTAATGAAGGGGGACCGATGGGCCCAAAGAAATCACTGAAAAGTTGTGAAAGAGGTGGAGATTTCTTGTCAGTCCCTGTCTTTCTTGTTTTTAAACTCACAGGACAGCATCCCTGCTCCCAAGATAACGGTGGCTGCTCACACATTTGCATCGTGAAGGGCGATGGCACCACACGCTGTTCTTGCCCCGTCCACCTCGTTCTGCTGCAGGATGAGCTGTCCTGTGGAGGTAAGCCTTTCCCATGCTCTGTGCCACTTCAATTTTGAATTGTATGATTTTCAGCACTTTTTTCTCTCACTCCATACGTTCTCCTCGTTCAAATAGGGGTAGATTCTCACATTCTGGCACTCTGCACTGTCTATGCCACTTTATTCTTCTCTGTTGTCCTCCTCAAGCTCACCCTGCGTGTGTCTTTCTGAACTTGGGTGCCAGAAGGGCAAGTTGCCTCCTCCATGGTGATGCAGTCACTGTAACCCACACCCTGGTGTCTCCAGAGGAGGGGTTGAAACGGGGGAGAGGAGAAGCCCTTTGGTGCCACTGTGCTGAATGGATTTATTATGCAATCATCTCGCCATCGAGGCTGCATGTGTGCTCACAGTGGAATAAATAACATAATCCAGATATCCTCTCAGAGCAAGTTTAGTACCAGGCCAAAAAGCAGAGGGAGGAAACGGGGATTAAAAAAGGGGAGAAAAAAAAATCCACATGAAATGAACAGTTAATGTAGTAAATGTTAAATAACAGCCAACAGATGTGTCAAGACGGTTGAACTTGACTAGATGGAACAGTTTTTTTGTTTTAAAAGAATTTTGACTGAGCAGAACTGACAAGGGCACATAAATAGACACTGAGTCACAGTGCATCCATGTACAGCACATCACATCCTTTTAACATTTTCTAGAGTAAGCCATCAGCTGTGGATACAGTAGTGTTGCAGGAAAGAGGGAGTAGAAAAGTGTGATGACTTTTAATGAAGAGTTGAAGACCTGCTAAGAGAAGGGTGTAGGAGTCTTAAATGGGAAAGGAAGAAAATAATTGTGTTTCGTGGGCCTGTTTCTCTGTTCCTCTTGTTCTTTGTCTGTCAAGCCCCCGCTGATGTGAGCCTTCATCAGTCCCCTGGGGCTCAAGGTCTGCCAAATGACTGTGGAGGCAGTGGGTGTGGAGGTTACCCTGTGACACGGAGTGTTTATCAGCTGCTTCGATAAGTGAAAGCTGCTGAGCCCTTCGCCTGGACGGAGCTGTTTTGTTCACCCGGATTTTTAATTCTTGTCTGTTTTGCTTGATTTTTTTAAGAGCCACCAACATGCTCCCCTCAGCAATTCACCTGTTTCACAGGTGAGATTGACTGCATCCCCGTGGCCTGGCGCTGCGACGGTTTCACTGAGTGCGAGGACCACAGTGACGAGAAGAACTGCCCCGTGTGCTCAGATACCCAGTTCCAGTGTGAAAGTGGCCAGTGCATAGACAGTGCCCTCCGGTGCAACGGGGAAGCAAATTGTCAGGACAACTCAGACGAGAAGAACTGTGAAGGTACAGAGGACGCTTTGGTGTTGTCATAGGGGCGCGATAATAAATACCAGTGTTATTACTGAGCAGGGTTTGGAAGGATCCAAGGTTCTGCTTGTTTTTAAACTGGTCTATTAAATGGAAATTATTTCATAACTCCAGGCTTTTGTTTCTCTACCTGTGAGGTGGAAATTAAGACTGATCTCTGTCTCGCAGTGGTTTTAAACACTGTAAAAAGTACTGTTAAAAACGGTATGATTTTAAGCTCTAAAAACCCAGTATCTGGGGGTGAACTACCAAGTGGAACAATTCCTTGTCGCTGCTTTTTGTGTCCCTTGTACCAAGCAAAGGTCGTGGGATTGTTTATTTCAGTAGCTGACAAAATGAGCTTTTCTGAGTAACCGGTAGTGAGAGACAGATGGGATTTCTGGAGACCTCTTCTTCCTGCAGAGCACAGTAAAAGAGAGTATTTAAACCATCATTGCAGTGGGAAGCACTGTTGCCAGTACAATCAGCTTTCTTCCCAAAGTGATAGTATATTTTTTGAGTGTACTGGCAAAGCTTCAGTTTCATATTCTGTCTTTCATTTCAGTTTAAAAACATAATGGCAAGTAAAATGTATTGTCTTATGGTCAAGGAGCTTTCTGGTTTACAGGAAGAGCACAAGGACAACGAGAAACCACATTTATCTTTCTTAAACAATTTTATCATCATGGTTAGGCAGATTTATTTTTAATAACTTAATTATTTTATATTACAGTAAATGCTTAGATTTGGCGATTCTCATAGTAAATAACCATGTCCTGGGATAAGTGCCTATCTCCTCAATGGCCTTCTGCTTGTGAGTTATTTTAGATGAGGTGACTTTCTCTTGTAGTGCTCTTAGGGTGAGCAGGCAGTGAGGGCCAGGTCCCCAGTGTGGGATCCTCAGCAGAACACTGAACCACTCACTCTTGCACGGTTCACTGGAGGGACTTTTTGTGTCATCGGCTACTTTCAGAAATTAGGATTGCAGCATTCTAGGCTCTCCTGATTGTACACTTTGCTGCCTTTGTTTCTTAATAATTTTGAAGAGGAGAAGCCTTTGATATTGTCACTTATTCTGCGGGTGGTTCTCTTGGCAGTGCTCTGTTTGACCGATCAGTTCCGCTGTGCCAGTGGGCAGTGCATCGGGAAGAGCAAGAAATGTGATCACAACCTGGACTGCAGCGACAGCTCAGACGAGCAGGGATGCTGTAAGTGTGTTACCTGAGACTGGAGGCTTGGTTGCAGCATCCAAAATTTGTTCCTCACCTTCCCTATAAGTTAGATTTTATTCTGTCAACCGTGGTTTTCTCATCCAGAGAGTTAATAGCAGGTGCTTTTAGAATCGTAGGAGCACCCTATTTATAGAGTAAACCTTTTAAATTTTCTTTTTTATCTTGAAAAGATGTAATTCTGAGCTTGATATACGATTTGTAATATGTGATTTCCACTACCTTGAAGTCTCCAGGGCACTACAAGGATACCGCTGCCTTGAAAATTCCAACTGAAAAGTTCATTTTCACTGTTGGTGCTCTAAAAGAAATTTTAAACAGGGACATTTCTTGTGTTAGAGATCCATATATCATGGTTGACACACACATAATATGAAAATGCAAAGCCAGAGCTGGAGAAGGAGTTTAATTCTTGAGAAGGAGTAATAGGAGATGTTCTGTCATGCTGGCAAGTTACTGGTGACATCCTTGCAGACTTGTGTAGTTACCTTTAGTATAGTTTATATTTTTCCAGTTTTGTAATAGAGGATGGAAAATTGGCCCTCCCAGAATAAAACTGCAGTTGCAAGCATCCCTCTTTCAGTATGATCAGAGGAGTCTGTTTACTCATCTCTGTGGACTGTGACAGGCTGGTTAAAGTGTGGGTTGGGTGTTCGGGGAGAAGAAAATGTGTTGAGGAAAAAACTTCCAGTAATGTGTAAGATGTAAAACACTGACTGAGAACAGGAAAATATTTTAGTCCGCTTTTCTTGCCAGATTCATGAAGCACAGGCAGGGAGTTGTCAGAAATGTCGTTGCTTAGAACTGGTATTGTAGGGAAAGCCACTCATTTTGACTGCTGAGTAATTGTTTTGGATACAGTTTCCTCAGAAAATGGTACCTCTCGAGCTGATGCTCAGCTATATCTGAGGGTGGGTCAGATGTGTTGTAGGTTAGGCAGTTTAATAAAGAGTATCAAACCCAAAATTCATCACTAGTGAACGAGAGAGGTGATGCACCGTAAGTGAATGTTACACGGGTGAGAAAAGGGAGATATAAGGAAAACTGGTGTTGATTTAAACTTTCACAGTCTGATTTTCCCTTTGCCCTTTCAGACACAACAGAGGAACCTGCCCCCCAGCCCAACAACACGATAGGCTCCATCATCGGTGTGATCCTCACAGTCTTTGTGGTCGGGGCAATGTACTTCATCTGCCAGAGGGTGCTGTGCCCACGCATGAAGGGAGATGGGGAAACCATGACCAATGACTATGTGGTGCACGGCCCAGCCTCTGTCCCTCTGGGTTATGTGCCTCACCCCAGCTCTTTGTCAGGGTCTCTGCCTGGTAAGGAAATGGGACTTTAAACATCATGTAGTTATTCTTGGTGGGTTTGTGGACTGAGTTTTTATGCTTGTGGAACTTCTTGCAAAGTCAGTGATGACCAGCAATAATTGTAGTCTCAGCTTGTTTTGTTTGGTGATGAAGTTTCTAACACCAGTCCAAGCACACTTTGCTGCTGTTTAAGAAGTAAGACTTCATCCCAGTGTTGCACTTCATTTAAACGCGCTGCTTCTTTATATGTTAATTAAATATGTCCTGTAACTTGTGACTTTGGATCCAGCAGGTTCCTGTCAGCACTGAAGCTCTGTGAGGCTGTTACAGGGTTAAAACAATGCATCAAATTACTTTGTGTAATAACCTGTGTAAAGATTCTGTGAGCAGAATTTCCCCTGTTATTTCGAGCACCGTTTTCCACTTGGACTCTGTGCCAGTGCTTCAGTCACTAGCAAATGTTTTGTTTTAAGCTTCCTTTTCTCAGCTGAATATTGACATACACCTTTGTTCCTCAGGTATGTCTCGAGGTAAATCTGTCATCAGCTCCCTCAGCATTATGGGAGGGAGCAGCGGGCCGCCCTATGACAGGGCCCATGTTACTGGAGCCTCCTCCAGTAGTTCTTCAAGTACCAAAGGCACTTACTTTCCTCCAGTAAGTTACTCTGTTATTTGTAGACCTTTAATAACTTGCAGAGAAGTAACGGTGTCTCCTGAGTCTAACCCATTGACAGATTAATGTTTTGGTTTAGATTTTTAGCTTAATAAACGTGTTTCAAGATGGAGTATGTGATTTTTGAAAGGGAAGGAAGGTGAGATTGTCTTTTTCCAAAACAGTCTAGAAATTTTAATTTAAAAAAGTTGTGAGAGAGCTCAGTGCCAGAAAAAAGAAATGTTAGATTGAATGTCAGGGGAGATGAAAAAAATCCCTGTAAATGTTAAGCAGCTCTGGCAGAGAGATCTCCTTTCATTACACTCTGCCATGTGCCTCTGAAGGTAAAGCTATGATTGATTCTGTATAGACTTTCAAGGAATTAAAGTGAAGTTTTGTGTCACGTGTCTGACAAGTGACAGATAAGTGAACAAATGTTTGGCAGCTCCATTACATCCTTCTGGTCACAAACAGCTCGTATGCTGCTCCCCATCTCTTCACTTCTAGCTTCTGGGGAGGTTGTTTTAGATATTTTTATTAGGTCAGCATTTTTGGAGAAGAGCTTAATAGTAGCTGGTAGGAATGGCAACAAATGGCATTTTGAGTGTCTGTTAAAGAACTGGGGAATAAACAAACGAAAAATCCCACTTGGTTGGCAGGGCTATGCATGCAGTTCTTTATTTAAGGTTCCTATTATACAGTACTAAAAAGAAAAATTATTAAACTGGTGTTTTCTTGAGTTTACTTTGTATCTTTCCTTTTTAACTGTGTTTTTTTTCCTTGTTTTACTCCTTAGATTTTGAACCCGCCACCATCACCAGCCACTGAACGTTCACACTATACCATGGAATTTGGTTATTCTTCAAACAGCCCATCCACTCACAGATCCTACAGGTAATCACTGTTACCACAGCTCCTGTCAGGATTAAGGAGTTAGTGTGGAAAATGCAGAATGAAGGCAGCCTCTGCTCCATAAGAATTGCAGTCAAAGGCCCTTAATTGTGCAAGCACCATAGCAGTGCTTGAATGGGTTCACGTGTACCAGGTCACTGATGGGTGTGCACAAGTGCAGCACTGACTGAGGTAAATCACACACCAGGTTGTTGTGGTGATACATCTCTTGGGTATATTGCTGTAGGGGGAATGACAGCACTCATCACAAAACTAGCTGAAAGCCAAAAGAAACATGGTACCATGATAGGTTTAAGCCAAAAATATTTACCCTGGAGTGAACCCTGCCCTTTTTTAGGCTTCTGTCAAAAATAATTTGTTACATAATTATCAGAGATTATAAGCAAACACCCTGTGGAGAAAAAGTTCTCAATATATAAAGGAGGTCAGAAGTAACATTTAATATTGTGGTCTAGATAAACTGCAGAATTTCTAGTTTGACATATTAAGGGTTAATATCTGGAAAAGGTTGCCAACCTTTTGCTTATTTTTGCTGACTAGTATTTATGGACACGTATGCTTTGTTTACTTGAATGTGTCTTTCTTACCTTTCCTTTAAGAATGCTGGAGTTAGTTATCATTTTACAGCAAGTTAGAGGAACAAAAATAAAGGAACAGACCTATACTACCCAAGGGTGTAAATGTTCCCCTGGCACATCCCCAGTAGATCTGGTCAGTGAAAAGAGAGTGCTGTGTTTGTCTGTTGAAAGATGTGCCTCCCTAACACAGAGCCTTTGGGGTTTTTTGGGATAATGAGGTCTCTGGGGCTAAACAGACATCCCCTCTCCATTAGCAGAAAATATGGCCTCTGTTGTGCAGAAGGTCGGACCAGATGTTTATAATGATCCCTTGCAGCCATAGAAAACATCTTCTAAAATTATAAGTAATTTTCTAATGAAAGAAATACCTGAATTCTGGTAACCAGCATGAGTCTTGCTGATCGGTGGTTAGCTGATGTACCTTTTACTACAATAAAATGGTATTAGGGGTGTAGCATAGGGTTCAGTGTTTTCCAAATGCTCCCCCGCCCAAAAATAACCATTGATCTTGCTGCCTCTGATCTTACTTCTTTGCTAATATTCTGACTTGACTATAGAGGAGCTGCATCCCCAGCTGACTGTGAGTTGTAGCTACCATGCTACTTCCCTTTCTAATTTGTTTCCTTGGAACTATATTTGGCTCATTTAAAAAAAATAAAATAAAAAAAAAAATGTTTTGCGGTAGCAGCCTTGGAGAATTTCATCCCAGTTACCGCTCTAAGGAGTGATTCTCCTGACTGCTGTGAACGCGCCGGGTAATTTTCAGTTTCCTTGTGTGGGCTTAGAAGTTAAAGTGTCCAGCAACTGCATAATAGCAGGATGTCTTCTCCATGTAATAGCAATGCAGCTATCACACACACACAGGTGCCCTTCCTGCCCCTCCGTCTTAATTGAGGTAGAAGAAACTGCTCCTAAGTCCTTAGGGAACGTGTTGTCTGTAGATAATTAATGATTAGCGTCGCATTCACCGGTTGCCGTAATTTGACTGATGCTGTGACGCGTGTGGTCGAAGGGAGGAGAGCGTGCCGCTGCGCATCGTTGCAGAGAGGCTGCCCTGCTTTCTGTTCCCACCTTGGCTTATCCCCCTGGGCTTCGCTCAGGGGCCCATCACCCAAAACGCGCGATCTCTCTGTACGCTGACCCCTTTTTTCCCCCCTGCTCCCACCTCAGCTACAGGCCTTACAGCTACCGGCATTTCGCGCCGCCCACCACGCCCTGCAGCACCGATGTCTGCGACAGCGACTACGGCCCCAGCCGCAGGGTCCCGGCAGCCGCGGGCAAGGGCTACACCAGCGACCTCAACTACGACTCGGAGCCCGTCCCTCCGCCCCCCACCCCGCGCAGCCAGTACCTGTCGGCCGAGGAGAACTGCGAGAGCTGCCCGCCCTCCCCTTACACCGAGCGCAGCTACTCCCACCACCTGTACCCACCGCCGCCCTCCCCCTGCACCGACTCCTCCTGAGGGGGAGCCCCCCCCGACCCGCCGCCTGGAAGTGTAAATACAAACTGTTCCCCTGGGGAAGGGGGGGAGGGAGCTCTCCGACAGTGTACAGTTCAACCGAGCGGGGCGGAGGAAATGGCTGAAGATATTTGTACAGAAGAATTAAAAAAAAAAAAAAAAGGGATATTTATATATTTTCTTAAATAGCGGCTGCTGCTCGTGCTATAAGAAGAAGAAGAAGAAAAAAAGAAAAATTTTGTGTAAAGGAAAAACGCAGACGGTTTGTACAAAAAGTTTTTATTTTTGCAAGTGGAACACAAAAACATGCCTTAAATCCAGTGGAGCGACTGAGCACGTGAGGAGATAGAAGGACTGGGATATGTTACTTGTCCAGAGAGAGGTGATATGTGGGGTTTGTCAATACCAAAAATGTTTGAGATAATTAATAATAAAGAAGTCCATCTCAGAGCAGCATACCATAGATACTTGGAAGTAGCCAAATATCCTCTATGTTAACTACAGAGGGCCAACAATGAAAGATAAACTTGAAAATGCAGTCAGGACAGATATTAACCTTGCACAAAGGGCTTTGTTTTCTACAGGAATACAGCAATTGTAGCAGTGAATCCAGAAAAAATAATCACACTTTTTAAAATTAATACACCTCTGATTTTCCTTAATGCAATTAACAAACTAGATAATTTAGCATTTAGAGCTCTCTCCTTGCTTCTGGAATTGTTGATTACTTTTTGGGGGTGTATTTTAAAATTCTTTTTTTTTAATCCCGATTAGGTTTTCTTATCTCTGCTGCATCCTTTCTTCCTGCCTGTGTCACTTTAAGTCATGATATTCTTATTTAAAGTACTGCTAGAACCGGGCTGCTGTAAATTCTGTTTTTTCTCCTATTTAGCCTTGTCATGCAGTGATTATCATGCTATACATTACGTTCTTCATTTTGCCAGCATGGTTGGATTCTGTTTTGGAGCAGGTCAGTATGATTTTCACATAATTGACAAGGGTAATATGCATATACCTGAGTGATTTTTAGTCCCATAAAAAGGAAAACCTTATTTTGACCTAGTGCCCACGAAATGTCAGATATTTTTATACCGCCTATAATACAGACAGCATATTTATAAACTATAAATTTAACCACGGATTGTTAGTTTTTCTGTAAATGAGTAATATATCCTTGCAGTACTTTCAGTGTATATTGATTATCACAGTATACAAATCATATATGAATAAATATATATATTATTTTTTTTCCTACTAAGGAAGCATTTAACTTTCAGTGGACCAACTGTCCATGGAAAAAAAAAAAAAAAAAAGAGATGTTTTGATCATTGGAAGGGGTTCCCCTGCTGTATGAACTGCTCATGTTTTCTTTGTGTTAGGTAAAGCCAGTTTCTCTCAGTATGATTTTGATGTACCTTTTGACATACCTCCTTTCGTGTGGTGTGAGCTTAATACTTTAGTATTAACCACTGTGAATGTCGAATTTCAAGATATTCTTAAACAAAACCATTTTATATTCACATCTCTATTTTTGTATATTATCACATTTAGCCCCTTCTCCCGTCAGCCTCACTGTGGTGATTTTGACAGGGAGATTATTTAATCAAGTGAAAATATTATTTGTATCGGTCAAGGGGCAACCTAGGATATTATTAACTTCTCCTGGACTCCAGTGCAGTGCTCTGCTGTGACTGTGTGGGAGCTCACAGTACACCTGATGGTAGATGGCATTATGCATTTGCACCTTCTGTTGACACCAAATCCACCCAAGGTGCTCAATGCCTTTAAGGACTGGCCCTCTGAGTCTTCTCTCTCCAAAGAAGGTCCTGAGGAGCTTCTGCCTCCCCACCTTTGGGCATGCTATGGGGATTTCACCTTTCCAGAGGTGCCATTGGGGTTTTATTGTTCTCTGTTGCTTGTTTTCCCAGCCAGTTTCAACTGACAGAGAAATAATCTGAAAATATGGCATGGGCTTTAATTCATGCTGTTGACAAAATCAGTGCCAAGTAATTCTTCCTAGCTGCCACTCCTCTGGAGTACTGGATCCTCATTTGGCTTCAGCTCCAAGGAAAACTGTGTCATTGGGATTCCATCTGTAATAAAGGGTCTTTCCTAATAGTCCAGGATACCTGAAGAAACTTTAAGAAGCCTTGATGATCTCAAAGCTGTTGATCTCTGAATCTGGCATACTAAGGGGTTTTTTTTGCCCAGCTTCAATCTAGGTGTCTAGGAATTGTGGTAGCTGTTCTTCTGGCTCTTCCTTGCTGGTGAAGAAGTTTAGTTGTGTTCTCCAGCAGGATGGAGGTGGAGGAGGGTGTTGTGAACTATAAGGGAACTCAAAACCATATATATGAAGGGGGGGAGGGCGGCTGTGTCGGGGCAGGGGGGATCGAGGCTGGCACGCCAATGAGAATTAGAATTTCTCTGTTGTTTACACTTTTTCATGTGCAGCATTCCGTGGGGTTCATGTGTGGGAACTTGCACTAATGAACTCAGAAGAATATTGTGTTGTTGTTATCTATCTCAGTCCGAGTGCTTGTACTGCAATGGCAATGATCTCTTCTTGCAAAATACTTTTTTCAGTGTGCCAATTTCTGTTTGAAAAACTCCAGGATGGTTGAGCTTAAGGAGTGGTATTCTCTTTTCTGCTTCAGTTGGACTACCTTGCTGAAGCTTCCTCTTGGAAGGAACTTGCTGCAGGTAAATTTGTGAGTGTGTTGATTACAGTGAAGTTCTTCAGAAGGACGACATTCCCTGCACATGGGTCATGCTGCCTGCCTTCTGTGCTGGTTTATGGCCACACACAGCCCAGCTGAAGGTGGGCATGCAGTTCAGTGTAGGATTTGATTGCCTTTCTGATCCATATGTTTCAGTTTGTGCATCAGATATTTTGAGTGATCTGCCTCTGCAAGAGGGGGAAGGTGGACGGGCTTTGTTTTTCCATTGAGAAACATTAACTAGTACACACCCCTGCCCCAGTCCCAGTGGATAGACCCTAGACTGATTGAACATTGAGACTGAACGTTTTCAATTTAGGAGATTGCTAAAGTGGGTTTGTTAGCATAGAAGGGGTCTCACTGATGTCAGTGAAAATTGCTCCTTGTCCTTCAAGCTAAGCACAAATGTCCCTATTTTACAGCATCAGGTACAGTAAAGCCTTAACACAGGCACTCACTGTGCACCTTTTCCTATCTGTAGACACCTGGGCAGTGTTCAGACCTGGCTGTCTGGTGATGGAAATAACTGGTGTGCCCAGTCTGGAAAAGGAACAGTCCTTTGTAGTTAAAAAAAAACCCAAAACAAAACCCAGCATTATTTGTTGAAAAATAACCTTTGTGTGTTCAGCAGGAGCTTAGCATGTTTAAATGGCAACATTAATGAGACCTCATCTTGCCTTTTAAAGTAATACCTGGTCTGTCATGCTGCAAACATTTCACAGCTTCCTAAGGAGCAGATTCAGCCTTCCCTGCCTTTCAGAGTGCTGGTGTTGAATGCTGGACTTCTCTTGGCCAGGCTGTGTGACAGGCACAGAATACCTGCTACCTAAAACCTGAACACGAAGTGCTCTGTCAGACCAGACAGGAGAGGATGCACATTTTTTATACTGTTCCCTCACTTTTGGAGTCCCTTTTGCAGATGAGTGAAGGTACATGAAAAACAATCTGTAATTATGAAGAAAACTGCACCCCAACTGCCTGACACAGCAGGTGCTACAGTCAACTGTAAGTGAAGCTACATGTGGAAAATCCCTGTTATTCCTATTTATTACACTGATGGGCTTTGATGGTGTTCTGGGCTCCAGTTCTGCATCGTTTCTCTAGTTATTATAGCCCATCCTCTAGAAATGGCTTGATTGGCAAGCCTTAAACAACAGATTAACCTCTTTTGCTTTAAGGCAGTTAAACCTGCTCTAAGATGAAGAAAAGGCCATTGTCTTGAATATTGAGTTATTTCCAATTCCTTATTGCTTGGCAGATCTCATATTAATTGATTACCACCATTCTGAGGGGAACTGCTTAAACTCCAGAACTCCCTGATCACACATGCTGTTGAATTGGGTAACTTCTTCAAAATACCTCCTAAGAAGTAATCAATCTTTTTTTTTTTTTTTTTTCCCTGGCCATTTTGCCTTGAGCACGTTTGTCACACAATATCTACTGACAGAATCTGCTTTTGAAGGTGTACTGTGCACGTAGCAGATTATTTATTAGGTCCACAACAGAGAAATAACTGGCTGAGTGCAAAAATAATGGGAGCATTGTTATTCAGAAATTGCTTTCTTAGCAATGGGACTTTTTAAATTGCATTTTGGTGGTGGTATTGCTTGGAAATTACCCTTTAACTTAGTTGGCAGGTGACAGATACACCTTGAAAATATGTTGGGAGTGAACTAATAGCTTGAAAATGGCTGCAAAACAGTCAGTTTCTTTCTAAAAGAAGCCAAAATACTCCAGTCACTCAAAATATTTTGGTTTTTATCTTTGAAAAGAGCAGCAATGATGCGTTTATAGCATTTCTAGGGACTGGGTGATTCTCTTCAAAACTGGGCAGGGTAAGTAAAGTGTCCACATTTTATTCAGGACAGAGATTGTCTCAGGAGCAGGCAGGGTGATTGTTATGGGGAAACTCTTCCCCTCTTTTAAATGAACAAGGAGCAGCTTTGAAGTCCTGATTAAAATGGCTGTAGCCTTAAGCCATGCAGTTAAAAAGTCAGCAAGGGAAAATGAAAATGTTGTTTTTTGTGTGTGTGTGTGTGAAGAGGATACCACTAGGCTTAAGCTGAACTAGCCTTGTTTGCAAGTGAAGGATCTGGTGCTGCTTTTAGATTTTAAAATCTTTGTTTTGTTTTTTTTTTTGTTTGCTTTGTTTGTTCCCTGTTGTGTAAGCTTTAATCACTGTTTGTCATTGTCTTAAAGCCAGCTGGTGTCTCTTGTTCATCAGCTTTGGTACAAGTGGTGCTTTGCAAGGATGTATTTATATTATAATGGCCAACATTTGGTCAGCCCTAGTCACTTACTAACTTTTTTTTTTTTTTTTTGTAAAATAAAGTGCTTTACTTATACGGTGTATATAAACCTTGTACAAAAATCCTTTTCAATTATTACTATAAACTGAGTTGTAACAAATGAAATGTTGATTTTTATAATAAAACTGAGTGAAAAAGGAGGGGTGCTCTTCGTTTTGTTTCAGCATCTGGAAGACAGGTAATTAAAGGTACAAGTCCACGTGTCCCTTTGTTCTCCATGAAAGTCAGGATGTGCTCAGTTTTTGAGGAAATTATTTAAGAGAGGCTTCTCCTGCCATCCCACCTACCCCCTCAGTACTTTAGCAGGGAGAGGAAAACAGGATACATAAAACTCTTTGTTTTTTTCCCCCTCCCTCCCTTGGGATGAGTGTGGGGAAGAAGGGGCATCTTGAAGTAGCTGAGAGCGTTCCCTTGCACTCCCACACATAGGGAAAAAATTATGGGAATAGAGAAATGAAAGCCACTGGCTGCAGAGCTGAGCAGGTCCAGCACTGAAAAAGGCCTGCAGAGGCTGTGCCCAGTGTGAGCCAATTGCTAATTTGGTGACTTTGGAGTTATGCTTTGGCTTTCCCCTCCCTCTGTTTGATCTTTGAGGTGGAGGGAAAAAGCATCCCTGGAACAAAGGAGGTCAGGATGGAGAAACCCCAGTGCTGTTGGTTCCCCCACCTTGCCTGGCAAAGGGACCACCAGAGAGGGAAGAGGGCAAAGGCAGTGCCTTGATTGCACTTTCAGCAGTGAGGGACTCCTGTGCCAGCAGGAGTCACCAGGTGCCAGGATTTGGGGCCAGCCAGAGGGGAGCATGCAAGCTGGAAGAGGAGATGGCATCAGGAATTATCTGAGGCACCCCAGGATGCCACAAGCCCTTCCTCCTGGTAAGCATCACCAAACTCCCCTGTGAGCTGCACCTGTGCACGGCCTCTCTCCTGCCTTGCACCTTCCCTGCCTCTCCTGATGTGGAGTGCCTGACGAGAACCAGACCTTGCCCTCTGAGGGCTTTTCCCGTGGTTTTGTGGCTCGTTCCTTAGTGCAGGCTGCCGCTGCTCCTGCTGTGAAATCCCATCTGTGGGCATGATGCTGACACGGTGATTTGACTTCTGGTGGGGAACGAGCAGCAGGTGAGTCCTACTGGTAAAGATCCAGGTTTTAGGCAAACAAGCCAAGGTAGAAACAATCAGAAAATTATCCCTACGTGGACAGGAGGAGAGTTTGTAAATGAATTTGTGATTAAAATGGCCCGTGAGGCAATAGATGCTTTGAAAATACAAATCCATTGGTGTATTTTTCCCTAAGTTTGTGGGTTTGGGGCATGTTCTGTTTTGCTGTAGACAGTCATTCTTCCCTCAGTGCCATTCTCCTCTTTCCATCCTGCAAATGCTTTGAGAAACCCAGTGGCTGCAGCACTGCTGTGCAGATGGCTTCATGTAGGCTGCTCTTCTGAGGCACAGCTGTTGGGGATTCATTATTTGACTGAAAAAAGCCACTTTCAAATGCTTCTAATAACAAGTTGTTCCACCAGCAGCACTAATAATGAAGTCTGAGATGTGTTCCTCTCTCCTGTCCTTCCAGTGGGATGGCCACACATCCACTCCATGGAACTGCAACTTGAGTAGTGGAGTAGGAAAGACAAATATTCCTTCAGATTTTGAAAAAGGAAGGGAAGCAGTACTAATTGTCTCTTTTATTGGCGTCCCCCTGTCTCCCCAAAAGAGCCAAAAAATACTCAGGAGTCAAAAGCTAGACATAAGCATGGGTTTGTCATAAAAAAGCTGGAATCCCAGGGATTATTTGGTAAATGGCACCAGGTAAGGAAGAGTTCCAGGTCTGTCAGCACAGGGCACGTGGGGATGGATGGGAAAGGGAGACTTACTTGGCTCCTTCCACCACATGGGTGTTTTTTCTCTTTCCATTTAATGTTTGTATCATCCTTCAGCTTGAGATGACCCCAAAATGAGGACCAAAAGGAGAGACAAGAGATGTAATCATCGTGTCCCAGTTGTTTCCTTGAGTTGGTTTTATGTTGGTGATAAAACCTACGTCTTTCCACAAGTGTAAAAGACAATGGGCAAAGCACCTGCAGACTTGGGAGGGCTTAGCAATTCAGATCCATCTGAATTTACTGTGGCATTTCTCCAACATTTTTTTTCCAGTGTACCTGTATTTTTCTTGTCACTGTGCACGATTAACTGCTGTTTCTGTGAGCAGGTACTCAGTGGGTTTGGTCTCCTGGTTCCAGCATGCCACAGGAAGCCAACTGTAAGTCACAAAAAGAATGGTTTCAGGGAGAGGAATTTGTGGTGGGTTTTTTTGGTTTTTTTTTTGGCAGAATGGTCTTCTCTGTTGCACAGCTGTGTGAGACAGACCTCTTCTTATTTGAAATGATCCCTGGCCAGTCCTGTTCCTTGTTATTTTGTGACGTGGAAGAGTTGGTGGGGAAAAAAAGCACTGCAAGCAAGGGTTGTATTAAACATGAAGATCCCTCCGCTATGTCCAAGGGTACTTAGCTAATTGTAAGTCCAGACATCCTTAGGGAGGAATTGAATTTCACGTGTGGCATCAAGAGTGAGAATCTGCTCCTCTCCCTCTGTTACTGCTGCATTGCAGCTGTGGTATCAGTTTTACAGTTAATGATTTCCTCATTGGTTCCTTCCAGATAGAATAGGTTTGGTGATCTGATGTATCTTTTAGGGGTTTTGTGGGGTTTTAATGTATTTTATATATTATGTATTTTTTCATGCACCTAGAAGAGCTCAATACCTCATTTGTAATTACAGGTGCCTCCACTGTTTTCATTGCCATTTTTTTCAGGAAAAACCACAGATACTGGATTTTTGGGGTTTATGTAGGTATTTATTCCAGAATGTGTACAAAGACACTGACACCCCATCCTTCTTGGGAACAGCTACAGCAGAATATTCAGCTCTGTGATAGCTGTGACAGCACCAATCTTCACCTGTCCTTGGGCTGCTGGAAAGAGGGACCCTGAGGCCAGAAGGTAATTAGTAACTTACTTTAGAGCTGAGATGCTTGATAATGTCCCTACTGAGTCCTCATGAATAAACTGCACAGTCATATGCATAATATTAACACCCAGTTTGTTCCCATAGTTGTTTTCAGCTTGCTTTGCTTGAGTAGATAAAATAACATGATACCTTCCAACCCTCTGTTCTGACAAACCCCAGTAGTGATGGGATGAGCAAGCCATTTAATGCTGGGAATTGGAACATTTTGCAGGTTTTGTTGTTCCTGGTCCTTGTAGGAGAGACCCTGGTGCACATGGCCAGGCATTTTGATACACCTTCCCCCGTGGGCTGTCCCAGCAGAAGATGTGGCAGCCTCGACCCAGAACAAGAGGGGAAAGGAAAGTTAACCCAGGCCCCCCCCACTTAGGGCAAAACACACTCTATGAATCGTAAAACCTTTCTCAGAAGCAGAAAGTAAAATGAAAACTTAGCCTTCAAAGTGATTGTGAGTCACTTGCCTTCAAAGCATTTACAGGGATTCCTTGAAGTTTCTTTCCAGTGTGTATTCCAGGCATTTTTGTGGGGAGGACAAATTCTCCCTGTCTCCCATTTAGTTTTGGTCCATCAAACTGGCACTCGTTTTCATTTCTCTTCTGGCACTCGAGGCCAATTTGCATCCTTTAATTGAATGCAGGCACTGCATGGAACGTGACAGGCACTGCCCACCGCAGAATGGGTAGATAAAATAGTGTCTCTCCTGACTCCTACTTGCCTTAATGAAAAGCAGAGGGCTGACCTCAGCCCTGAACTCTGCCCTTGCTAATACTTCTACACGTGGCTTCGTGGCCAGGCTTAACAGAGCAGCACACGCAAGTTCCTGGCTTGCCAGTGTGGTTTGTTACAGTTTTAAGGGCAAATTAATTGGTGGGAGGTTCCTCCTTGTGTGGGGAGGGCTGGCCTGGTCCCATCTGCGCTTCACCTGAGAGGAGGGAGCAGGTGCTGGGTTGGTACCCCTGGGCAGTCACTGGGTACAGGAGCAGATCTGAACCCAGGGAGTGTTTCCAGGGGCTCATGCCATTATGTAGCATATGTGCTCTCTCTCCCTCTGGCTTGTGTGCTCTGCCTCCCACATGAACAGAAATCCCTTTTCCAGGAGGACCTAGGATCTAATAGGTATTGTGAGGTCAGTTAGATATCCAGCCTTGGTTTCGGGCTTGGAGTCAGCTGTTTAAACTTTTAATGCTTGGGGGTTTTTTGTACTTGTGTCCTCTCCTGCCTAAATTTAGGATTTCACTGTGAGTGCTTAGCTCCCCATCACTTAAACCTGCACAGGACCTCTTGTGGTCAGCAACCCTCAGGTTACTTTGTGAACTGGGAGGGTACAGCAATAGCTTTGCCAGAGCTGGTGGGTCACAAGGTCACCTTCCCCTTTTCTCTGCAGCTTTAATGTGACGATAATGCCTGAAGCAATTCATGATTTTTTTTTTGTTTGTTTTTAACATCAAGAATAAAAGCTGCTTTTCCCATTTAAGTCAAAACCAAACATCCTTGTGCATAAGGGTCCTTTCTGAGACAGAGATACTGGGCTTTCAATCTTCCTACTTCCCTGTCATTCATTAGTCCATTATTCTATAAGACTTAGCACGTCTGTAGTGCTGTAAATGTCCAAAACTCCCTGCTACTGTGAGGGACTTCATTCTGTAAATGAATTTAAGTGGGTGGATCGCTGGGCTTGGCAGAGCCCTGTGGAAAACAGCAGAACTTCCTGGGTTTTCATTTGTCCCAATTCCTGTTCTATGCCCAAAAGTGACATGCCTTGTTGCTGCTATTTTTTTTTTCTTTTTAGTACAAAAATAGTTCCATGTCATCTTCAGGGTGAAGAGGGATGCATGCTTGGAGATCAAGGGTTTTTGGTTTGGTTTATGGTTGGTGGGGTTTGTTTGTTTTTTTTTTTTGGTTTTGTTTGTTTGTTTTTGGTGGGGGTTGTTTGTTTGTGTCTGGAGTTTTTTGTTGTTGTTGTTGTTGTTTGTTTTGGTTGTTTTTTTGAGAAATTATTCTGGATATTTACATTCATAAGTGTTCAGGGCACAAGTCTCACCTTCAGAAGTGGCTTCCAGTCAGCAGTGCCCAGTGAACTGAAAACAGAAATTAGGGGCCTAATTAGTTATCAGGAGACTTTCTAATTGTCCTAATTAGTAGACTATCAGGTCTAAGTCAATTCTGTGCTGAAGTCTTAAATCTCTTGATAGATATGGTAAGAACTATCTGAATTTCAAAGTAACTTTCAACTTATTTTAAACAAAAATTTGTGTGTTTATATGTAAGAAGAATATTATATTTTAATTTGATTTTCTGTATCTGACAGCTCTTAGGATTCCCAAGTGCCACTGTTTCTGGTTGGATTGCATAATTTTGGAGGGGTATTGTTTTGTTTTCTTAAGACATGATAAAAAAAAAAAGAGAGATATGTAATATGTTCTATTCACTGAATGGAGATGCTGCAAAAGTTGAAGAGATTTTTCTGAAAGCTGTCTAAGATTAACTTTATAACGGATTCTTTAGATTAAAAAAAAAAAATAAATACATCCAGGTTTTAAGTAAACATTGCTTTTATGCATCTAGAATGTGTCAGTAAGAACAACACTATTAACCAAGTCAGGCTACTACCACTTTTCATACCAATCCTTTATATTTAAATTATATTTATCATGTGCTAAATGTCATACACACGTGGGAGGATGCTTGTCCTTTCCTGAAAATCTTGGTCTTTTGCAAAGAAAAACTATTTTATTTGCTGAAGGCAGAATGGGCCCTTCAAACATCTGCATGCTTCTCCACAGTCACTGAGCCTTTTGTTTTTGAAGATCAACCTCCTCAATCTGGAGTTAGGAAAGGGCTTATTTTTGTACTTTTATCACAGAAGAGAAAAAGGAGCAGCTTGGTAGTAGTTCAGGTCCTGTGGGACTGTGCCAGAGCACTGTGATGACCCTCAGCCCCTGGTTTGGCCTTCCCTGGAGAGGAGTTTCTTCCCAAACCCATTGCTGATTCTTGATGCTTCATGGACCTCTGTTTTTAGGGCCAGAATTGACCAAGTATGATATAATCAGACTTTCTCTTCAGGGAAAGGAAGATAAAGGTTTGCCTCTGTCTGGTTGAACCTTGGACACTAATAGCCTTTGTATTTTAAATTATATTTATTACAGAATGATTTCTGTTTGTTTTGAATTTTGCCACTTCACGCTGTATTTCATCCTATGGTTAAAAAACCCACACGCACAAAATCTTACTCAGCAGCTGTTGCAGCAATTGATTTGAGCATTGCAAACAGTCCTTATTCCTTGATGAGAGTGAATCTGAATGCCCAGCAATTGCTTAAATGTGACATTAACCATTTGGCTGCTGATCAAAGATGTTTGAAAGCAGAGGAAATCTGCAAATTTCCAAAGAAGAATCGACCTCTGCCAAATGAATTATAATTTTGGTGTCATGAAGCTCTGATGCCTGAGGGAATTCAATCACTTCTCTTTTCTTTCACATGTGTCCTGGAAAGCCAGAAGAGAGCAGCACAGAGACAAATGAAGAAATAATCACTCCTCCAGAAAACGGTAAGATATACTTGTCCTGCCAGTATATGTGTATATATATATATGTATGTATGTTGTACTGTGAGTATCTTCAAAACTGATTTCATTCACAGATAGAGCCCAGGACAGCAACACAATATTCCTTTCTCTTCATCAGTCTTGTTTTATAAGCTCTGTTTCCCTTGTTTTTCGTAGCAACTGGCATCATGGCATAGTGAAGGCCAGTCCTGTGCAGGTGGCAGGGTGATAGAGCAGTGTCTCCTCCAAAAGCACTGCCTTTGGAAGCTCAGTTGCACCCAAGGCCTATGCAGTTGCTCTGTCAGGCCTGCAGCAACTCCCTGAATTATTTACATGGGACTTGCAAGTGTCCTAGTCATCCCCAGATCTTAAGTGTTTATTTACGTGCCACTATGGGCAGAAATTTGTGCTATCTTTCCTCTGCTGAAGTCTCTTCTACAGTCAGCTTTGGAAACCCCCTAACTGGGCACCAGCGGGTCCAAAGACACACCAAGATTTAGGCACCACGGCTTTAAAATCACAAAGTAGAAAAACGAAATTCTTAGCTGAGTAATAATGTGAACAGTATTTCATTGCTGCAAACACAGCGTAACGCTCAGGGCCTCAGGAATAGCGGAGCCACCACTGTAAGTCATAATGCTTTGGGATGGGAGGGTAAGGCTGTTGCTGCTGTTGAAGAAAAGTAGGAAAAGCTGAAAGGTAGACGTAATTATCCCGGAATTTAGCGACATTAAAAAGCGCGCGTTTTAAGATTTAAATCATCGGGATGTTTGTCTGCACCACTGGCACCAGAGTGATGCCCTTGCTCCCGACAGGAGCTGGGCAGGGCAGGAGCCGGCACCGTCCTGTGGGGCGCTGGGGAAGACCCTTTCTTTGGGGCTCTCCTCTGCGGAGCGTGGGTGTTATCCACCCGGGCAGCTTCGTCTGACAGCGGTATGTTTCCTGATATGTCATGCTACTGGGAAAATTCGTATAGAAAGACCAACATCGCCTTAAAAGTGCTTTAATCCACCGTTTACCGAGGTGACGCGGCTCTTTTGACGGCTGGCTGACTGCCGCCAGGGGAATTCGGTAAAAGCTACGGCTCGGGCCAACGATTTGCTTAATTTTTTTTTATTATTATTTTTAAGTTACATTCGAAAATATTGCTTGTTTGTTTGTTTGTTTGGTTGTTTGTTTTTTAATTTCGGTTGACTTTGGGAGAGAGGCCCCGTGGCTCCCCCGGAGCCGCCAGGTGGCGCCATGGCGGCGTGAGGGGGCGGCGTGAGGGAGCGCCCCCCCCCCCGGGGCGGTGCGGCCGGTGCTGCGGCTTCGATCGGGCCGATGGCTCCGAGAAGATGAAGTGCTTGTGAAGGGACACTTTGAGGCCGCGGCGTTGTTCTGGGGAGCGGGCAGGATCTCGGAGGTGTCGGTCACTCGCGAGTTCGGGTGGCGCTTTTCATTCCCGCACACCCTGCCTCCAGCCTCACACAGGTCCTGGCACACCCCTCCCTGACATCTCCCTCGTTCCCTCACCCCTTTCCAACACACACTCCCACCCTCCCATCCTGAGACCATGAAAACCGTGGCGTTTCCCTGTCAAACTGGGTTCAAAACCGGTGGAGAACCCGTGGAAGGCAACGTGTGGCGGGGTCTGTTTTAGAAAGACAAGCTTCGCTTTTGGGAGAGGGGAGAGAAAAGGAAGGATAGGTGTTTTAGTTTATCTGCATCGGAAAGATCTTGTTTTGTGTGTGTTTGTCTGCCCACAGGCAGCTTTTCCAGCCCCCCGGGCTGCTGCCCTCCCACACCGTGGCTGTGGCTGCCATTTCCTGCTGTCTGTTCATCTGCTCAGGCCTTGGGCTTTGCTGTTTTCTTACCGATTCTGTAGTTACAAGCCTCACTCCACACGTTTCCTGGGATCAAATTCCGCTTCCCTCGCACCTCCCCGGGGCGCAGTTTCTTACTTAAGCTGCAGCAATCGATCAGCCACCAAACCATTAAGGGCCTGCCTCGTAGGGTGGTGCAGCAGAGAAGCCGAAACACAGAGCAGGCCCAGGAGGGGTTTGCACGGTTCCTTCACCAAACCACAGCTGTGCGTGGTCCTCCCTCACCTTGGTCAGAGCCTCGTGGAGTGCTGCCACGGGGATGTGAAGTGTCCTGTGTCAGTCCATGTCCAAACAGTGTGCTCTAGTGCGTTCATGTGGTGCAGTTTCCTCTGCCGTACAGAACCTGATGGGTGTCTGCCTGGAGCTGGATATCCTGCGGCACGAGGTGAGCAGCGAGCGATGGTTTTTCTCACGCTCTGAGTGGTGGTTCACGTCTGCCTGTGGTCCGGTGTCACTGTCGGTCCAGCTGCTGTTACTTCCACCAAGAGGAGCAACCCTCTGCTTGTTGGCATTATCCTTTGTGTGACTGCACAGTGACCCGATCCATCCGAGAGCCAGGGGAAAAACAAAGTGCAGGGAGGGCGGGGGGAAGTTAGTTTTCAGTGGGATCAGTTCCTTGCTCCAAACACTTGCATAAGCGAGACAGAAGACTTGGCCTGGGCACAAGAACAAACAGCGTGGGCACAGAGGGAACACAGTGTCCACACCAGCTCAAACTGGTACTGGTATCTTGTATGTCAGAAGATACCCTGAGGGCTCTTGATGTGAAAGTTGTTGAGCCGTAATCTTCCACACCTAGACACTTCTGAACTTACCCGGTAAGCCAGAGGCAGAGGAGCTGGTAGTGGTGGTATCATCACACCTTCACAAAGATTTCTTTTTTTTTCCCTTGAAATACAACACCTTTTACAGGGAGGGAGGAAGGAAGGAAGGAAGGAAGGAAGGAAAAAGAAATATCGCAAACCAAAATTCTCAGGGCCATTATGTTCGTCCCTGGGTTGTTTTTCTAGTGCTGCACTATTAAATGGAGAAGTCTTTTCCGCTTCCCTTTCCCCTCTCCTCTTCCTGTGGCAAAATACAGATGGACCTTAAATGGGGCAGGGGTGGGAAGGTGCCCTGTTGATTCTTGTGAAGATGTTGCTTTTGTTTTTTCTCTGTTTCTAGATGATAAGATTGAAAACAGATGTTCCTTTTCTTTACAACATGCTGTATGACTTGTCTAAACATAAGGAAAAGGGCATTTCTCCAGACAGTGCTAAGTTCCATCCAAGGCTGGGGCCATCTTTATCATGAGGCAGTTGCACTGCAGGAGATACTTGGATGAAATCTGCATCCACACTGCTGCAACATCACAGTTCAGAATTTAGTTGGCTTCTGTTTCCATTAAGAGCTTATAATTTCCAAGATTCTCTAAAATTATTAAATGAATGAGTACAAAGGTGGTGGTGTGGGGGGGATGTGTGTTCATCTGCCTGCCTGCCTTTCCTTCGTGCAAAATAAATGCATGCTCACTTGTTTCAGAAAAATTGTTTGCTGGAGGCCTACCAGACGGTGGTTCACATGCAGGAGATTAAGTGCTTTTTCTAATGAGTGGAAACTCTATTTAGAGTTTTTAAAGAGTGAAAGCAGACGATAGACTTTGCTTTTTAATGTAGGTCGAGTTTGCTGCTGAGATTTTGTCACAATTATTTGTAAGTTGGGATCCTCTGTCTTCAGAGAAAGAGTTCCTGTTGGGCACAAGAGTACCAGAGTGGTTCTGTGAATAGGAATGCCGAGGACGCGTGGCTGTTGGCAGATTGGAAACAGTGAGTCCTGCTTGGCCAGGGTCATCAGTGCCCTGGTAGGAAAAATTCAAGTCCAAATCAATACGCTTTATGTAAACAGTTACACAGAAGTTAAGCCGTGAAAGCATTCCCGCCAACAGTCAGCCTTGTTTCTCGTTTAGCAGTTGTGTTTCCCCACAGGATGTTCCTGGAAGTTTGCAGGGAAATAGCTTTGGCTTTTATTTAGAGCTGATTTCTGCTAACAGGAATAACCTCTGTGCTTTTCCTTGCTTTTCCTTATGTGTAAGTCTGGAAAATCATGATTTCTCAGCAAGTATAACATGGATTAATGCAGTAACATTTCTTGCCAGAACAGCTGACAGTGGCTGGGCGCTACTCTGACGGTGCTTGATGGCAGTGACCCTTTTCCCCTCACCCTGGCATTTTTGGATGGCAGTCATATGGCCCCAGAGGTCACACTGTACAGGCTAAACCACTGCCCAAGGCATCAGCTCCTTGGCAGGCTCTGTGGACATCTGCATAGGTGGATCTACTTTCTGTCACATGGCCTGGGGGCGCAGCGAGGGACCTGCTTTGCTGTTGTGTTGGTTTTTGTTTTTTTTTTTTTTCTTTCCTTTTGGTTTTCTGGAGCTTTCTGAACGAACCCAGAAGCGTTTCCTTTATAAGGAATTGGCTGTACATCACATTTGTCCCTCCGTTGTTCGTGCTGGGAGGAACTGCACTGAAACAGGATCTTTGTTTCCGGCACCCCTGTGGCTCTCCCTGTACACAGGCTGAAGTCACAGCCCTCTCTGGGAGCGGTTAACATTGGTTACTCCAGCAGCAACTGTGCTTTTGGATGCAGCTGTTTACAATTTCAGGTCTGTGAGGGGATGAGTGGTGAACTTTTAGAGAAGCAAAGCTACTTGGGAGACTGTGCTGTTTGCTGGAAAGAAATGAGGAAAGTTTGGGAAAATAAAACAGCTGGGAGGCAGGGAGGTATTGCAAGAAGTGGGTGGCTGCAAAACGAACCTTATAAGGGAAGGGATGCTTGGTGTCACCAAGTTTAGAGGACTAGACCTAGAAAGGCATACTAGATGACTGCATTTTACACTGGTTTGAGTCAGGGAGCAGGATGGAACAGTTTTGTAAGTCTTGTAATGAGCTATGAGGTGGTTAAAGCATTTGCTGTTGATATTTTTTATGCTTAAATATGAGTGGAGATGCCACATGCCCCTTTGGTTGGAGTTTGGCCTCGCTGTGGGCTGTTCCCATCCGTTTCAAAGCCACAGGAGGTGGCTGTGGCTGGCTCAGGGCACACTGGCCCAAGCCCACTCTGTGGGCTCTCCACCCACAGAGGCAACCCCCACAGCTCCTGACACTGAAACCTTTTCCCAAATTCTGCCAGTTTTCCCCAATTTATCCCCTTTTTGCCTCTGCCTATCTCTTGCAGTGCGTTGCTGGCTTCTGTCTCTAGGTTATCATCTCAGGTTATCATCTCAGGACTTACTTCCAAGCAACACTGCTTTTAAAGTAGTGGTGGTTGTCTTGTTTGAGCTACATACTGGAAAAATGTAGATGCCCCCCCTCCCCGTTAAACCTTTGTTCCTGGAATCACATGATTAAATTACCACTTTATTTTTAATGTGAACGCACAGCCCCCGTGCTTAAAGAAGAAATCTTCAAAATGTAGATTGTAGAAAGCAAATACGAAAAGAAGTATTAGGGGAATTATTTTTGTGTCTTAGTTTTTGGGGCCAGTTCATAATGTGTAAGCCCCAAGGGTTTGGAATACCAGGGAAGGAGCTGCTTCTCTGTTGTCTCCATATCTCCAAAACTATAAAACTTCACGTACTGTCAAGCATAACTCAGCTGCTTACTCATTTCAGCTCCTTAGTTTAATAACCTCAGTACAGCCAAACCTGTCATCTTCTAATGCTGAATTCAGAAACTATTGACCAAGAAACTAATGTCCATTCCAGGGACGGCCACAACTACACTTTAGGCTTCCTCCATGGAAGTGGATCTGTTAAGTCCATGGTTTGCCCTTGAGATTTTTGTCACACGTTGAAGCCTTGACCATCCAAACAGTACAAACCTAAATTTTACGTGCAGTGCATAAGGTAGGAGCCACACACCAGGCTGCTTTCACCTACTGCTTTTTGCTGGATAGAAAACCGCCACAGCTCAGCTCGGGGCCTGGAAGAGGAACATCAACGCAAGGGTAAAACTTCATGAATAAACATAATGTTGTTCAGATTTTCCCTGCTCCTCCTCAGGGGATTGTCATGACTGTAGCAGAGGTTGTAGTCTGGTCAAGGAGGGTTTGTGTTCCTTGTTTCACTACTTAAAGACACCTCAGAGGGTTATTTACTCCCGATAGCCACGGGGGTGTGGCAGCCTCACCTGGTGTTTCCCTCAGGTTCCTTGGCTTCAGCCTCTGTGTGCCTTTGGATGGGGACACCACCCCTTCCTGCGGGTGTGACGGGATGTTTGGAAAGGCAGGTGGGAAGGCAGGGAGAATTGTGGCTGGAGCAGAACTCAGCAAAGCTGCTGGAAGGCCACTTGGAACAGTTGCAGCGCATTGACCCAGTGAGATAGATCTGTGTAGCTCGTTTGGATGTGTGGAGAGGGAAGTCAAGCTTGAAACTTAAACCTGGAGCTGTGTGCTGCATGCAGGAAAGCAAAGGGTGCTTTTCAAGGGTGAAGAAACCGATTTGAAAGGTAATGTTATGAAAATATAGGTGTCAAGTGCTGTATTTGCCACTCTCAAAAGCTATCAAGGCCCTGATTTCTACCTTACTTCTTCCTCAATACCCATCTTTCATGCAGCAGCAAGTCAGTCTGTGACTCAGCTGCAAATATCACCAAGCTCTTCCACATCCTTGCCGATGTCCAGGCTGTTCCCAAAACACTAGTCATCAAAGGAAGTCTTTATTTCCACAGCAGTTAAATGACTAACCCAAGATCAAACAGTGGGTCAGCAGCAGAGGCAGGAACCGAAATCGGGTCTTCTGACTCAAGTTTCTCTTGGCTGTATCTTCTGGGTTACACAGCAGAATTGATTTGTGCTGTGAGTTGCAGCAGCTGCTGAGACAAAACTTCATTTTCTTTCCCTGAGATACAGTATCTGTGTCATCCTGTTCTCTGCCCACTAGGATGCAGCTTCTTAGCATTGGTCTTTGAAAAGGGAGGTGTTTCTAAGTGGTTTCACTCTTTTGATCGATGAGAGAGGTGAGCCAGAGTGTGATCCAGTGACCTCCTGCTATATAAAAGCTTGGCCTGCCTGACAGGACTCCTGGCTGCTGAGTAGCTGTGAGTCACAGCCTTTACTGCTCTGGTTTGATGCAGATGGTTACACCAGACACTGCAGAAATGAGGTGGCCTCTCGAATATTTGCACTGCTTGGCAAGCTGGGGTAAACAGGAGTGGATTCAAGAGGTTCTGGCAAGGGCAAGCACAGCTGGTGTTAAGGCCTTTGCAGGGCTCTTTTTGTGTGTGTGTGTGTGTAGGAAAATAGCAAGGCCCCTGGAGGTTTTTTCCAGCCAGGGTTCCTGGGAAAGGATGAGTAATGTGGAGATTTCCTGTGACTTTTGGAGCGAGGAAAAAACCCTCATCGCCTTTTGAGGGAATCTTGGATCTTCCTCCATCCCACTTCTTCCCTGAGTGGCACAGAAAGCCCCTTTGCTGGGCTCAGCACTGCTCTGTTTATCACAGCAACACAAGCTGTGCTGTGCAAATCCTGTGCTCTGCCCTGGTTTGCCTGGACGGTCCAGGATCTGATCAGTACAATTCCTGTTTCCTCCTCGTGTGTGCGCTTTGGGAACTTAACTCCAGGTAGGGCACAGTTCCCAGGGGTCAAGGTGTGCCTGGCCTGGGATGCTCGGAGTGTTTCCCTTTCATGGCTGAAAGGGCCAGGCCTGTAAGGGAGGGACTGTGTGTCTGCAGAGTGTTTTGCACAGCACCTGGCATGGCTGGGCTCAGGTTCACAGTTGAGTCAGCTGGGTGCTGTCGCAGTGTAAATTACTAAACAGGAGTGACAGAGGAGATGTGGGGGTTTCCCTGCTGGCAGAGGCATAAAGGAGTGAGGTACCTCAGCTCTGAAGTTATTGCTCTTTAGTATTTCGCTTGCAATACTGCCTGCAGGCTGCCTTCAGGGACAAGCGCTCTGTTGTGCAAAGTGTGTGCGTGCAGGAAAGGCTGAGCCACTTCCCACCCTGAGAAAGGGTGTTCTCTGAGTTGTTTGAGCTCTTTGGGGGTGGGGATACTGCAGTGGGACAGGGGCCAGAGTGTAAAGTAGGGAGTGCTGCTACAACTGAGAGCTGTACACAGGCAGTTTACACATCAGGTGTATGCCCAGTTGTATGTTCTATTATTTCTCTATGCTCATCACCACAGTTTGGCCATGACTTTCTCTGACTAGTGTTTCTTGATGTGTGCTTAGCCATTTCATGTTCTGAGTGCTTTACAAATACCGTGTAATTAGGAAAATAGCTCTCTATTTGAGCAGGCAATTACACAACCTCATGTTCAAAATTCAGCTTTCAGAAATGGAGCCTCAAGTTGAAATTTCCTTATCTGCTCCCAACTCTCCCAGTTGCTCTTCCCAAAATGATTTTTTTTTATCCCCTCAACCCCACAACCGACTGTGGTGATGGTAATAAGATGAGTACAGGCTGGGCAAATAAACTGCTTGCCTCTGCAGTGTAAAATGTGAGACTGGTGAAAGGAAGTAAGGGCTGACAGGGAGTACGTGTTTTGGATTCCAGCATCGGTCCATTTGCTAAATATGCTGGCTTTTAGTAGAAGAAAATCAATGTAAAAGAAAGGGCTGCATCTCCCAGTGCCTGATGGTTGAACCACAGGCTCAGGAGCAACCCAGTTGCTTCACTTTCCCCTAAGCCTTGGTGTTGGGGTTGGGGAAAAAGCTCCAGAGTCAAAGCTCAAGACTTATCTCCTTATCAAAATCCGGGGCATTTTTGTTTGGTTATGCCCTTTTTTTTTTTTTTTTTTTTTCTCCTTCTCCTCTCTCTCAAAGGTTAAATGGTTCCCACAGGGTGCAAGAAAGGGTTATTGAAAGCAGCAGGTCCACTTTTGAATATTGCACTTCTGGTAAATCTCTGATCCAGCATCTAGTGGTTAACCACTGATACAGGAAATGACATTTAACATTCAATCACTCAGCCAGAAATGGAAGAACAAGGCAAGTCTGTATGTGGTGAAGATGGATCATTGCCTGCTATCTACCCCTTAAAGGCATATCAGGCCATTTAAAAGGAAATGTTTTTCAAGCAGGGATTTTTTTTTTCCCCTTTGTGTACCTTTCTGCTGAAGGCGTACTAAAAAGCTGGAAAACAAATCCCCTTCTTCCCCCCCCCTCCACGATGTTTTCCCTGCTAAAACAGGGCCTTATAAACAACTTATACCAAAGAGCAGGAAAGAGGATTTCTTTGGGAAGTGTATCCCAGGCCCCGGAGGAAGCTGGGGTGGGGTGTGGAGGTGGGGCGAGCGATGGAAAGTGCGGGTTTCGGTAGGTGGCACCCGCTGGCTGCCCTGACAGCGCTCAGCTCAGCTCAGCTCAGCTCTCCCGGGCACGGCGCGGTGCTGCCCTCGGTCCCAGCACTCCCGAGCAAATGTGCTTAAACACAACTCCAAAAGATGCAGCGAGGCACTTCCCTCCTGCTAACAGGATATGTGGGCAAACACTTGGGTGCTTCAGCTGTTCCAGAGGCCGTTTTCACCTAATGATGCACTGGGAGATGTTTTCCACAGAAAGAGCTTCACAGATACTGCCAAAACTTTCCTGGAAGTGAGCACGGAAATACATTAGAAAGCAACCTATTAAAGCTACGCCAGTCCCCCTCATCTGCAGGGCGGCATAACGTGATTTTCACGAGCCCAAGAGCAGCGAGAAGCAAATGCTTCGGGGAGCCAGTGGGTGGTGGTGGCAGCAGAGACCTCCATAAGTTCAAAGGCTACGGATGATGGCAGCTCTCCAGGAGTCCTGCTGTTCCCTGGCCTGGCTGGAAGTGGAGCGGGATGAGGGGGTGAGCACTTGCATGCTGGAAAGCTGGCTTGCTCAGTCCTGCAGCAATATATGGATCCTACTAGCCATAAGCTACCAGCACAGCCTTCCTGTGGTTGAAGCACCGGCTCGCTCAAAGTGTTTAAAAGCCATCCTTGCAACATCGCACTGGTAAATCAGGCAGAGAAAATCAAGATGTCTGTGGCCTAGAGGCCAGCTGAGATTTGTGTTAAAACAGAGGTTTGGTGTGTACTGGTATGAACTGTAAATGCGGAGCAAGGATCTGCAGTCAGTTGGCATCAGAAATGGATAAAAGAGAAAAGTGTAGTTCTAGCTCTCAGCACACTGACTGTTCACTCAGAGTGCCCATTCTTCAGCCTCTTGCTAATTTTCTTTTCAGTCGTGGAAACCTGCTTGGATGTAGAATGCAAAGTGAGAAAGGAGGCTGTGGAAGCTGCTCAGAGGTACAGATAAGGACCCTGCAGAAACACACCTGCATCATCCATGGAGAGTGAAGATGCACGTGCATGTGTGAAAACAGATTATCAGCCCTTAGTGCTGCATATTCTCGAAACCTTTATGATGTGTTTTGTACATCCACCATGCTCAGGCAGCCTGGTCTGTGTCGAAAAATCTCTTCTCTCCAGCCTGGCAAAGCCAGAAAGTCTGCAGAGACTTGAGCAGGTCTTTGACTCTTCTGAATGTTTTCCATCACACAGTGACTGTCAGGATCAGAGCCTTGGGACGTGCTGGTGTTTATCTCCACACTTGATTGCACTCAATTACTAGCTAAGAACTTGTTCTTTGAAAAGAAGATCTGGAGCTGCATCCTTCTCTCATTGTGACTCTGCCAGCTGCCGTCCCCAAAGCTATTTTTAATCAGACAAGCTTCTCCATCCCTGCCAAAAAACCCTCGTAACAATTAATAACAATAAAACGGAGGCAGGCTGGGTAAATGAATTGTTCTGGCTCTATAAATCAGTTGCAGAGGCAGCTAGGAAGATCAGCACTACGTTGTTAACGTGCTGTCTTCCATTTTGCTGTAGCCTTGGTGTCCTGGTTCACGCCTGGAACCAGGAGGCTGTGCTGCTGCTCTGCACACTACCTGTCTCAGGTGGGCACAGGTCCCTCTGCACAGTGTGGTGCTTTGGTTTTGGTGTTACCTTTGTGGTAACAAAACATTTCCTAGCAGTTTTCTTTAAAACAAATGAATAAATAAAAGCATAGGGGCATGAGTCCAAAGGTACTGTCCTGGACAAGTCCCAGGCTGGGTGTCTGTATTTGGTTTGCCTTTTCCTGCTGGACAGCATATTTTGTCTCAATCCCTGGCTCCAGGCTGTTGCTCTTCAGCTGTTATTTCCTACTCCACAGCTGGAAGCCTTCTCTGGTGAGGAGCTGCACAGTTTTAAGGGTTCTGGAAGGAAAGATAAACAGGAAATGGAAAAAGAAGAGGAAAAGATCAGAAAAAAGTAAATGAGCAAACAACCTCACCCCTGCCAGCACAAAAGCTGTCCCCCAAAAGAGTGTGACTGCGTCAGAGACAGCAAGGATTACTCTTTTAGGTTTGTGGGCTGGCACACTCACCTCCTGGGGAGAAAAACACTGAAACTGCTCCATCAGCTCCTCAGCCAGCAAGGCCACTGTGGAGATCACTGAGAAGAAAAGAACGTGAAAGCAGAGCAGTAGAGGAGGAATAGAGCTAGATCTTGGAGCTAGGTCTTGTGTCTTCCGTTGCAGGTATCTAGGTGTTCTGATGGTTTGTGTAAATTATACTTTTAACTTTTTTTTTGCTAGTGAAAGAGACACCAGTGCTGCACTGGGAAAAGCCGTGAACCCTTATAAACAGGAAAGTGATAATGAAGCAATTCAAGGGAGATTAAAGAGTGGCTGGAAAACAACAACACGAGTTCCAGCTTGCAAACTGGAGAAAACAACCTGAAACCCAAATATGCAGCAGGAATAAATTATGTCGAGGAGATGTAGAAAAGATAGCAGCTCGCTGATTGGAAGTGATGTTTCTCAAGCTGCAGGAACATTTAACTGAATATCAGGAATCTCCTCCCGGGAGAGATGTGACACGCCTTGCAGGGAAGTGGTGGTGGAAACTTCATCCCTTGGGGACATCTAACACTTGACCACCCGAAACACTGGGGAGTTCATTAGAGCAGAAGACTGCATTGGGTAGGCGGGGGAGGTATGGTATAAAAGATCATCTTCGGTTTATCTGAGTGCAGGATGTGAACGGGAGAATGTGCACCAGGATGTTTGTGATTTCCACATTCAGCAGTCTTAAGCTGCCTTTCATTTATAGTGATTAGAAACCAGTTTGTTCCCAGATTCCTCTTTTTTCCGTTCTGCCAACTTTACCTTTCCCAGTTTGTGCTGTGAAGCAATAACCCTAGAGCACAGAGAAATGGGAGGGTTTTCCTCAGAATAAACAATAGTTTTGTTGAAAAATCTCATTTTCTGGCTGGATAATGCCAAAAGATAGGGCAGAAGGTCATGTTGAACTTTCTGGGTTGCCATCTCGGTGCTCCTTCCGCACTGGGAAGCAGCTCAGTGTTCTTCATGGAGGCACATGGCTTTTAGAAGTTCTCGTGTGGATTATATAAGCCACTTGCACTTGCCATCAGAATTGGCTGCCAGAACGTGGATTGCCCTGGTTATTTAATTGGAACGCTTAAAAGCCCTGCTGTCTGGATGTGCCTGGCTGCCAAGCAGCTCCTTGAGAGATGTCCTGTCACTGCAGCTCTGTCTGACCCCGTGCTCATCAGCCCTGACAGCCTCTCTTGCCAGCTCTCCCTCTCTGATATCTGAAGCTGTGCTTGGAAGATAAAGGCTTTGTGCTCTGGGTATAAACAGCAAGGCTGGAGTGGAAATTCGTAGGGCTGGGAGTCAGAGAGCAGCTTTGCAGCCACGTGGGGAAAACCTCAGCAAAGGTGAGGGCTCCTTCCCCCTGCACACTCAAAGCACCATCTCCTCCAGCCTCTCACGGGGCATCTGTTCGTGCTTTGTGCTCTGCCCCCACCTCCACAAGCCCTCGTGTTGAAAGGTTTCTCTTGTTTTACCCTGGAGTCACTTTGGTTGCACTGTCCCCTCCCAGGCACTTCGTTCTTTCGGCAAAGTAAGGTGCGTGTTTACCATTGCTGAGGTGGAGAGAAAATAGCAGGACTGGAGGAAAAACACTTACCCTGAGAAACCTTTCAGAATTTTGTTTTGATTTTGTCTCAGAGCAAAAAGGCTGTCCTTCAGAATGTGTCCATAGTTCCACATTTGTCTTGCTCTTGATTGCTTTGGAAAATTCCCATGTTTATTCGTTATTAGAGTATTGAGAGCCCTCCCACCACCATTCTTGCCGTGAGCGTTATCAGATCTTGGGGAAAAGCTGTTTTTGGGGGGGTTCTCCTTCATTAAAAGAGAAAGGAAAATCTAGTGCTTTCACTTTTATATGGGTGGAATGAGTAGAGCTGCAAATGGTTCTCAGTAAAGGATAAGTATGGGTTTGGTCAGTTCAAACCACATTATTTGGCTTTGGTAAGAGAGCCTTGGAAGTTATATAAAGAAATTGGAGTTAGAATAAAGACATCAGCTATGAAAGGCTGCAGAGCCTTTGAGCTTCCTACCCCCTGTCCTCCAGCCTTTGTGTTGTCCCAGACTAATATTCCTCTTCACTCGCCCACCTGCTTGGCAGTTTGCAGTGGGCTTGCCAGGACAAACAAGGTGAAAAACAGGAGAAGCTGGAGAATAGGTTCCCAACCACCATCCAGGGGAGGGGGAAGGGGAAGGGAAGGGAGACAGTGGGTTCAGACTTCAAAGCCCTTTTCACTGAGATTGTGTCAAAGCTGATTTGAAACACAGACTAAGTGAAAGCACTCACAGGAAATACAGTTATTGCCCAGAACAGATTATCAGAGTACCTGTGGCCACCTGGGTTAAGCTGTGTGTGCACACGTAGGTGGCCTGTAGAGCACGTGGAGCAATTTTACCAGGCTCGAGAAGAAATGCCCCAAATCAGGGTGATTAAAAAAACCAAACAACAAAGAGCAGAGGGCAACAGAATAAAATTTCCCTCCAAAATTTTAAGAGGGGGTTTTGTGGCATTTTTATGGAAATAGAAATTGGGTTGATTTCTGTCTGGAGCTGCTGAGGCTGAAATCTGCATTTGGCTCAGAGGCCACCCCAGATGAGAGGTGCAAACCTAGATTTTGGGAAAAATGAGCGTGCCTCTGTTTTTGGATGCCAGCAACCTGTTTTTGCAGAGGCACTGAGTTGTCTTTTTGATCTCAGTAGGAGTTCTGGGTGCATTAATGCTCATGCAAATCAGGCTGCAGGTATCTGAAGTCAGGCAGCCAAAAGCACAGGCGCCCCAAATTTGCAGGCTGCTTATTATGTAATTGCAGCTCCAAAAACTCTCCACGTTTCATTTTCCCATGCTGATAATGCTGTGGCTCTAAAATGTTCCTCAAATGGACCTTGGAAAGAGTTTAGCCTTTATTTAGCAGGAGAAAAAACATCCCCATCAGTGACAGCCACTCTTACTGTATTTCTGGTATAGTCTCCATCTTATTCCCATTATTTGACATCTTCCTTTTAGAAATTCAGGTCAATCTTTAAAAGAAAATTTCCATCCCAAAGTGAAAAAGTTTCCACATTTGACATTTCTGGAACAAATAATTTTCAGGTACGCCAGACTAAACTTTTTCAGTGCTATAAATTTTGTCCTGCTTTAGTTCCAGATGAAACTGTTTGCTTCACTTGACCTGAACCCGCAGTTCTTAACAGTGCATCTGAAATTTTCCAAGAAAATGCAGTATTCACAAAAATAGTTCATCCAGCCGAACCCAGGCAGAGGATTTTAGCCTCATCTGGATGGTTACTGATTTTGTAAATTGGCCTGTAGCCTGGTAGCCAAGTTGCCAAATTGCTCTTTCTTTCTGTTGAATGAACTTCTAGGAACTCCAGTGAGTGAGCAGGTGCCCCTTCTGCAGTTTCTTTTCTGTTGTGTTCCCGATGCAGGGGGTAAAAAAAAAAAAAAAAGTATTGGTGGTGGTGATGCAAAATTTCCAAGTGGATTTTTTTTGGACAGGTTTAAGGAACGAGGGTTGGAAAGTTTGGGCACTGGGCAGCCCGGCTGTTCCCCTGGGGCAGCCACGCTGCGTTTGCAGGCAGCACAAGCAGCAGGGACCCAGACAGCTCACCTGGGCAGCCTAAAGGGCTGCGGGAAATCCACCTGAGATGTCACCAAAGCCAAGGCACTGCTGCAGCGCACTCATGCTGTGGCAAACTCCTTTTTTCCATGGAAACATGGCTCCTGGGGCAGGGCCTGCCACCAGCAGTGCTTGCAGAGGTTGCAGCTGGAGCTGGGCTCTGAGGAAGGCGAGGTTCCCATGGCATGTCCTCCCCTGCCCTGCCCTGCCTCCAGTTTCCCTCCAGGCACTGAGCGAGAAAGTGAGCGTGGATTCCATTGCCTCGGTGGCACAACAGCCAGATGTTTTGAATACTTGTGTAGATTCCTCCTTGTTTGTGATGTGGTTAGGGCTGCTGGCATCGAGGTGGGGAGCTTTTAACGTTGTGCCAGAGGAGAGAAAGTGATAACCCACTGTGACAGATCGGTGTCTGCTGCTCGCTGGAGCCACTGCTGCTGCTGCTGACAGTGCTGGGTGGGCTGTTGGATCTGGAGAATTGTGGGGGGGGGGGGAGAAGCTCTTTCTCCCAGTATCTTTGTCTCCTTGATGGAATGGACAATCCCTGAGCGTTCTGTCCTCCCTTCCTAAGCTCAGGACATCAGCTCTGCCCCTGTGGCTGTGGCTGTGGCTGTCCTGCTAGCAGAGCTCCTCACCCTCTTAGCTGAACCAGTTTCCTGAAAGCAAGTCCACGCAGGAGGTGGGGGGTTTTTGTTTTTGTGTGGTTTTTAAGAAGAAAAAATGTTTCTGCGTTTTAGATATAATCCAAGGGCCCACACAAAGAAAAAATTTTCTAATTGTTCTCGATGCAATGCGTTTGGCAGTGAGAAAAAATGTGTGGGGGGGATGTATCTACTGCAATATTCTTCTTGCCTCCTTGCAGGGGGAGGGAAGAGAGTGAAAGCAATTTGTCTTTGGCAGGCACTTATGGTCTTCTGTAGGGCTCAGAAGGCTGAGATTGTTGGCCATAAATGCAAGCAAAGGTCTGCACACCTTGTGCAAAGACAGCAAAAAATAAAAAAAAAGGCAGCCTGCAGAGTTAAATTAAATTAATGGATGTGATACCTTAAACTAATGGATGCGATCAAAACACTGGTGGGAGCTGGCAAGTGAATATCCTGGGGATTTTGAAGCCTGGGAATTCCAACAATCTTGTGTGGAGGTGGTTACTTCTGTGGCCAACTCCTTATCCAAGACTTAAGGGGCTGGCTTTTGGAGGGTGCTGGAAGCGTGTATGGCAGTGCCAAGGAAGCAGCCAGGAGACTGTGCTGGGTTTTGGGTAATCAGATGTAACTTGTACTGAAATGAACTCTTCTCCCCAGTGGAATTTTATCGTGGAAAGGATGGGGCTTCTCTCTAAAGGTTACACATAGGGTGGTCTTGACATAGGAGGCCACCAGAGAGCTGTTCCAAGTGGGGATCCCGCTGGGCTCTGCAGAGGTGACATCTCTTGGTTCGAGCCCCAGTGGGGGACAGGAGAAGATGTCACCTTTGAGAGGTCCCTACTCTTGGCAAAGCTGGGCTTAGCGAGAGACTGAGTTATCAGCCCTCTGTCGTAGTACAGAGCCTGGGAATGTTTTGTGTGGCTCCCCAGGGATGCTGGCAACACCGCTGTGAAATGGGAGATCCAAAGAGAAAACAAACAAACAAACAAAATCAGCACAGGCTGATTTTGTGCTGTCAGTTCATCTGTGTTGACATCTGGTGGACGTTAGCGCTGAATCCAGGTCTCTGCAAAAAGTACCATCAAAACAAATTGTGTTTTTACACCAGGGTGGGAATTGATTTGGTTGAGGAGGTTGCTGTGGGGGTCAACTTTTATTTTTGTAGTGAACCCTCAGTTTTTCCAGGGTCATGTATTTTCAGTAGACACTGCTCAGATCTCTGTGCTGCACAGGTTTTATTGCACCCTAATTTCCATTGGCTTTAGCAAAGATGTTGCTTTGTGCATGAAATTATTGGCATGGGATGGCAGATCTCTCTGGCCTCTCCTCCTCCTGTTTTATGTAATGTTGAGGAGATTTCAGTAGTGGGTCAGACTGAGTGAATAAACTACTGGGTGAAGGCCTGGCCATGTGAAATTTGGTTGCCCGTAAATTATTCTTGCTTTCTGATTCCACTGGTTTAAGAGTGATCTGGGATGTGAGCTGGGGAGACACATGAAGAGGAAGAGACCTTTATCTGTGAGACAGCACGTTCCAAAGAGCAATCACCACTTTGAACAGAAATAAGGGAACAGGCAGCCTCTTTTGCTGCTGTATTTGCTCCCCAAGGTAATTCCCAGGTGGGGACAAAACCTCCCCCCCTCATTTGAGGGCTGGAATAACCATGGCAGTTGGGTTACCTGGGCTCTCCTGGGACCAAAATGACACCCTTTGACCTGGCCTGTTCACCAGGCTAAAAAATTGCAACTACTAATTTTTCGGGTTTTTTCCTTCTGTGTCCTCTCCAAGAGAAGGAGGAAGAATTAAGTACTAGTCATTAGTCATTACTTGACTCATCTCAGGGCAGGCAGCAAAGTAAATTCTTCAAGGGACAGCCTTAACTTTTCCAAACACTTCCCAGGGAAGATCAAGGCACTGTTCATACATGTTTTTGGCAGGGGAAGCCTGCAGGTTTAATTCTGTGATTGAAAACAGCCTCTATGTGCCACAGATTATTGGGTACCATAGATTTTAAAAGGAAAGAACCTCGTAGCAATGATTGCACAAACAAATTTGGCATTCCTGCTTTTATATTAAATTTTTTTTATTGAGATGATGTAATTACAAGCATTTTAAAAATTATTTGCAACTCACTGGCCCTGAGAATAGGCTTGTTTGTTTTTGTTTTGTTACATTCATTTGATTCAGTCCCTTAGCCCCACACCTTACCGAAAAAAAAGAAGCCATCATCAATAAAAATACTAGAATTTTATTAAAAAAAAAAAAAAAAAAAAAAAAAAAAAAAAAAAAAAAAAAAAAAAAAAAAAAAAAAAAAAAAAAAAAAAAAAAAAAAAAAAAAAAAAAAAAAAAAAAAACAAAAAAACAAAAAACCAGAAAACAGAAAACAAAAAACCAAACCTCAAACTCTGGATTTGCACACAGTTGCAATCTGACAAGAGAGATCTGGAGAATGTATACATGGAGTCTGAAATCTGGGGAGGGTGGCAGTGACTCACAGAAAGGGCCTCAGTAGTGTTCTCTGGATGGAGAGGCAGACAACAGGTTTCGAATTTAAACCAGGAAAATATTCTGCTGTGGAACTGCAGCATGTCCTACCTGCCTGTCCTGAGGCCTGTTCAGACCGGCAGCAAGCTGATCCAATGAACTGAATTGCACAGTGTGAAGAAACCACTGCTGGGTATTGAAGTTGGAGGTCATCTGACCTGACCTCCTCTGCTCAGACAGGGCCAGCCAGGGCCGGCTGCCCAGGGCTGTGTCCAGACGCCTTTTGCTCATCTCTGAGGATGAAACACTTTCTCCCTTTCCCCACTTGCTTTGGTGGCAAAGGCAGAAAGTTTGGCTGTTTTGCTGCTGGCAAATTCTACACTGGGCAACCAGGATTTGGGGGGGAGGAAGGCAGGTGTCAGTGTTAATGGAAAGACACTGTTACCTTTGCCAGGTAACAATAAGCTCAGTATGCTGATGCTGTCTTTGTATTCCCATGAATCTGCCACGTGGTGCTCTACCCTGCTTCTACTTTTTTATTTTTAGTCATAGCTGATTAATAAACTTGCTTCAGGAGCCCCAGAGCAGTTCAGATCCTGCAGCTCCCACAATAGGTCCCAAGCCCCCACAGTTCTTGCAGCTGCAGTGACAGGCAGGTTCAAAGGCTATTGTCATTCCAACTAGCATCAGCCTTGACAGACCTTTTTCTCTGTGGTTGTGAAGTGTTCTTAGGATGCCCTTTATTTGTGAAATGGGAAGAGTTTCCAACAGGTACCAAACTTTTTTTTCCTCCTTTGACTTTTAGATTCTCTAAGTGAATGCGATTGCATTTTTCTGGTAAAGATGAACACTTTCCCTACAAAACTTCCCTATGGGACAGCACATGGGATTTTCCTGTCTTACTGAGGATGAACTTTGTTTGATAGCGTTAACAATGGGTTTTTACTGGTGGATTGTCTCTTGTTCTCTGTACTTTGCAGTGGGCACCTTGGCTGTAACAAAAACCCAGGTGCACAGTGAAGCACTTCCCCTTGTTGAACTTCACAAGGTTGGTGACTGCCCAGTCCCCTCACTGGCCAAGGTGTCTCTGCAGGCCCTCCCTGCTCCCGAGGGTGTCAGCAGCTCCTCCCAGCTCTGTGTGGCTGCAGACTTGCTGAGTGTCCCTTCCAGTCCTGCATCCCAGTCATTTATGATGTCCAAGAGCAAAGGGCCCCACATGGAGCCCTTCAGAACCCCACTAGTGACAGGTCTGATGTTACCCCTTTCACTGTCACCCTCTGCGCTCAACCAGTGAACACACCCACTGTGCGATGTGTTTTATTGTGTATAAAGTGCTGGACATTTTGTCCAGAAGATAGACAGCACTGAAAGCTTTACTGAAATCCAAAAGGATTACATCACCTGGCTCCCCTTAATTGGTTACCTTGTCACAGAAGGAAATCAGGTGTGATAATCAGGACTTGCCTCTCATGAAGCTGTGCTGGCTGTGACCAGTGACTGCATTGTCTTTCAGGTGCTTTTCAATCCCTGCCAGAATAATCTTCTCCATAACTTTACCAGGCCCTGAAGTGAGACTGACAGGCCTGGAGTTTCCAGGGTCCTCCTTCCTGCCCCTCTTGAAAATCAGGACAACATTCCCCAGCTTCCAGTCAGCTGGGACCTCTCCAGATTGCCAAAACCACCCAAAAATCATTGAGAGAGGTTTTGCAGTGACATCGGCAGCCCTTTGAGGATTCTTGGATGAATCCTCTCAGACCCCATAGATTTGCAGGGATCTGACTGGAGCAGCAGATCCCACACAGTGTCAGGGTTGACTGGGAGTTGATCCCTTAGTCTGTCATCCCTGTGGAAGACAGAGGCAAAAAAAAAAAAAAAGCATTAAACCCCTCTGTCTTGTCCCTGTCCCTTTTGGGAGGTGACCATCCCCATCCTGTAAAGGGCTGAGGATATTTCTATTGTGCCCATTGCCATTTATGTACTCGAAAAAACTCTTTTTATTGTCCCCCACATTTCTGGCAGCTTCATCTCCAACTGAGCTTTAGCCATACAAATTTTCTCCCTGCTGCAGCAAGCAACATTTCTGTATTCTTCATGTCCCTTGACCTTGCTTCCACTGGGTATTGACCTTCCTTTTTTGCCATATTTCCAGGAGAAGATCCCTGTCCAGCCCAGCTGGCCTTCTGCCATTTGGGAACTGCCTGCTCCCATGCCCTTAGGAGGGGATGTTTAAAAAGTGGCCAGTACTGATGGACCCCAGCACCTGCAAAAAACGTGTTTCCAGGGGACCTTACTTACTAATTCCTGAGCAGCCCCAAGTCTGCTCTCCTCCTGTCTAGAGTTGAGGTTTTGCTGGCACTTTTCCTCCTGCCAACGCTATTCACTGCATGCCACTTTTTCCTGTTAAATATTTGGAAAGATGGGGTTGAAATGGATTAGACTAGATTAGCTTTTTTAATTTTTTTCCATGTTTAGTTTCTTTTATGGTCCCACTGAAGCAGCCTTCTGCTTAAAAGCAGAACTGGTGTGGAGGTGCTTTCTTTCAGACAGCACAGTGATTCTCTGTGTACCTTCTCCCTTTGCAAGCATCATTTCTGCTGCTGGATCTTCCTTCCATTAAAATGACCACTGCTGATGGACTGCTGGACACCTGGACACCACAGGGATTCTCTTGTCTTGGGCACCAGGGACTGCTGAGCTTCTTCTGTGAGCGAAGGAGGCAAAGTTCTTTGCCTCGTGCAGAGCACCCTCGGTGCAGCAAACCAAACTGAAGCACCTTGCAACCAGAACAAAATGCCAAACCGAGAAAGCAACGTGGCTCCAGGGTTCTTTTTTTTCCCTTGTCTTTTAAATCATGTTAAAAACAGGCAGGCTGAGACAAGCTTCCTTCATGGCAGAGCTGGAGGATGGGGGGGGGGATAGTAGGAGGCATAAAAAAAAAACCCCAAATCTGAAAACAAAGCAAGCCAAAATCAACTACAAGATATAAGTACAGCTATTTGGTCTCTGGTTCTCTAATATCACCTCTCAGACTGGTGAATCATCTACCTCTCCTGCAGCAGAAAATGATCTTGGAGAGGCTTCTGAGTAATACAAACCACGTGATGAGTCCCTTTGCTCTCTCCCTGTGATGTAAGGAGAAGTCCTTCACCTTTCACCCCCTAATTGCTAGCAGGTATGAGAAACACCCCTTCCTTTTCTAATTACAGATGCTTCAGTCTTCCCTAAAAAGGGAAAAAGCTTTGAGCTGAAATTCTGCATTGTGGAGAACATTGGGGAGGTTTATAAATATATATATATATACATATATATATATGAAACTTTTATATATATACACATATATTTCTTCGTCCCTGCCCACCCTTTCCCCTGCTCCAGTCTATCACTTCCTTGCTAGAAAGAGGGAAAATACTGACTGATAGTCTGTTGCAGAGGTTTGTCACACTTTTCTCCTCCCCAGAGCACTTAGGTGATTGGTTTTGGTCCATATTCCAGCAGTCAACAGCCACTGTGAGCCCAAGCTCTGCTGGGATGATGGCCCAGCCTAGATGTGAAGGGTGTCTCCTCATCATTTGACAGGTACGTGTGGTAAATTCTTTTGGTGGCTTCAGCACATTTCCCAGCAGCAGCACGTGTAAATTGATCCGAGCAAACCGGAAGCCTTGAGCAAATCCCTCCTGTATTGCTGTTGTTTACGCAGTGTTGTGTCACGAGGCTTGCACAGAAAATAAAAGCACTCTATTTCCATAGGAAAGCATTAAAAAAAAAAAAAAAATGGCAGCATAATCTGACATCTTGTCCTATGTGAGATAAGGAAAGTCAAACTGCATGTTTATTAGGGGAAAAAAAAAAAAACAACACCCCCCCCAACTCAAACAAACAAACAAAAAAAAAGTAAAGAACTCAAGGGAGACTTTGTAGGAACAGCGAAGTAGTGCACAAGTCCAGGCTTTCTCCCCTTTGCTTTTCTGCCAGCACCACTTCTGCCTGTTTGTTTTGTTAAGGTGCTTCAGGTCCTGTGTGGTTTTTCAAGCTAAGCGGCAACCTCAAGTACTGCTTCTGTGTCGCTCCTTCCCCTCCCAAACCATGCCAACCATGCGGGCAGATGTTCCTGCCAGGGACCCACAGAGGTGCTGCACCTGTTTCCTTCAGCACTCATCTTCCTGGTATATGATTTGTTCATCCAGTTCCTGGGATTCAAGGTGCTCGAGCCGGTCCGTTCGGCCACTCATGATCTCGTCTGGGGTCTTCATGAACCTGCAAAGCAGAGGAACAAATGGATTTCTCACGGGCTCAGCTTTTCCATTCATCAGGTTGTTGAGGTCCCTGAGCTCTACAGCTCCTGAGATAATCTTTGCAGTATTTAGTATTTCCCACATTTTCCCCAGCTTACTGATGTCTTCCCTCCTGCATACCTTGAAAGGAAACAACAACGACAAAAAAAATCACAGGCATTTATTTATCCCTGCTCCTTGAAAGCCCAAATCTGAACCAAACCCCACATTTTTTTTCAAAAAAAATAGTATTTATTTCTTCTCCTCTGTGTTGTTTGCTGTTGTCACGTAAGATGATAGCATGCCCCAGGTACACTCATTTATGGTGTCTGGTGACATGAACGTGAAATACCTTTATGACCAGCGTATTTCAAAACAAAAGCACTTGTAAGGTGTGGAGAGGCAGAGGGCTGCTGGGTTGTGTGGGCCTGTGTGTGTAGGTGAATGAGAAGAACATGAAACACCAAAGAAACAGTGGTGCAAAAAGCCAAAGGTCCAAGTCAGAACAAGTTCTGGGAAATGGAAAAAGCCCTGAAGGGAAAAGCTTTGGAGCTGGGGAACTGTAAGCAAAGACAGTCTCTTCCTGTGTGATTGTGACGAGCATCGTTGTACCGAAGCAGCATCCTCTGTAAATGAATGCCACGGCTCCCAGCACTCATCTCTCCGTGCAGCCAGGCTGCAGGGGGCTGGAAACAGAAACAGCCTCTGTGGAGGCATGGCAAGAGCAGGAATGGGAAAGGACATCCAGCAGCCTGCAGATGAGTCTTGATTTTTGCCAGGATGCTCATGTGAACTACTGCACAGGGGTAGCATGGAAAAGCTCTGCTCTTTCTTTTTGAATGCAGCGGCACAGGAAGAGAGTGTGGCACGGGGAGGATGAAACCTCAGTTCCAACACAAATCAGTCTCCTTAGTATTTCTGGCGAAAGTAGGATGAAAGGTGTTTATTCTGGAAGCGTTACAAAACTTCCCAGTCTTTCATTAACAACGTACTGGTCAACACTCAGCAGTACCAAATGTGTTAATGGCAAGAGCTGGTTTTATTTCAGGCTGATGATACGCTCAGTATCCAACAGGAGCCTTGTTACTATCACTGACTCACAAAAATCACCGCTGAAGCCTCTCAGCAAACACATAGCATAGCCTGGAACTAACCTCTTGCTATCCCTTCTAATCTGGGAAATCATGTGCACATATGCATTTAGGGAAAAAAAAAAACCCAACCAGGCTATGACTCAGTGCTGTGTCACTGCCATTTGTATGCTGGAAGAATGCTGCTGATACAAATGGTGTCACAGCAGTGAAAAACTCCTGTGCAGGAGTGGTGAATCCATCCCTGGTCACACAGTGAAAGTGCAGGAAAGCCTCAGGGCCTGTGCCTTGCTTTAAACCCTGGGATTGCCTGCTTGATTTTGCATGAGAATGAACCCAGAGAGTGATCCCCCTGCCCTCCCTCCCACGTGGGGAAAGGGCTGATGTGAACTGCACCACAGCATTCAGGTGTTCTTTCTGCTCCAAGTCATGTCGAGGAAATCAAAGTGTGGGTATTTGTAATAGCGTTTGATTACATTAAAAAAACCCCAACCCAACCCAACTTAACCCAACCCAACCCAACCCAGAACTACAAGCTAATTAAGCAGCAGTATCTGTGACCTATTTTATTGCAGAAGACACTCAGGCAATCTATTAGAAATCCTTCTCTGACTCCACTGTACTTAAAAGCTTCACACAGGTATCTGCAGATGACAACTGCCTGCATGTTACTTCTAAAGCCACAGTTCCTATTATTTCTGTGCTTGCGAGAAATAGCCAAGAAAGGCACATTAATGACTTGATCTTTTGCAGCTGTTCTTTTTCTCTTCAGATATAAATAGGTCTAAAAAAAACAACATCAAAAAGTTTTATTACAGAATTGCTTTACTTTTTTTTTTTTTTTTTTTTTAAAGTTTCCAAAAGAAATGAGGTTTATATTCTCATGTTTTATGTTCCTTGGGGACCTTTGAATCTGTTGGTCGGTTTGGGCATGTCTGACAGAGGAACTGAGGTCTCCAAGGGCATTAAGATTTTGAGAAAACAGGCAGCCTGGTTGAGAAGAGATGACTCCTCTTTTGTTGATGCTCCCACTGAATCATGAGCTGCCCCAGGGCAATGCAGTCTCCTCACAAGACCACAGAAATCCAGGTACCCTTGGTACTGCTGCTGCTGAAACAAGCTGGTTTTAATGTTCCACCAAGAACAAAGATAGTGTCAAAGCAGCTGATTTTGCCCATGACTACTTCTTCCCTTCCCTCTCCTTCCCCCATCTGTGTTTCCTTCCAAGACCTGACAAGTCATTCAAACCTTTTCAGCTGTAGATAGTTTGAGTGCTATTGCAGTTCTGTCAGCTATTTAAGGAAACAAGAATGCCTTCCTACTTCCCAAGCACACAACTAGATCCAGACCATGGACATCAAAGCAGTCTTTGGTGCAAGTTCAGTGCTCTGTGGGTCAGACACACACACACTAAAATTTGCTGGTCTTGTCTGAAGAGAACTAGAGTGCTTTCACTCTCTGCCAGCTTCACTCAAGTTTGTACAAGTTTAATGCTGTTTCAGGCACTGTTTTCTAAACTTCTGGTTGTCTCATCCAATCCAATGCATTAGGTTTTATGACCAGCTCTCGCAGGCCCCTCTTCCTTGAAGGCAGCACTGCTGAAAACGTGGTCATCAGCGCTCCTCTTGTGTGATGCTGATGCATGAGGAAATGCCTGATCCCTGCTTCACTGTCACTGGCAAGCAACTTTTATAAATCTATGACTATTGTGATCTGTTTTATTGCTGTGGCAATGAATTCCATTCTTCATCTTCAAAAACTAATGGTCTGTAGAAAGGAATAGCAAAGAAAGAAGAAGATTACCTGAACAAAAGCCTTTGTCCCGGCTCCTTCCGGATAATGTTTAGTTTGTAGTAGTGGCGTAGAGCTCTGGACATTTTCTCATAAGTCATATTTGTTCTGTTCTGTTGTTTGTTTGGTTTTTTTCAAAAGAAAAAAAGCAAAAATGTGGTGAGATGATTCATTAAAACCTGCCCAAGCCCCAGAAGGAGTTTCAGAACTATCACAGCTTGCTAAAGTAACCAGGTCAGTTCAAGAAATTACACGTTCCGCTCTTCTGTTTTTGCAGGCCCATTTTGGGGCCCCCACAGCCCTCATCACCAAATTTTTGTGTGTCTCTTTTCAACCAGGGCAATTCAAGCAAGGAATCTTATCAAAAATTCCAAGTCAGGTTATTCTACAGTTTCTTGAAACACAGATAACAAAAGACTTAATTACCTACAAGAGGAGACAGGGAGGGAGATGCTCATGTCAAGTGGGATGTGACAGGCCTGTTCTTAGAGAAAACACATTTTGTAAAAGCCCAAGAACAGTGGCAAATACACTGAACCTGTCAGCAATCCCTGCTAAGAGCATTGTTCCTCTGAGATTTCCCTGCATTGACTAATTAATGCTTACAGAACACCGCAGAGACTGACACCCCGTTTCTCCTCTTGTTATCCGTGTTGTAAACCAAGGAGCTCGTTAGACTGTAAATCAAGAAGCTCCTCCCCTTCATTTTGGGGGCTGTTGACCCCAAGGGCCAGAGCACTGTGGTGTCCTGAAGGATTTTAGACACATGATGGCACAGCCCAAATATTAACGCGCAGGTTGGGTAAGGGCAGAACTCTCCATTCCCAGTGTTGCAGCTCTAAGACAGATGTTCTTGGAAGCAATTATGTCACATGAGAAAATCCTGACCTTATAAAGATTATAAGCTATGTGTGCTCATATATAAAATCACAGAATAGTTGAGGTTGGAAGGTACCTCTGGAGATCACCCAGTCCAGTCCCTCTGCCCAAAGCTAGATCAGCCAGAGGTGGTTGCTCACGACTGTGTCCAGCTGGGTTTTGAATATCTCCAAGAATGGAGCTACTTGTCCCACTTTTGTATTGTCTGACAACCTGCTAGAGGCACTCTCCCATCACCCAGGTCATGAATGAACACATTAAACAGTTCTGCCCCCAGAATCAACCCCTGGGGTAACATCACTAGTGACTGGATTTTGTGCCATTGATTACAGCCTTTCCATCCCAGCAGATCAGGCAGTTTTCAATCCACCTCCCTCTATTCTTGTCTAGGGCACACTTAATCAGTCTGTCTATGAGGCTCAAAAGCCTTTCTGAAATCGAGATAAGCCACATCCACTGTTCTCCCTGAATCCACTAAGCTAATAATTCCATTGTAGGTGTCTATCACAGTGGTCACACATTCCTATGGATACAGTCATATACACATATCTATGTGTAACTCAGTCCCAAGCTGCAAAAATCAGTAACTGCTTTCCAGAGAACGAAGCACAACTGCCCTGTTAAAAGAAATACACAGTCCTGCAGCATTTCACAGGTCAGTGGGTGAGGTCTGAAGGGACACAGACAGGCAGCTCCTGCCAAATTATTGTACAGGGCTCCTCGTAGACCACATCCAGTCAGAATATCCTTGGCATCAGATTTTGGAAAGGGTTAAGATGCCTCGAGAGAGAGAGAAGGGCTGTTGATTCTTGCACTCCTTGTGATTTTATAATTACATGCATTGATAACTAAATGCTTCTAAACCCAACCAAGAGGTTTTCTATAGGAAGACGAGGTTTTAGTGCTTGGGGATGGATGGTTTATATTTCTGATGTATGGAGAATGAAAGATTCCAGCTTCCAGCAGTAAATTTATATGCACATCCTTTCTCTGTTTCCCCCATTTACAAGTGAATCCCGTGATGTTACCAGAGGTGAAAGTGCTGTAGGAGGAAAAACTGCATTGCCTTCCTTACCTTGTGGTTTCCCCACAGCCGGGCCAGCCCGTTGGGATCCACTATCCGAAATATTTTGGATTCCTTATCTTCCCATCGGATGAAATTTTCGTACCGGCTGTCAGAAAGCAGCTGATAAACATAATCCCAAAGCAACCTACAGTCTGTGAAGAGAGAAGCAAGAAAATACTTTCCTTTTTATACTATTTATAAAATTGACACCTTCTGCCGTTTTAAATTTGATTTTTGTTTGATTTTTTAAGGTTCCTGACCAAAAAAAAAAACAACCCAGGTATTAAAATTACTTAAATGCTATTGAGAGGTTAAAATATTCTGTTTGGATGATTGAATTTCCTCTTGAAAAACACTACTTAGGTGGCTAATTAAAGGTCTAACAGAGATTTAGGTTTGAGTTTAGTGCTTTTGAGTTTCACGGCAGTCTCTTGAGACTGAGGAAGCCAAGAGCTGAGCTGCTCCTCCTTCCTGTCTGCAGAGTGTGTGTGCACAAATGGAAAATGCAAAGAGAATTGTCCAGAGCTGGGGATTTACTGGTGGGAGGGATGTTAGAGCTCAACAGTCCAGATTCCTAAGATGGCTGCAGGGTGGCATTTTACTCTGAGAGCAACACCAGCCTCTGAGAGATGGCTTGTTGGAGTTGTTCAGGGGCTGGCAACCAAAGACATCCAGTTCACAAGTGCTAAGATGGATTCTTGTCGGCCCATATTTCTATTCCTGTCTGTCTGTCTGGAGCTGGAATGTCTTACAATGGGAATGATGACGTGGTCAGTATGAAAATATACAATGCTTTTTGAAAAAGGGTATGAATAGCACATTTAATGAGCACACCTGCAATGGTCAGATATATTCATGTTATTTACGGTATTGTCCCCACTTTCAAACAATCCAGGCTATCTCTGAAACCTGTCCTGTCTCTAAAACCAGTGCTGGTGCTACAGACTCTTTCTACCAGTCCTATGAAGAATAAAGCAGTCCATGACATCTGGCAAATCCTGCAGGTTTCTGTTCTAGCTGAACATCTACCCTGATGGTCATCTCATCCACAGCATCGACCAGAGGAAAAACGTGAGAGGAAAGAGGTAGACTTTTTAGTTGGAAAAACCTTATTTTCATTACCATTTTTCACAGAAAACCATTTTCCACAGAGAAATGTCCATTCCCCTTTGAAATTTTTTCTAGGTTTTAATTAAAAAAAAATAAAACCTGAGGGCAAGTTTCCCTGGACTCTCTCACACTTCACAGAATGAAACCCGAGATGTCTAGGTGTCAAATTGTTAGATTAACAAGACAGCTGCAGATGCTAAGAAGAGATGAAGGATTCAAGTGCAGATTTGGTTTTTGTTGTTCACTCAGTTTTTAGAATGGATTCAGGGTAAGCTTGAATGTAAATGTACCTCAGATGAGAAGAACTCAGATCTGCACCTTGAGATCTTCACAAGAAAGTCCCATCCCATCTTCTACACTGACTGAGCTGCTTACACTTGCACAGGTATTTAGCAGGCTGGTGGAATTTGCAAAAAAACACAATCACCAAAGTACGTTAGGCTGCTGTTTGCTTCAGTGAGAAAACTGAAAATCCTTGAAAACTCTGCTTGCTTCCTACAACCACTTAAAAACTCCTTTTCAAACGGTACAGTTGTCTATCAGCAAGTTCAGATAGATGACTCAGGTGCAATAATTTAATGAGCATCATGATGGACAATGCTCTCAGGCACTGGTGGGGTTCTCGGGGCTGTCCTGTGCAGAGCCAGCAGCTGGACTTTGATGGTCCTTGAGGGTGCCTTCCAACTCAGGATATTCTGTGATTCTGTGACATTATATAAAGTTGCATCCTCCAGGAAGGTCAAAATTGTTATGTGAATTTTCAGGAAGGCCGGAGAAACGGAGAGGAGAACTTGTACGTGGATGGTTGTTTTGAAGGAGTAAATTACTTGTATGAGGAAAGTCTGGATGGTGGGAATGACTCCAAGAAAACTAAATCACTTCCTTGGCTGTCACAGAAGGCCTCCAAAAAACCTGCATGAGGGGACTCTGCACAGGGCGTGTGTTGGACAGTGAGTAATGGCAAGAAAGCACGTGGATGTTGCTGAGGCCAAGCAAGTTGAAAATTGTGGGAGATTCAAGAGGAGAATTGAGTCAGGGCTGGTAGCTGAACTGCATGCTGCAATTTCCTGCCTTTTGGCTACAATAAACATACTTAGGAGAGACTGGTGCCTCCCTAGCACAGGGAAACATCATTTCCCCCTAACATGCACACGTGTTTTTCCTAAAATGAGCTCAGATGGCTGAACTTTGGACAGTATGAAGGTAAAGGGCAGTGCTGGGTCTAAGAGGCTTTAAGGTGATGCAGTATCAACCAATCTAGCCCAAGTGGGAAGATGGCAAATGGCCCAGCGATTCCTAAACACTGGAATTTCCATGTCCTGCCATCTTCTCTGCTGTGCAGACTGAACTACGTAATTAGCTGGGCATTAGGGCAAACTGTGGGATATTTACAGAATATAAAGAAATCTCTCTCATAAACAGCAGTTTTTATGGTTTAAATGCTGGCTTCAAACTCTACTCATAGCAGCACACTTGCCTACTTGCTGTTGTTTTAACCCCTCCTTTCACGTGGAACGAGTGCCCAAACCTCAGCCAGTCTTCCTTGGCACGGTAAAATTTAAATGTCTCTTTTTCCGGTGAAAAGCTCTGCTAACTTTTGTAACCTAACTTACAAAAGCACAGCTTTGGTAATGCTACATGAAAGGGGAGACTATAAATATTGTCACTAAGAATCCCTGGTGACACCCAAATAGGCACTTGTGAGTCTGTATCACAGATTTTTAATTTCAAATATTCTTTAGGAGTAAAGGCACAGTCTTCTGAATATACACCTAAAGAACACTGGCATGTAAATACTTCCTAATGGCTATAAGTACCCCTTAAAATTGAAATACCATCTAAAAATGATCTGTAAATTAAATATTATGGATCTTAGGTTCCTAGTAGTTTGACATTTGTCCGGCCATTTTAAATTACTTCTGTAGTATCGTTTGGCCAAGAGAGGTCTTACATCTTTCCTCCCCAGGACTAAATAATGCTGTTAACATTAAAAGCATAAAGACCTCTTTTGTTTGGAATATAACATTCCCATGCACTGCAGTATTTCCTAAAATCCCCACTGTATGAGGCCTCTGTTGTTTAGAAGAGGCCTGTGGTGCAAAGCTGGCCCTCTTCGTGCATCAACTACCAAAATCCCCTCAGAACCACAGGAGTGTTTTGCAAGACCCACCCACATCTTGCACTGAAAGTTATTACATAAAATGCATCTGATCTGGCTGGTGAATGATTGGAGCCCAGCGTGGCTCCACAGAGGAAGAGATGCCAAAGTAACATTGTCATCCTTCCTCTGACATCAGCTCAGGCCTTACCGCTCGCTGAGTAGGTCAGCCCAAAATTTTTCCAGCATGATACCGTTTGACTTAAATGGTTCTGTGATTCCTACCAGTTCTCCCAAGCTCCCTAACCCCTAACCCTTTATTTTACAAGGTGATTTGTGCTTCATCTGCATTTCTTTAGAGGGATGCAAAAGATGGCTGTTCACAACTGAAGCTAATGAACAGAATTTCTCCAGAAGTTCTCTGGTTTCTGTAAGCACACCTGAAGCATGTGTTGTTAGATTTCTCTGTGAGCTGACTTAAACCACTTAAACAGAAGAAAACAAACCCTGCAAAAAAAACATCAGGCATCTGCCTGTTATTTCTGCAGGCTGGAAGATCTGGTGAATGCTAATGCCAAGACAAAGAAGGTGGTGAGGCTTCACTGGCAGAGCAGGCAAGGGGGGGCAGAAAAGAGGCACTGACCTTCAGCCTACTGTCTGTGACCATCCCCCTTGCTGGAGAAGGTCAGTAAGTTCTTGAGAAGGCAACACTACTTTGGGGCATCTGGATTTGTTTAAACTGCAGCTAGAACCAAGAAAACACAAAGGTTATTACTGTCTGTTGTATGGAAAATAAAAAAGAGTGGGGGAGAAATCCCAAGTCCTGGAGTGGTTTATAGTCTTGGCATGGAGATGAGCTGTAACTGCACTGCCACCACATCCTGAACTGTACAACAGGCAGAGCTCTCTGACAAGTCAGACCGATCTTTTGGCTGGTGCATGCAGTTCACCAGGCTGGCTGATGCTGTGCTCCAGGAGGACAGTGACAACCACTCAGTTAACGCACTCTCAGCACGCAAACAGACGGGGGGGGGGAAATAGAGCTGGCTCTGAGGACTGGGAGAGCACTGACCCTGAGATGGAGCAGTCCTGCTCACCATTGTGTGTTAATCCATGGTCAGGTTACTGCAGGAAAATAGTTTTCTTTCCACGAGTGCTCCTGCTGGAAGCAGGATGTTAAGCTGGTACAGTAAAGCCAATATTTTTTGGGGAGAAACCTCTCGACAGACCACAGTTTCTTCAGCTCAGTACATTCAAGCTGGGACTGGGGATAGAGGTTGCCAGATCACAATACAACAGTTGTATGTTGCTCCTGTTTTACAAGAGAAACACTGAGTGGGAGATCAGGCATAAGGAGAGCAGAAACCTGAGATCATGGTGCTGCTAAACAGTTGTGCTGTGAGGTTGTAAAAATAACACAGCAAGATGAGGCCAAACTCTTGTCTTTGGCAGTAAAAACATACACAGGAAAGGAGGATCCAAAAGCTTCATATCCCTCATGTGGTCATAGAAAAGAGGGCTCAAATCACAGAATACGTAAGAGATGATGGACAGACTGTTTGATGGATGAAGACTTTGAAAGCCATAGTTTGTTGTACTAAAAAAGTCTCTTTTTTTCCTGTCCCCAAGAAACAGAGTGGCATTTTCAGTATTACCTTCAAGGGCTGTTCTTCTCCTGCCCTACCACAATGGTAGAAAAGACTCTTGCTACAGAAACCTGCTTCTGATTCTCCTGTGGCTTTTCCTCACCTTTACTGCTCACGAAGGGCAATGACCAGAGAAAGGGAAATTCAACTTCTGCCTGCTCACACGCACATCTTACAACCTCTTTGACATCAGAAAACTGTCCCAGCGCTTTAGTGACAGAAATTTAAGAATTAAGAATGGGTTTGGTTTTGTTTTTTTTTTTTTTTCTTCTTCCAGTCTGTACTAGACTACTACTTACTTACTTACCCAAACAAGCCCTGACTGCACATTTCTGCTTCTGTAACTGTGCAGTAAGAACACAGGCAGTTGTGAAGCAAGACACTTCCCAGAACATCTACAACCACCTATCCAAGCAATTGCCATTCAGCTATTGTTTGAGCTTGAGTACCATTAGTTACATTGTCAGGGAAGGCACACTTCCACGCTGAAATTAATTGTTAATGCCATGTTATAATATAGAATGTTATAATGAAAACTTCTCCTATGAATAGGAACTCGATGAGCTTGACTCTCACTCGTCCTTCAGTCTCTACAGCAGTCTGGCTTTCCACAAGGAAATAGCCAGACTATTTCCAGCCCCTTGTGGAAAGCCAGACTACTGTATAGACATTTCCATATGGTGGAAATGTAGAAGTGAACGTGACTGCAAGGGCAAGTGATTAAACAAGGCCAGAGACATTACCACTGTCACATCCAAATGGCAGTGACAGGGCAGCACTACACCAAGATTTCCCAGGTTCTTTAAGGGCTCTAATCTGTCTGTATGACTTGCTGCCCTACAGAAAGGAGGAGGCTCAGCTGCCTGAAAACCCTCACCACTTACAGCTCAGTATGGTAAAGTGAATAAACCACTGTTTTGGTTTCCTGTAGTTTGCCAGTCTGGAACTTGTAACTGTTCAGCTGCTGCGACTGCCTTGGAAAAGCTGTCCCCAAAGTCTGTGCTTCACAAAAGCCCACCAGTCACAACTCTGCTGTCAAATCCTGCTGGGATCATACATCATTGGCAGTACAGGCAATGTTATGTGCATCTTGTGTTATCTTCTGCATTCAGATGAGACGTTGGTTTTTACCCTCTTTACATAGGCATAACTCATCTTTCTGTTATGTGAAAGGTCCTTGTTATGCTTGATGTTGACTAGATGGTAAGATATGTATCTTTGGAATTTAAAGTGGCAATTCTTAAGAAAATAGAAAATCTTCCTCACCAAAGCTGAGGCAGGACCACATCTGTAACAAATTGAAGGCATGTAAGGACAAAGAAGAACAAGGTGTTTTAAAATGTACCTCTGTGGATGTGTGTAATGCCCCACAGGAACTGGGTATCACGTTAGGTCACTGCTAACATAAATGCACGGAATGTTTTTGGGTGTGGTGTGTATTTACAAATTTTTCTCAAAAGAAATTGATTACTGGGGCACTCAGCATATTTCTGAAGTGGCTGGATTCTACCTGTTTACAGTTCCCTTATGAGTACAAGAAGCATTTTTTGTAACCTCAGCTTCCTGATTGAGTTTACTGTGATGTCAGTTATTTACAATAACAAAATTGAGACGATGCCTGTGGTTTGCACGGGACAAAGACAACCTTGTTTCTGTAAAAAGGGGCAATCCCAGTGTGAGAAGCACAGGAAAGGCTATGAAGGAGGACTCCTAGGCGGTACTTCATTAATCCTGCCAGCTCCATAACGGGCTGGGCATTGCACTGACAGAGGTTTTTTTTTCCTTTCCATAGGATTGGACACTAATGTGAATGCAGCTTTTGGAAAACTACTTCTCTGCAGGACAAGGCTTTGCAGATGAAACAAGTGGATTGCTAGTGGGCAGAGAGGCAGCGAGTGTCAGGATGCCAATGACTCAGAACCAACTGCACGTTCTGCGGTCACGGGCGAGTCATCCTGCACCTCTGCTTGCCCGTCATGAAACTGCTTTATTGATATTTAACTGCCTAAACCACAGCTGAAGCGAAATTTGCAGAATGCCAGTAAATTCTGGAGGTGACAGAGTAGCAGAAGAGAACGAGAATCACGGTGAGTTATGACTGAAGAGCATCCCCTGGAGGATGTCACTCACCTGCTATCCTTCCGATCGGCATCGTGTGGTCCCCCGGAGAGGACACGGACACCATGATGTGGTTCATGTAAGCGAACTCCTCTCGGTGGGACAGGTTGATTGGCTTGGCTTCCCTGTGCAGCCCGTCCTCAGACAACCTGGGCGGTTTGAAATCGGAGTGCCGGGGGTTCAGTATCAAAGGATGCATGATAGGGCTGGGCATCAGCTGGATGACCCTGGTGTTCTCCTGGCGGGGGCTGGGGGGCTTTTGGAGCACTTCAGAAGGAGGTGGGTAGTGGTTGTTTTCTACTGGGGACACCGAGAGAGGGTAAGGCTCTTGCTGGCTGTTCTCGTGCTGATGCCTCGTTCCTGGCACCCTGTCGGCCGGGGAGAGGCGGCGGAGAGTGCTGTCCATGGGGGACTTGAGCGGCCGCTGATCAGGGTCTGGCGATGGACGGTGGTTGTTGGTGAGGGGTGATCTGGAACGGTGCAACAGTTCAATGGTTGGGGGGTTGTGGTGGACTGTTTCTGTGGATGGTCTGGAAGGTCTCTGGACAAAGCTATCTGTGGAGGAAAAAAAAAAAGAAAAAAAGTCCCAAAAATACAGATTGTCTACATTGTGGTCAAGGTGCGTAGGATCTAACTCTTCACCTCCTTTGAAGCCAGGCTCGCTGGGTACTGCTGTCAGCTTGGAAGTGCTGACCTACAGATGCCCAGAAAAACACCCTGGAAATGCAGAGAGTTACTGCTACACATAATGAGATCAGTGCTGTGAAACAATCTCCTTCCATCACTGGGTACCAACAGTTCCTGGAGAAACATGTCAAGAGAAATGCCATTTCGGGAAGCTGACCGGTACATACGTGAAGAGTAAAATCTGATTTAGCTGCACTAACTAACTCTGTTTCTGTGCAAATGCTTTGACACTCATCTCCTGCCATTCACGGCTCTATGTGTGGTTCCTGTTACTGTTTCGCTCTTTGTGAAACACTAGCTAAATTTTATCCCTGCCTTCATTTTAAGAGCATGTAACATCTACATAAGGATATTTTCATCTCCTCCTGTTTAGTCCGTGCTGGCTACTGATGGTTTGTCACATATAAGCACTTACAAGTCTTCACAGCAGGAGGACTTCCAGCATCATATTTGCATAAGCACACTCCCCCAGCTATGATCCTTAACAGCAGGGGGGAGATAAATCACAGCTCTAGGTCAGCGTCTTTATGCACTAACAATCCTCTCACAAAATTAAAATGTTTGCCAGTGCAAACTTTCAGGTTTAAGGCCATCAATTTTGACTTGGGAAGTCACTGACAAAGAGGAAAACACCCCTGGAGCGAGTGCAGTGATTAACAGGTCTTTATCCGAAAAGCAAAGATCAGATTTCAGTGCCGTCTGTTGAAAGCCTTGGATGACAATAGAGGAACACGTGGCTACGTGTCAAAAACTGAAACAAGGAGCTGCTTATTTGTGGCTGCCGGTTCCTTCACTCCATTTTCTCTGATGCTTTAGTTGTCCTCTCAAGGCAGTGATACCCCCACAGGGAAGACCCCAGGGCTCCAACTGCCCCGGAACCCAGGCAGGCGTTGGGAAAGGGAAAGGTGTGAACAGGAAAAGCTCAAGTCCTGAGAAAATGTGGTGCAAGGCACCGACACAGCACCAACCCTTTTACCTACTCAGCAGTCTGAAGTGCTGAAGTCTACAGGAAAAGCTGAGATTTGAGGCAGAACCTGCATTGCTCCAGAGCACTTACTGCACACACTTGTGGTCCCAGGCAAGAAAAATGCGTTTGTTGAGCTGTTTAAGACATTCAGAATGAAACAGCTGGAGAACATGAAACTTCAGAACTATATATTGTTGTTTAAACACATTTTTAAATACAGTCTGGCCAGCTAATGTGGAATGGCCCAAATGAAATGAAAGAAGATCAAAGAGGAATTAATTTACAACCACTCCTGCTTCAGTGACTGCCTTTTCCTAAAGTCTCCTTTCTCTGCCACAACAGAAAGAAAACCAACCCCCAAAATTTTATTCAGCATCCTGTCTTCTACAGATAGCAGTAAGAGGAAAAACCACAAATGGATACACACTAGAGGTTCACTTTCCACAAGCTCCTTCTCTTTAAATACTTAACAAAAGAATCACCTTATGGCCAAAATGTTGTTTGCCATAAAACAATTCCAACTCGGCTCCAAGCAGCTCCACTGAATTACCCTGAGCAGAATAAAACCCTCACCCTTCATTCCTTGGCCCATCTGATGACTGTAAGTTAAGCACATGTGGTATATAATTTCATGGAGAACTGGATTCACTCATGGCTCTGGCTCCTCACTCAGAGTGAGCAACACTTTTCTTGAAGGGAAAGCTGTGAAAGCAAATTCACCTCCCAGGAAATTTGCTGACCTATCTGATCCACGCAGGAATGGGTGGGGCTGCATTTCCTCTGGGAAGGAGCAATTGCTGGCATGACAATCCCAAGGACTGGCACTCTTTGCTCACCCACAGAAGTGCAGGGAATGACAGGGCATCCCATCAAATGACTCACAGCTCCATCAGAGGGACCAGTGCAGATGTAGGGAATTCACTTTGCATTGGCCATCTCTACAGGGACAGAGCCGATCCCAAGGCAATGCTAATGCATCTCGGAGATAATTCTGAACTGCAATTAATTTCAAACAGCCAAACCCTCTTTGTTTAAGCCTAGTAAAAAGCCAGTATATGTAAATGAGAGCATTTAGAAGCAGGATCATAAGTGTAATCTACTAGAAAATAGGCAAAAGACCCAGAAAAGTGAAAAAGATCACTGGAGTGAGGAGGGATTCTAAAAGAAATACCTCACCTATGAAGTTTAACCACTCAATATTGTGTCAAGGTAACACCTGTCCCTTCTGTCACAGTTTGTGAGTTAGCCAGGGTCAAGTTCTGCTCCTCACAGTCACTCTCCTTTTTTTCCACTAAGTTGCAATTTGCTGAGGGAAAATTAAAACTTAATTGTGCTAGTTTTTCCCAAGTGACTCTGTGAAACAGGAAGAAGTAATGTCAAAATACATAAATAAATGAATTCAAATATAAATTCCTGGCATGGAGATTTTTTGGTTGCTCACTCTTGTGACAGCAGGCTGTAGTTTCTTTTGCTTGTTTTGAAGTTCCTCTGATTTTTGTCATTATAAAGAGAAGTTTCAAGTAATAGCACAGAGTTTTCTAAGCAAAAGCAGTGGCACAATCAGCAGCCAGAGTGTTGTAAGAAGGAAATCCAAGTTGTTTCTTAATCACTACATTATAAAGGGCTTATGTTTTAAGTGATACACTTCAAAGGCCAACTCATCACCCCTGTGAAATCCTCTCTAGTGAAAGCTGCTCCATATGTTTAAGGTAGGAGTGCCTGAAAGAGCAGCAAGTATTTCTGGTTGAAATTTGAAGTTTAGAATGGGAACACTTGTGGGTGAAGGCCAAGCTTCAAGAAAAGACTGAGATTTTACAAACAGTCTCTGCGAAGTGACTGAACACACTGGACAAACCTCTTGCACAACTCTGTCAACTGAACCTTCATCTAAGCTGAAATAATTTACACAGCTATGCAGAAACACTTTGGAGTGTTCTTTTTCCACCTGTTGCTTCCTGTTCTTTGGCTGAATTTTGGAGCTTTGCTGGTGCCATTTGATTCTGGCAAGGTCTGGCAGCAGTAGCCCTGAATCCTTCCTTGCAATCCTATGTTGAATCTTCAAATAGATGCATCTCAAATAGAATCAGCACATCTTTTACCCAGTTAGCACAGGCTAGGGCACCATCCTAACTCACTCATGTTCTCTTCAGTTTACTCACAAAAGGAGTTACACTCCTTTTTCCTGTATTTTCTTAATTGAAAAAGTGGATTCTGCCTGATGCTTTGAAAAGGCCTTTGGAGAGGCCCAGGCTTTATATTTTTCTGTTATACACCCAACAAACCCACGAAGTACTTTAGTGTGTGCATTTTTAAAGAAAATAAACCCTCAATTTTCCATTGAAAGCAGCAGACTTACAATTTGATCTGCACAAATAACAAGTGGAAGAAGCCCAAGTATGCAATTCCACAAACTTAACTATTCTTTCTTTATCACCTCTGGTGTGTGTGGATACTACTAGACCTAAGCAAGTAATTCTGATTGTAAAAATGAGAGAAAACCTGCAGAAACCCCCGTTCTCTCAATATGAGTTGCTCACCCAGCCCAAAAGCTGAGCCACACGATGGGCTCAGTTCTAAGAACTCTGGCACAAAGTTCAGATTGTGAGGAAAAATGAATCAATAAAACTTTCTGCTTTTTAACCTGTATCTGGCATAGCTTATTGAACAGGCTTTGGAAAGAGAACAAAATAATAGAAGATAGCTGGAGAATGTGTAGTTCACTCAGCAGAACACCTGATTGTTCTAAAGCTATGCACACAAAGGGAGGAGAGCAGCTTTATTTAAGTAACACCGAAGCAAGAAAATTGCTGAATTCCTCACAGCCTTACCCTACTCCAGTAAGAATGAGACAAGAGTTACCTTCCTCGTGATTCTGGTTTAATGTGACCTCTGGCTGAGAATGGATGGAGTTCCCAGGGTGGAAGAAAGGTGTGAAGAGCATCCGAGCTTTCCTTTGCTTCAGGATCTGCTGCAGGAGTTCATACAAAACATCACCTGAAAGATGAACAGCCAGGAAAAGGAAACCAGAATGTACATAACTGATGGGAAGACTCATTTAGGCACCTAAAGCACGAACTCGTGCCTCCTGGGTGCTGTTTACGGCCCCAAAAATGCTTGCAGTAAAATCCTGATTTTTAGTTCTGCTTGCCCTCTTCTGTTTGTCACTGCTCATATTACAGAGGAGCAGGTTGCAGCAATGCCATATTAACTGAAAAGGAACCTGGGTTTCACTTGAGAAAACAGATTTCCTGGGAAAGTTTTCTCAAGTATGTGTTTGTTTTTTTTTTTTAGCAGTTGTTTCTACGAGATTGTAAGCTGTGCATCATCTGCCCCTTGTCTCTATAAACTGCCAATATTCTGTTTGTGGGCAAGTGTAGTTTCTCAGTGGGGAAGAGTTAAAGCCACGTTGCTTTCCAGAGTTGGGCTTCCTTTATTTTTAACATCTTGGCTGCTTTTACTGCCTCAGCAGTGATTTCAGGGCATTTTTAAAGGGTGGTTGCAAATTCAATTAGAAACAAAGCCTCAAGAACCCAGTTACATGACAGCCTAAAGAAGTGATTTTACCATATACTTTCCATAACTGGATACAACAGTGGCATAATCATAACTAGTGCTGTAACACTCCAAGCAATAAGATAGCAAATTTTTGCCTCTTTTGATTTGGCCTGACAGGCTAATGAAAATGTCCATAAAGGTGTCTGTCTTTTTGTTCTTTACCTAACAAAACAGTTACACTTCTGCAGTGTGTGCAATGGATGAGGTTCTCCTGGTTTAACCCTGAGTGGAAACAACACAATTTTCATTTAGCTCTAGTCTTGGAAAACTTAATCCCTCTGTGGCGACCATTATTTCACAGTTCTTAAATTTCACAGACAGTTAATTTCTGGGAAATACTGTGGTAATGTCCTACCTACAGTCATCTAAATTTTTAAGGACTTACTCAGATATCCTCTAAAAGGTTTATTATCAAGGTTTATTATGGGGAACACACGGAGAGAAGGAAGAGAGAAAATGCAAGGGAGGAGGCCTTTAGTTTGGTTATTTCATTCCAAATTTAGGGAAATAACTGCTTAAGCTTCTGCATAAAGTTAAGACTTTCCAAGTCAGAGGCTCTTCTCTGGGAACACTTTATTTCCAGCCTACAAACATTTTTAATCCTGCTCAAAAAGGGGAATATACCCTCGGAACTTCTAGGCAGGAAGGGCAGGAAGGGGAGTTGCAGACAACATACCTACAGGTATCCCTTGCACTCCTTGCCCACATCCCTGCTTTCAACACTCCTTTTGCTTTAAAAGCAGGGCTAATTTTTAAAAAAAAAAAATTATTCCAAGTGATGTACCAGAATTATGGGAAAAAAAAAGACATTTCTTGGCATCAGTTCTCACTGTCAACAGGTGCTCGTGTTTGGCCTGTCCTTCCACACAAAATAAGCACGTGCTTAAAAAACTTCATATACACTACACATAATCACCGATTTGTGAGGCAGATTCTGCAGGAGGATGGCTGGGGAGAGTAGCCAAGCAGGCTGGTGCAGAATTACTGCCACAGTTCGATTATCAGCTGGATCCAAGCAGCACCAGCTGCACTTCAGCACCCAGCGAGCCCTGCACTGGAAACCTCCTCACGGCGATTCTGTCACCGCTCGGTCCAAGCTCTTTAATCACCTGTGGTGACTGAATTACAAGCCTTTGTATTTCACAGGAGTACCTTGTATGGTCACACAAAACCAGCTCATAACTCATATTTAGTTAAACATCCCTGACAAAGGAGGGCAGATGCTTACTGTGACTGTAAAACTGGAGCAGACAGACCGCAGGGGATAGAAATACAGGCAGGCAGCAGGCACGTTTCTAAATCTTCCTAGTGAGTAAGTGAAGACATAATTTGAGCAATAGGCAGACTGATTCACACACCTGTCTGTGCTGTGCCTTGGGCTGGATTCCAGCACATGAGGGAATGTGGCAGAGTAAAGCAAAACCCACAGGGGCTGTTGAATAGAGGCAAAGTCCCCAAGGGAGGAGTTTTGCAGTCGCTTTTAGCAGCACCTCAGCCAAGCCAACTGTGAGGCAAAATGCTAATATGGGTTGCTTAAAGATCAACTCGATTAACTTGGGTCTGTGAACGGATAAACCTTCACAGGGAAGAGCTGGAAGTCACCAAATGCTGCTAAAGAAGCTTGCTTTCTGAGAGCTCTGCAGGGAGTTTCACCTAATAAACAGGTTGGAGGTTTGGATTTGAACTCAAATATGCTGACAACTCAGTGTATCAGGATTTCATTTCCTCTCTGTCCTTTCCTCATACAAGTGTCCCTGTCCTCTGGCTCCCCTCCCTTTCCCAGTCTACTCCCATAAAGGTGACCATTTCCTCCTAGGACTCTCTTCAGCTTCTGCTGCAGCTTCCTCTGTGTTTTCAGTCACAGCTCCTGTAAAGGATTCTCACCTGAATGATAAAGGATTCTCACCTGAATGATAAAGAATTCTCACCTGAATGATAAAGGATTCTCACCTGAATGAGGGGACCTGTACCGGAAGTCCTCTTTGGTCAGGAGCAGCAGGGCCTTGCCGTTCATCTCGAAAGCGCTGCTGTCGATGGGCCTCAAGGAGAATTCCTTCTCTGCCCACCTGAGCCACTGGGCCACATCGTCCCTGCTCCAGTAAATGGGCTGCAAACCTGTGGCGGGAGAGACAGTCACTGTTACCAAACTGGGGCAGGAGCAGTGAATCCCCCAAGGCTCAGAGGGAAGGGCAGGCGAGGAATGTCATACTGATGCAGAATTACTCTAGAATGTGAAATACTTCCTTAGCTTAGGCACCCTGGTTTATCTGTGACACGCTGTGAAATAAGAACTGCCCCAGCATCCTGAAAAAAAGCTCCTAAGATATTATTTCAGTTCAGATTTCCACCGTGCAGGGGGGTTTCCCTCCAACTGCCCCTTCTGATGTGCAGAGCAGGCGGCAGGCAAAGTCCTGGGCCCCATCCATCCTTTCAGGGAAGAGAGGCGCGCTCTCTCTCCACACCCCTTGTAAATTCATGGACAAAAAATAACGAGAAGCTGTCAGGTGCAGAAGAGCTGTGGCTTTCCTGCAGGTGGCTGGGGTCTGCAAGGAAGGGCTGCTAACCCAGCCGTGTAACAGCGTGTCTGTGAGCCATCATCAGCGTGTGTGTGGCTGAGAGAGGTGCATTCACACAGGCCCACTGCTCCTCCAGATGCCATCACTGTTAGCACGTGCCATTCCCACACTACACAGACTGTGGCACCTTTAGCACTGTGTTTCCTGTATAAATATAAAATATTACCGATGTAACTTTGTCCACAGAAGGGGATATATTATTTTATGGTAAAACAGCAGGGATATCTATGGGTTTGGGCACAGATTTTCCAGGGTGCCAAGGAGAATCTGGCACTCCCTTTCTCCCAGCCAGCTCATACAGCAGATATTGTGTTTACTCACAGGGGCCCAACCAAGTTACAATCAAACTCATAGACATTTTGCCTGCTACCTTTATTGGGCCCAGGCAGAGAGGCTTTGCAGGTAAGACAATTCAGTATCTGTTCTACAGACAAATTTAAATAGCTTCCTTCCCCTGAGAGAAGGAAACTACCCAAGTAGAGAGATTATCTCCAATCCACTGGGTGATAAAAGCTTTTTTGTTTTTATTTTTTTTTTCTCCTGGCGAGATGACTCATTGTTTGACTTGCTACAAAGCTTACCCACCGTGCACAGGAACATAAGATTTGCTGTATATCTGCTCAGATCTGGGGTACACGGGCTCTGGCAGGAGCCAGTACCTTGTGCTTCAGAGGAAGATGAACCTCCCTTCCTTGTACTGCACCTGGCTGATTGTACGCTGCACATGGGAAGAGATTTCCTTCCTGGCACACCATTCTCTGAGATCTGATTACCCTCTTCCTAGCAGGCACTAAAAGAAACCTGGGAGAGCTGTACCATTCCTGTTTTGATTTGGTTTTTACTTCTTTAACAGATAAGGCAGCCCTATTTTTTTCTGTTTTAGCAAGAGGTAACACGCAGTGAATCGCGTTCTGCTGCTATGCCAGATTCCCAAACAATGGCTTTGGAAAGTCCCAGGATCACAGCTGCACCTCTGTCAGAAAAGGAATTGAGATCATGCCTGAGAAGGGATCAGAGTTGACCTAAGGAAGGGACCTCTGCATGGCAGTAGCAAGAATTTCCTCTGGCTTTCAACTGCACTGTATTATGTGCCACACAGAAACAAACAGTAGCAGTTTTTTATTTTTAAAGTATTTAAGTCCAATTCCCCCTATGAAGTAGGCTCTGCTTATTTGGGGCAGAGTTTTCTGTAGGACCTTTCTTTTTGAAGAGCCTGGACTGAGACGAGGTGCAGATTTGCTCAGGGACATGGAAACCGCCATCTGAAACCCCAGAATGAGGTTCATCTTTTGCTGAATACAGAGCTATTCCTGCAGAAAATACACTCCAGACCTCAGGCTGCTGCTGGGCTGCAGCTAAAAGAGAAAGAAGTAAGAAAGACATGATGCAGCCAGACTACAACGTAAAAAAGGGGTTTAAAAGACCATCTGAGGAGTGCTTGAAATGCTCCTGTGTGGTTTCTTTTCCCTCCCTCTTTGCCATGCCACGCAAGTAAAAAATTGCCCAAAGGAGAACTGCGGTGTAGAAATCTCACCAGGCTTCTGATGTGCACTTCACGAGATGAAGGCATGAAACAAAAGAAAACATGACTGGGAAAATGAGGCTGACAAGGACAGAGTTGTACGATAACTTCACATGAGGTGTGTTGCTCCCTTCTATATAACAAGGTAATAAATAAACCACTCCCTGTCCAAACACAGATCAACCTGACCTAGCACTACCTGGCTGGAAATTACCAACAATCAGCAAGCAGCCAGTCTAATTCAGTGTGGCTATCACTAAAATGAGTGGGTGGATGAGCCATATCTCTCTCTCTCCATCCGTGATGTGACACCATAATTAAACACTTACACTGTGTGGCAGACATAAGGTGCTATAAAATAAGTCAACTGCTTTTTTCCTGGATGGATTGCTTTTTTTCTCCTGTTTCCCTCCCTTCCTGCAGTGCTGCTTTCCTGGGAAGTTAGTTTCTCTCAAAAAACACATGCCCATTTGTTGGGTGAGGCTGAAGCAGTTCAGTCACAGGAGGCTTTTTTAGGGGTGCAACACCGGTGTTGCTAAAGGTGCTTCAGAAACTGCCATTCAAAGAAGAATTCTTTCCTGTGCAGTACAGTATCTGCTGAACTTGTATGCCACCTTCTTGGGCCTCTCTTCAAAACAACTACTTGGTTTTGTGAAAACAAGGTCATGAGAGGGTTGGCTTTGCAGCTGAAGGGATTTTCCAGCACAGTGTACGTTGCTATCAGTAAGTCCTGAAAATGCTTTCCTGTGCTGCCCATAAAAGAAAACTTAATCCTGCTCACGCTATTTTTCTTCTTTGGATGCTGTTTCTTATTTTCCCCTCTCCATCTTTTCTTTTAGTCTCATGCACACAGTGGAGAAAAACGGGCTCAATTTTTATCTCTCTAGCTTTATTGTCTGCAAAAGCAAACAGCAGTGTCTTTAACTAGCAAAGATATTTACCAAGCAGAATGAAGTGGGGGGAAAAAAGAGATGTTTTGCAAAATTAAGGGCAGAGTTTTGCCTGATGAACTGACTGCTGAAATCAGTGTGAAGGTTCTGCTGCTTTCAGCAGGTGCAGATCAGACCCAGGGGAAGCTGCCTTTCTCCCAACCCTGCTGTCTGGGTGACCAGTGTTGCCAAGGACTTCACAGTGTGAATTCTGACCCGAGAGTCAGAGCTGCCTCTGCTCCCATCTCTGGCATTGCTCTGCTGGTTGAAATCCAGCAAGCATTCCCAACTGCGGCCTCCTTATCTGGATAATAATGTAAAAATAAACACCAAAACACCTTCCTGAACTCAACAGCTGAAAACAGGTTAGACAAAGCTGTGTAAACCATCTACAACTGGCTCGGGGAGATTCAGTGCACTTTCTTTCTTCTGCCAGTTTCCAAGCACCACCTCCGGCAGAGCAAAATGCAATAACTTATATGTTATTGTTATATGTTAATGTTTATAAGCTCACAGCTTCATGTGCATTAAACAGGGAGCAAAATTCGTGCTCACCTTTCTGCCCTGCTGTCGTAAGAGATTATCTACTTCCGCAGCACATTCCCCACCTGAAATCCTGCTTCTATCGCCTGTTACACGAGCTACCTTGGAAATGGTGGCAAGCAGCAAACCCAAGCACAGTGGAGAGGGGCTGAGGAGGTAATTTACACTCTGAAGTAGCCAGTAAAGGTGTTTAGCACTTAACACCAAGAGACAGAGGCAGGAACTGAGCTGCACAGCCAGCAGTGTTTGCATCTGACCACAGACTTTTGGTGGGGTTACAGCTTTGGTTTTTGAGGAGATGTAACCAACCCTGAATCTCACTCACAAAGTGCTCACACTCAGCATCTCCTCCTTTGGTTGGGAAGACAAAGCGTGTATTTTACAGTGTGAGTTGCTGTGTGCAGCGCACGTAACAGATACATCGAAAATGTGAACTGTAACGCACCACGGGCTGCTTTCACCTTGACTCACTTTGGAACAATCTGAAGGCACAAATCCAGTGCAAAATGTGATGTGCAGTACCACTGAGAGCTGCTGCTCCGTTTCAGTTTCGATATGAGGACACAGCTGTGAGGACATCAGCACGCATGATGGAAGCGTGCTGACTCACAGTAAATTTTGTCTTAACTTTTTTGTTCCTCCTCAGCGAGGCTCTCCGCCCTTAGGACGAGGATATGAGAAAGGAGTAAAGACAGACCTCTCATTTATCCCTGCTTTCTGCAGGGCAGACAGAATGGTTTGCACTCCCACGCCAAAAACTACTTAGCATGGTTGGGCAAACAGCAAAAGGGACGGTGTATGCAAATCAGCAGCTGGTTCCTGAATACCCAGGCACAGATGCATCATCACTGGCAGCGTGAAGGAGGCCAGCTCTGTCCACAGCACAGCACTTCGAGCCGCTGGTGGGAAAATGATGATGGAGAAGTTCAGACCTGAAAGTCTGCTACCAACTGACTGTAGGAACTGATGCTCTCTTTTCTGTTACTGATTAGCAAAATTTTTCCATGGCCCCATAGAGCATAATATGGGGCTCTGAGCACGATGGTGAATGTCAAGCAGGAGAGGGGCAAGAGGTTGTGTTTTTCTCTTCATTTCTGTGTAAAGGCAACACAGCATGAAAAAAAAAAAAACAAACTCATATGATTAGATTTAAATCCTTCTCCCAGAGCACCTTCCCTTCCTCTCTCCCATCTTTGCTTGAAAAACTGGACTACCAAAATGCAAAGAGGCGCCATGGGGCTTTGCCAGTTAACATCTGAAATGCTTTTAAAGTGCAAAATGCTGCACAGCTTCTTCAGATGACCGTGGTTCAATGTTCCCCTGGTGCTGGGTCTGCCTGACCACTTGCTCTTTCCAGCAGGTGCCACTGGGCCCAGGCACTGCAGGAGCAGTAGCTATTTATTCACTGCTGCTGGGCTGCAGGTATGGCCTTGTCCTGTACAGAGAGCTGGCTGTGCAGTGTCAAGGTCCAGAGATAAGCAAAGGCAGAGAAAATGAAGAAAAGGTTAATCCTGGCTAATCCTCAGAGAGAATTATTTGGGGAGT